CTCTCTCGCACACCCAGGCGAGTGAGGGTAGGGTGCAACCACTCTCAGAGGGTCGCGGGGGAACGCCATGCGATTTTCTTTCTCTCTCGCACTTATACGCGAGACGCTTGGCTATTTTCTATCTCTCTCGCACACTTAGGCGAGCTGCCTGGCTGTTTTCTGTCTCTCTCGCACACCCAGGCGAGTGAGGGTAGGGTGCAACCACTCTCAGAGGGTCGCGGGGGAACGCCATGCGATTTTCTTTCTCTCTCGCACTTATACGCGAGACGCTTGGCTATTTTCTATCTCTCTCGCACACTTAGGCGAGCTGCCTGGCTGTTTTCTGTCTCTCTCGCACACCCAGGCGAGTGAGGGTAGGGTGCAACCACTCTCAGAGGGTCGCGGGGGAACGCCATGCGATTTTCTTTCTCTCTCGCACTTATACGCGAGACGCTTGGCTATTTTCTATCTCTCTCGCACACTTAGGCGAGCTGCCTGGCTGTTTTCTGTCTCTCTCGCACACCCAGGCGAGTGAGGGTAGGGTGCAACCACTCTCAGAGGGTCGCGGGGGAACGCCATGCGATTTTCTTTCTCTCTCGCACTTATACGCGAGACGCTTGGCTATTTTCTATCTCTCTCGCACACTTAGGCGAGCTGCCTGGCTGTTTTCTGTCTCTCTCGCACACCCAGGCGAGTGAGGGTAGGGTGCAACCACTCTCAGAGGGTCGCGGGGGAACGCCATGCGATTTTCTTTCTCTCTCGCACTTATACGCGAGACGCTTGGCTATTTTCTATCTCTCTCGCACACTTAGGCGAGCTGCCTGGCTGTTTTCTGTCTCTCTCGCACACCCAGGCGAGTGAGGGTAGGGTGCAACCACTCTCAGAGGGTCGCGGGGGAACGCCATGCGATTTTCTTTCTCTCTCGCACTTATACGCGAGACGCTTGGCTATTTTCTATCTCTCTCGCACACTTAGGCGAGCTGCCTGGCTGTTTTCTGTCTCTCTCGCACACCCAGGCGAGTGAGGGTAGGGTGCAACCACTCTCAGAGGGTCGCGGGGGAACGCCATGCGATTTTCTTTCTCTCTCGCACTTATACGCGAGACGCTTGGCTATTTTCTATCTCTCTCGCACACTTAGGCGAGCTGCCTGGCTGTTTTCTGTCTCTCTCGCACACCCAGGCGAGTGAGGGTAGGGTGCAACCACTCTCAGAGGGTCGCGGGGGAACGCCATGCGATTTTCTTTCTCTCTCGCACTTATACGCGAGACGCTTGGCTATTTTCTATCTCTCTCGCACACTTAGGCGAGCTGCCTGGCTGTTTTCTGTCTCTCTCGCACACCCAGGCGAGTGAGGGTAGGGTGCAACCACTCTCAGAGGGTCGCGGGGGAACGCCATGCGATTTTCTTTCTCTCTCGCACTTATACGCGAGACGCTTGGCTATTTTCTATCTCTCTCGCACACTTAGGCGAGCTGCCTGGCTGTTTTCTGTCTCTCTCGCACACCCAGGCGAGTGAGGGTAGGGTGCAACCACTCTCAGAGGGTCGCGGGGGAACGCCATGCGATTTTCTTTCTCTCTCGCACTTATACGCGAGACGCTTGGCTATTTTCTATCTCTCTCGCACACTTAGGCGAGCTGCCTGGCTGTTTTCTGTCTCTCTCGCACACCCAGGCGAGTGAGGGTAGGGTGCAACCACTCTCAGAGGGTCGCGGGGGAACGCCATGCGATTTTCTTTCTCTCTCGCACTTATACGCGAGACGCTTGGCTATTTTCTATCTCTCTCGCACACTTAGGCGAGCTGCCTGGCTGTTTTCTGTCTCTCTCGCACACCCAGGCGAGTGAGGGTAGGGTGCAACCACTCTCAGAGGGTCGCGGGGGAACGCCATGCGATTTTCTTTCTCTCTCGCACTTATACGCGCGACGCTTGGCTATTTTCTATCTCTCTCGCACACTTAGGCGAGTTGCCTGGCTGTTCTCTGTCTCTCTCGCACACCCAGGCGAGTGAGGGTAGGGTGCAACCGCTCTCAGAGGGTCGCGGGGGAACGCCATGCGATTTTCTTTCTCTCTCGCACTTATACGCGCGACGCTTGGCTATTTTCTATCTCTCTCGCACACTTAGGCGAGGTATCTGGCTTTTTTCTGTCTCTCTCGCACACCCAGGCGAGTGAGGGTAGGGTGCAACCGCTCTCAGAGGGTCGCGGGGGATCGCCACGGCGTGCTTTGCCGGAAAAACAACGCAAGTCCCGCCTGGCGATTTTCTTTCTCTCTCGCACTTATACCCGAGACGCTTGGCTATTTTCTATCTCTCTCGCACACCTAGGCGAGCTGCCTTGCGGTTTTATGTCTCTCTCGCACACCCAGGCGAGTGAGGGTAGGGTGCAACCCTTCTCAGAAGGTCGCGGGGGAACGCCATGCGATTTTCTTTCTCTCTCGCACTTATACGCGCGACGCTTGGCTATTTTCTATCTCTCTCGCACACTTAGGCGAGTTGCCTGGCTGTTCTCTGTCTCTCTCGCACACCCAGGCGAGTGAGGGTAGGGTGCAACCGCTCTCAGAGGGTCGCGGGGGAACGCCATGCGATTTTCTTTCTCTCTCGCACTTATACGCGCGACGCTTGGCTATTTTCTATCCCTCTCGCACACTTAGGCGAGGTACCTGGCTTTTCTCTGTCTCTCTCGCACACCCAGGCGAGTGAGGGTAGGGTGCAACCGCTCTCAGAGGGTCGCGGGGGAACGCCACGGCGTGCTTTGCCGGAAAAACAACGCAAGTCCCGCGAGGCGATTTCCTTTCTCTCTCGCACTTATACGCGAGACGCTTGGCAATTTTCTAAATCTCTCGCACACTCAGGCGAGCTGCCTAGCTGTTTTCTGTCTCTCTCGCACACCCAGGCGAGTGAGGGTAGGGTGCAACCACTCTCAGAGGGTCGTGGGGGAACGCCATGCGATTTTCTTTCTCTCTCGCACTTTTACGAGAGACGCTTGGCTATTTTCCATCTCTCTCGCACCCAGGCGAGTGAGGGTAGGGTGCAACCGCTCTCAGTGGGTCGCGGGGGATCGCCACGGCGTGCTTTGCCGGAAAAACAACGCAAGTCCCGCCTGTCGATTTTCTTTCTCTCTCGCACTTATACGCGAGAAGATTGGCTATTTTCTATCCCTCTCGCACACTTAGGCGAGCTGCCTGGCTGTTTTCTGTCTCTCTCGCACACCCAGGCGAGTGAGGTTACAGTGCAACCGCTCTCAGAGGGTCGCGGGGGAACGCCTTGCGCCTGCTTTGCCGGAAAAACAACGCAAGTCCCGCCTGGCGATTTTCTTTCTCTCTCGCACTTATAGGCGAGACGCTTGGCTATTTTCTATCTCTCTCGCACACTCAGGCGAGCTGCCTAGCTGTTTTCTGTCTCTCTCGCACACCCAGGCGAGTGAGGATAGGGTGCAACGACTCTCAGAGGGTCGCGGGGGAACGCCATGCGATTTGCTTTCTCTCTCGCACTTACACGCGAGACGCTTGGCTATTTTCTATCTCTCTCGCACACTCAGGCGAGCTGCCTGGCTGTTTTTTGTCTCTCTCGCACACCCAGGCGAGTGAGGGTAGGGTGCAACCGCTCTCAGAGGGTCGCGGGGGATCGCCACGGCGTGCTTTGCCGGAAAAACAACGCAAGTCCCGCCTGTCGATTTTCTTTCTCTCTCGCACTTATACGCGAGACGATTGGCTATTTTCTATCTCTCTCGCACACTTAGGCGAGCTGCCTGGCTGTTTTCTGTCTCTCTCGCACACCAAGGCGAGTAAGGGTAGGGTGCAACCGCTCTCAGAGGGTCGCGGGGGAACGCCATGCGCCTGCTTTGCCGGAAAAACAACGCAAGTCCCGCCTGGCAATTTTCTTTCTCTCTCTCACTTATACGCGAGACGCTCGGCTATTTTCTATCGCTCTCGCACACTTAGGCGAGCTGCCTGGCTTTTTTCTGTCTCTCTCGCACACCCAGGGAGTGAGGGTAGGGTGCAACCGCTCTCATTCTCAGAGGGTCGCGGGGGAACGCCATGCGATTTTCTTTCTCTCTCGCACTTATACGCGAGACGCTTGGCTATTTTCTATCTCTTAAGCACACTTAGGCGATCTGTCTAGCTGTTTTCTGTCTCTCTCGCACACCCAGCCGAGTGAGGGTAGGGTGCAACCGCTCTCAGAGGGTCGCGGGGGAACGCCATGCGCCTGCTTTGCCGGAAAAACAACGCAAGTCCCGCCTGGCAATTTTCTTTCTCTCTCGCACTTATACGCGAGACGCTCGGCTATTTTCTATCGCTCTCGCACACTTAGGCGAGCTGCCTGGCTGTTTTCTGTCTCTCTCGCACACCCAGGCGAGTGAGGGTAGGGTGGAACCGCTCTCATTGTCAGAGGGTCGCGGGGGAACGCCATGCGCCTGCTTTGCCGGAAAAACAACGCAAGTCCCGCCTGGCGATTTTCTTTCTCTCTCGCACTCATACGCGAGACGCTTGGCTATTTTCTATCTCTCTCGCACACTCTGGTGTCCCGCCTTGCGATTTTCCATCTCTCTCTCACGCATTAGCGGGTTCGCTGGGTGTTTTCTGTCTCTCTCGCACACATCAGCGGGCTCCCTGGCTGTTTTCTGTCTCTCTCGCACACCTTTGCGGGCTGCCTGGCCAGTTTTTATCGTTTTCGCACTCTCGTTCAACACACAGGAACGTTGTTTCTCTCTACTCAAGCCGAAGCGATACATCGAAATTAACCAGGACCGTGAAAGACCAATGTGAATGTTTCGGTTCTTCGATCCCATCGTTCTCTTGGTGAATCGATCATTTGGACGATTGATGATTGATCCAGGAATCGCCGTTATTAGCTTTAATTTCATTATTTTCATTACTACTTTTACAAATCCTCCGTCTTTCCATAGAATAATAAGTCAGCTAGTTATTATTCTATGGTCTTTCACTGTGGGATGCACTGTGGGTTAGTTCGACTGTTCGCGACTGTTCGACTGCAACTCGTTACTCGACAATCGACATATTCACCCCGCTCTTTCTACTCCTAACCCCGAAGCCAAAGTCAAAGTCATCAATTTTCAGATCTTCTTTATCGTATCCCCATTATCAGTGAGATGAAGTGAAGGTAATTCAGATCTGATTCTGCAGGCGTGGGAATCGTCAGATGAGCCTTGTGACAGGTGCTCGCTATGAGGCTTTTGTTATAATGCTCTCCCAGAGGTTTTTCCTATCGTTTAGTAAGCGATAACTAGGCATTAGAAAAGTTCGGAAAATGATCGCGTTGCAATCTGTTGACGCTAAATCGGTAGTGTAATGCTCCTTATCACCATATTCAATTTTTTTGAATTGATAAAGTAGTCTGTACCTATTTTAGTCCAGTGTTAGTTCAACATATCACTCAGGATGGATGTCGACTCACGGTTAATCGTGAAGAAGGTAGTTTTGGACGTGGTTTGTCTTGCAGCAGGTAAGTTTTGACTGATTGCAGGTTTAAATTTCAGTTTATTCAGAACTAAAGTTACATGATCCATGTTAGGACAGAGGTACAAAATGCTCACTGAAATTGGGATGTTGAAACATATGGGATGCCATGAAATGCATATAGGAAAAAAGTATATGTCCGAGGACATCTACTGCCCCTAATGAAGTCTTTCTTTATCCTTGTATCAAGGTGTGACACAAGGATATGTTCAATGGAATGCATCATGACTTGGACATTGGTTGGCAACCACCTCAGAAGAGTGGTCTAGTATTCCACTGAATCACGATGGACCACACTCATGGGCGTAGCTAGGGGAGTCCTTGGGGGGAGGCCTGGCCCCCCCCAGAAATCTCTTGCCCCCCCCTAAAAAAAACGGGATCCTTCATTCCTCACCCTCCCCCCCGCTCTCTTCACCACGAGAGGTGGTCCCATGCCCCCCCCCCAAAGAAATTTCCGAGCTACGCCCCTGACCTTACTCAGGAGGTAGGATGAAAAAACATAGCAATACGACACGGTCCATTGCTTTCTGTTGCGGTGCAGACAGATTAAAAGCCTCATGGAATGGGTCAGTTGCGCTGGTCCCAAAATCAGGTTCTGATGCTTGATCCTTGTAGACAAGCTTAATATATTAAGATCTGTCTAAACCGCAACTTTCTACATTCATTATTAACTGAGATATATTGCCTTTTGAAAAGTCGCGTTTTTGACGTCATCCTCCGAGGTAGTGACACCCTTGGTTTCTTCAACCTTGCTTTCATCTGAGTTTCACGTTGAACAACCAGTGCACATGAGCGTCAGGCTGACTGATGAAAGCAAGGTAGAAGAAACCAAGGGTGGCACTACTGCGGTGGACGTCAAAACCCCGACTTTACAAAGGGCAATATCTCGGTCATTATTGAATGTAGAACAACAACAACAACAAAGTTTTGGTTTAGACAGATCTGATTATTTTTAGCTTATCTACAAAAATTAATCATCATAACACGATTTTATAACCAGCCCAACTGACCCATTGTTCCAATTAGCCTGGGGGCGCCAATGGCCCTTACTTAGTGAATCATTCAGTATGTTGGTCAGGCAAGATGAACATCCAAAAGATATAAGCCTTTGAGGTCACTTCGCAATCTCATCGGGTGGATGTCACTTGTTGAATTAGGTGTACTTACTTAAATTAGTACTTTGTGCTCGCTCATGGTGTGTCAAGTCAAACTCAGATCAGCTTGGGGTCAGCATCACTCAACAGCTTCTTACACGGAATCCAATGGCATCTTTAGTAAGTGTTGAGATAAACAAGATCTGTATATTGCCTCGATATATACTTAATGAGCGAGCTCACAAGTGTCATAGTCATGAAAATATCATATCCATGCCAAAATGGGAAGAACTTGTAGAGCTAGCTCATCTTATGTGGAGACTTAGGTCATTCAGAGGATCAGCTACGAATCAGCATCTTTCAACAGCTTATCGGAGCGGACTCATCGTATGTTGAGACGAATGCCAATCTCTGATTACCTCCGAATCAGCACCACTCCATAGGTTATTACATGCAGTCAGATGGCACTACTGATCAGTGGTGACCTAAACAATACTTGACTTTTGTCTCAACATCTGATGAGTCTGCTCTACTTGCATTCAGATCGCAGCAGTGATGAGAGGTAACAGTAAAGACTTGACTACTGTCCCAACATTCAAAAAGAAACATTTATTTTGGTTTGGCATATCGAAGCTTTGTAGTTAAAGTTATCAATTATAGGATGATGGATTACGTTTTCGGGAGTAATAACTTTGTTCTAACAGACAATAGGTATGTCAGTGCGCTGCAAACTGATCCTTGACATTTTTTAGATAATTCTTACCCTAGCGGGATATCAGTTTTGAAGTGTTCTTTAAATCCACGCCAAGCCTTTACGATAAGTATATAATTTTACTGGATGAAAAATACAGTTCAAATTGTCTTGAGCAGCCAACTGATATTTTAATTATGTGTATCTACGGTAATGATCAGGATTTGACGCAGGTACGCATGAAAGGAACATGTTCAACATTCAAAATAATCAAAATAATTTACTTTTTAAGACCATAACTTTTGCTCAGACAATACAAGAAAGCAAGATTCAAGGTGTCATACTCCAGGATGCACGAATATCAAGTACCTTGTCTCTGGGATCAAAGAAACGATAACTGCAGCATTGTTAACTCTGAAATAATTCCAAATGCTGCACTATGAATTACAGTCTATTACTTGTGTAAATTTTAGTCTTGCCTAACATTTTATCCTCTTTTGCAGTTGGTTTCCCAATCCTGCTGTTTTATTTATTTGGCGATCCGTACAAAAGGGGATTCTTTTGCAGTGACGAGTCCATCAGATATCCATACCATGGATCAACGGTTTCTAATGTTGCCTTGTATATTGTTGGCATGGGATTGCCAATTATTGTTGTAAGTTTTGATTAATATTACCAACACCTTACACAACCTACTTACTTTCAAATTAAATTTAAAACTTTCAAGTGAATTCATCAAAAAATTCTATCCATACACTCTTAGTCAAACCCACATACTTCACCAATCACAACTTCTCAAACTGCTTCACGAATTATTATTTTGTTCCTGAAAAGTTGGAAATTTGCGCGCATCAATTTCATTGTATCTAAGTTTTTTGCTCATCTCAAAAAAAAAAAAAAAAAAAATTTCTCCTACAACTCTTAACAAATGCACCACTTTTAGCATTCTCAATAACTCAGAAATGGCGTTCGTATCTTATTGGACTGGAACTTAGAACTGGTTTAATCTAATGAAAAAAAATAGAAAATTAAGATTGAGGAGAAGCACAGAAAAAGCAAGGAGGCACTGTGTAGAACCCACTGGTCGAGTCGGAAAAGACTACTAACAGTTTAGTTTCTCAGAACTTAGAGACAAGTGATAACACTCTGTATATCTGATGGTAATTCAATCAATCAACTCAATCAAGATCAATCTGGTAATCAATTTTGATCTGTCTGTTGATTATTTTATAATAGTTTTCTTGCTTGATGTGAAAGAGCTAAGTCATACTAGGAGTACCAGGAGTCATTTCAGAATTGACCGGAGGAAAAATAGAAAAAAAATCCTCAACAAAATGTTAAAATATGCAAATCTGGAAAATTCTTTAGCTTCTTGTGGAATTTAGTTGGCATTAAAATTTTGCCAGACTTTTAAAATCGTCCAGTGTTAAGAAACCCAAAGCGTCAGTACAAAATGTGTAATGTATTATGCTTCAAATGTACTTAATAATTTACTGCAGTTAACTCAGTAAATAATGAAAATGTGTAAAAATGCGAAGAAAAAGTTTCCTAAATAGTCTATTTAAGTTTTTTATTACTTTTAATTTTAATTTTTCATGATATTTTTATGTTGATACCGGTAGGTTGATGCCTCTTATGAGTCATGTACTTGTCATAAGTAGTCATGAGTCAATGAGTCATATACAATTGAGAGGGAGGCAGGTGTGTTTTAAATCAAAAAGAGGAAGTCAGTGATCGATATATTAATTAATTATTTCCATAACATCTTTTTATATTTTAACTGCTGGATATCCATTTTGTTTTTGTTTCAACATTTCTCTCCACATTTGAATGTTCCATTCAAGGTTTTAAGCCTTATAATTCCTGGAAAAGCATTCAAAATTTTGTTTCCAGTAAATGTTAAATCGAATAAAAGGTGAAATGCGGGTCCAGGCTCTGGTAGCAATGTTATCACGATTAAACCCTCTCTCTTCTTACTCATGGATTTATCCATGAGAGAAGGATATGAATGTCATTGAAACCAACCAAGATAGGAGATTATCTAATCCAATTTTTAATGCTGTAAAAAAATCAGAGTTGGAGCAAAGTATAATCTCAAGATAAAAAGCTGAGAGTATCTTATCTAAAAAGCCTACCACTTATCTCAAGATACAATGTAGAGAACCTCCAGTATATGAGTTCTAATCTTCAAAGTGCCACACTTCTCAACCTTTCTCACAAATTCTTGCTGATTAATTATGATTTGTGGTAGACACACCTTCTACAATTTCGTTTTTACATTGTTGCCTGAATACCTACGCTTCTCTAAAATTCAGTGTAACAACTCTAATGTCAGAGTTGATCAAAGATCATTTAGGTTGTTTAGACTTGTTATTGGGGAGGAGATATTTTTTTAAGAATGATCGATGAAAGATTATCTTTCCCTCCCATTCGGCATTGCTATTTAGTACAATACTCAACAGGAAGTAGGTACTTGAAGTTATTGAAATTTGTGTTTATATACTGCGGTAGTTAAATATTTTTATCTTCCACTCATACCATCATGAGTAGCGGTCTTCTCTTGACTAATACCTTTTTTTATCTTCGTCATATTTCTATTTTTGTCTTCACCTGGAAGTAATGTCAAGGAGTACACATGATTGATACTGGGAAAAGTTTAGTCATGAATGGATAGCGGAAATCCTATGTAAAAATTGCCTTATTTAAATGAGTGGCAAATGACCAGAGATTATGACACCATTTTTTTTTTTGCAAGTTGAAGGATGAAGATCTAAGCCACGAAAGTTTTATGAGGAGAGAGGGGAAGGGTCCAAAAATCTGAAATTTAGGGTCTCGTATTTTATGAACGGCTGCGTTAAGGTCAAGACAAAATAAACTGAAGTAATATTAAAGGACATATCAAATCATCAGAAAATCCCTTTGAAAGTTAGTGATTATTATTAAATCTTTTAACTGCAAAGAAATTAAGCTTTTTCAGTCAGTGTGCCACCACAAAGTATACAGGATCAAAGAGGTGATAAAACACGTTTTCCCATCGTATGCCTGAGGTATGCTTCATTTACAATGAAACGAAAAGATAAACCATGCCAATTAACTTGAATGAAAAATTGCATTTTTTAAAGTGAAACAATGACTGATAACTTATAAATTGAGGATGAATGAAGTTTGAAGAAATTAGTGTGGTTTCAGTGAATAAATTAGTATTGTTTCGCACAGTCTTGAATGAGTTACAAATTATGCGCAGCCATTATTGTTTTTTTCTTTTTAGGAATTCATGAATGGGAATTTTGAATACATCAGTGCAGTAATGAAGCCGTGTTTACAGATTTTTCCAGAGACAATGTCTAAATATCAGACACAAAAAATGACTCTCTTGTTCGTGGCTAAACCAAATTAGAGGGGCTTGGAGGACAAGGCGCACAAGTGCAGTTTTTGCTATTTCGAGAAATTATACGTGTTTGACGTTTCGAAATTACATGGATTTTCATTGCAGAAAGAAAGTTGTAACTTAATTTTTTAAAGCTTAAAAATTGGAATTTGGGAGTGAATTTTTTCCAAAATATGCATTGAGACTAGTTTCACTTGAAATCATCACTATCTCGATCTTTTCAAAAACTGCACTTAAATGCGCCTTGTCCTCCAAGCCTCTCATTTGTTCAGGGCTGCGCTTCTTAAAATTTCTTGAAGTTACAGAGCTCACAGTGAAAACAATTTTGAGAAATTCTAGTAAAGTTCAAAAATCTTAAATCTTCCAACGGAACTTACTTATCCTTTGCTCCTCATCTCCTCTTGTTTTTGTTTAGATGTTGATCACTGAATATTCACTCTATCGGCATGCGGAAGGTTTTAGAGCCCGGAATCTTCTCGGGCATAAAATCCAAGTATGGATATGGAATAGCTACAAAGCAATCGGGGCTTTTGGTTTCGGGGCAGCAGCTTCTCAACTAACAACAGACATTGGAAAGTATACCATAGGGCGTTTGAGGCCTCACTTCTTTGATGTGTGCAAACCAAACATCAACTGCTCCGATCCCTCCAACCAACTTGTTTACATCGAGAAATTCATGTGTCGCGGTTCAGACCTTAAGTTGATACGTGACTCAAAGTAAGCCTCTGTTTACTCATCAATTCATTTTGTGAATATTTCTCTACAAAATAGGTGTTTAACTCTTTGTGGTCGACTGATGGGCAAGACTGGACAAAATTTTTGTCATGTTCTGGTCGGAAGTCCGGCCTGACTGGATATGAAGTTTAGCGAGCTTTGGAGTCGTATACCAGGCCCGAGTCGATCCGCTTAACAAAACACAACCTCCCAGTAAATAAGCCAAGATTAATTATNGGGGGGGGGGGGGGGGGGGGCAAACAGGGACAATTAATTCTGTCCACAAAGGGTTAAGGTGGTACACTGAAAAAAAAAAAGGTTAAGTTACGAATATTTCCAGTAACCATTGATCAACAGAATTCACAGAATTTTTACCATGTTCTTAGTAATTGCTCAAATAATTTTTAATTAAACATTGTAAAATTTTTTGGACGTCCATTGATTAAGAATTGCTGGAAAAATTGGTAAGTTAACAATATTTTTGTTCGTTTTTGGAGTACTCAACGAATTAAAAGATTTCACTGTTATATTTTTCAAAGAGGAGTATCGTTAAATATTCCTGTACCAAGAGGCTTGTCCAACTTGTCATGGAAAAATTCTGGGAATACACACCCTTCTTTTCAAGAAAATGTGTAAAAATTAGTTCTCAGGCATCTAGGCAATAGGTTGAATTTTATCCTATTTGTATTACTTTTCACAAAAATTCAGAAAGAATGTTCTCATTAGGCACTGTCCATCTAGAAAAAATTCTCAATCCGGTAAATTGAATTGGAAAAAAGTGTTAAACTGAGACCTGCAACTGATTTTCAATGTTCCCCAGCGAGTAAAAATGGGAAGGCCCTGATATTATTTTTTAAAAATGGGAGGTCATCTCAATTAGTGTAGAAATTGGGTATTTTCCACAAATCAAGATAAAAATTGCATATTTTCCCTGAAATTGCAGCAGTTTGTACAATGAGTGCATGTAAAGGTCATCACTTTGAAATTATATAGAAAAAAGGGTACCTAAAATAGGAAGGTCAATTTGACAAAAAGGAAGGCTAAAGGCTTTCTGCGTTGCTGTCTTGAAGTCACCTAATCCAAAAGTTGTATGTGAATAAAAATAAAACTTGCTATCAATTTATGGAAGCAATAGGTAGTTTGACTCTAATATTGTCATGGGAACGGAGTTCCCCATGATATTAGAATCGTTCCGTTGCTTTCGCTATGGGATTCCCTATACCTCTGCGACCTTGAGCGTTTCGCCCAGTGTTCGATTTTTGGTTGATATTCCGATGTATCAAAAACCGTTGTATTTTTTAGCCAATCATGTCTCTACGTCAAGTTGTGTTGATTGCTAAAATTCGCTTTCAGCGAGTTTTTTTCCACCTTGAGATGTCGTGTCTGACTGGTAAATCTGCGCAGATCCACGAAGTTCCGTTTTTGGGCAAATTCTTTTTTTTGGGAGGTTTTCATTGGTTATTTTTCGCCATCAGTTTTCTGTTCGTTGGTGCAAAAGATAGCCTACCTCGTTGCTCTTGAGAAGCCGCCATCATCCCACCTCAAATTTTACAAATAGAAATAAAGAAATTGTAACTATTGTGCAAGGTGGAAAACTGCTCTGGAGGACCCGTTACGGATATATGAGCCAAAATTGGAACTCGACGGATTGATTTATTCCATGAATACAGAAATATTGCCTCAGCTTACTGCCGCGATCGCGAATGCATTCTGGGATGAAACTCGAGACACATGATAGCATAGGCAAACAATGTCTCACAGAGAAAGGCAGTTAGCTCTTTTTCTCATATCTCAGAGGCTACGAAGACGCGAATCGCTCAAGGACAACTCTTGTGATAAGTCCCGCCCATCGTCCGAGTCTTTTAAATGCTAATTTTACTCAACACGCCGTGGTTCTGAGATAGCCTAGTTGACTGAGGCGCCCCATTTTTTTGGTAAGGTGCGGGCAATAGGTGATCGGGAGTTCGATACCCGGCGATGGGAGTTAATTTTTAATGGTTGTATTGAATGTTTTAGACCAATCATCAAAAAATAATTAATACTAGATGATAAATGTACAAACATTTTCTCGTGAGTTAATATGTTAAACAAAAATACTGGAATATACCTCCTTCATATAATTAGCCACATGTTTCCCCAAATTAATGACGTTATTTTTTTTTTTTCAAGAAAGTTTATTTGCATTCAACGTTCGTAAGTTAAGCAAGATGTACCTATTGATACAAATAGAAAGACATGAAAATAGTATGTCTAACATTTCAGTTGTTTTTTTTTTTTTTTTTTTTTTTTTTTTTTTTTTTTTTTTTTTTTTGTTTTTTTGTCTTTTCAATAAAACAAATTGCCTTGGACTAGAATCAGTGTATCTCTGAAGACAAAAGCTAAGTTTTTTGATACAGAAATACTAATATATTCATCCGTTATATAATCAGGGAGATGTTGACCCAAATATTGATGTATATTTTCTCTGTTCGCCCAAATTAATTATGGTATTTTCTTTTTTCAAAAAATAAATAAAGCAATGACATGAAAGTAGTATAGTGCACATCAAACATTTCAGTTACATCTATTTGAATGAAAAAATGGCAACTTAGGAGGCACATAGGTCACTTATGATGCGTATTCGGGCATATGTGTAGAGTAAAAATATCATACTTTACGCCGAAAAAGCGAAACTGAAAGTTAAATGCGTTAACTTCCGAAAACCATGTATAATCCAACGAAAATAAATAATTGGTAAATAACAGCTTTATTGTATGCAAAGAAAAAAAAATTAAAAATGTTAAAAAAGAGATGTTGACACAAAATTACATAGCCCCTTCAATTCTGAAGATACTTCAAACGAACTGTACCTTAAAATTTTCATATCCCAGAAGCTAAAGTTCCCATGACGAATATTGCTATCGCTAGCGATTGCAAAAACCAACTTGTTCTAATTATGCCTGGTCGTAACGGGAGAAAACTAAAGTCTAAATTGTAAGTTTTCAATGGGGATGGAAGTGTTAGAAAGGAGATAAATATCATATAATAAATAAAACTTCTGGGTAGTCTTTGCATGAAGAGGTTATCAATCCTTGAATGGTACAAATATCAAAAGAAGTATCAGGAGTTTGGTAAAAATATAGGAACAAATAGGTAGAAGCATTCTAGTAGGAAACACTGTTCATTAACTGAGAAATCTACCACTGTAAGAATCAACTTACTCTCTCATTTTTAAATCTATTTTCTATATCATGTTATGCCAGAAAAAAAGCATAAGAATGTTATATTAGAATTTCTTTCAATAACTTTATAAGCAAAATTCAGAATGTAATTTGTTTGTTCTCTTTTTTGTCACAGGTTGTCTTTTCCCTCAGGTCATTCCTCATTCTCATTCTACACCATGGTTTACCTAGCGGTAAGTTTCTAGAAAGTATCTCGCCACATTTGATCAAATGATGCAAGTTTTTGAACTACTCTGTATTTAATTTACCATGTTTATTGAGAGATTTAAAGCTGCTAGCTTCATAATATCGTTAAATATTAGGAAAACCTCAAAATTTACTGTCTTGAGGCAAAACTTTTCAACCAAAGACTAAAGTAAATATATAATAGAATAAATAATCTTAGAAGTCAAAAACAAACAAAAATGTACAGTTTTTGACTGAATTTTAAACGCCCATTGGCGAAATCACCAACTCTCTTGTGAAAAAGTTGTTTAGTTGAACATGATCTGCAAATCGTTGAGAGAGCATTCAATTTTGGAAACCGTTTTTTCTTAAACACGTCTGATATCTATGCTGATATTCACAGATCTATCTTCAAGCAAGAGTGCCGTGGAACAAATGCCGCTTATGGAAACATTTCGCTCAGTTTGTCGTCATAATGATGGCCTGGGGAACAGCCTTATCCAGAGTCTCGGACTACAAGCATCATTTTAGTGATGTCATTGCTGGAGGATGCATAGGCACTCTCGCTGCCCTTCTGACGGTAAAGTAAACAGATCATATTATAGCTAACACGCAAGTTTAGGTACTTTCCAATTTGCAGTAAAAATTAGGAAAGGCAAGCGATTTGTAAAAATTTCCAATAATTAGTGATCATCATCTCCAGGGGCCTCTGAAAATTTAGCAAAACAGTTGTGAGGAATTTAGACATTTTTTTCAGAAATGATTGGGAATTGAAAACATTTTGATGCAAATTTTGAGGAAATCAGACTCTTTGATATAAGAAGAAAAGACGTTAGAGGAGAAATGTTTGATCCCGAAAATCTGTCAGACTACTCTGATGCCTCTACACATAAAGTTAGGGCCTAGAAAGGCAGTCAATGGATGATTTTAAATTACTTGTTGCTATAACAATACATGTTGTTATCCCAGTTAATATCAAACATAGAGTTGCTAATGGGACGAATCTTATTATTTTTAGCTAATCTGCAAGAACATCAAAAATGCCTCTGTGATCAGCGCAACTGACCCATTGGATGAACCTTTGAATAGCTCATAAGCTTCCGCTGTGCCGTGAACTGTTAACATGTTTATTCCTATGAAGGCAGTACTGAATTTAAGCCCTGGTTTCAAAGTCTCATTTTTACATTACATTCATTACACCCATTTCTGTGTTCAATAATGCTAAGCCTGTGATTTCTGATTTGTGCAGTCGTACTTTGTGTCGGATTTGTTTGTTCCTAAGAAGAGGCTCCATCCAAGTGACCCCTCAGAAGTGGATCTAAATTTTAAATCAAACAATGAAATGGACAGGAGCGCAACAGGTATTGCTTCTTCTCCGTAAGCCCCCTTTCCTTTCTTTTTCTCTATGATGAAACACATTTCTGCCATTCAGCTTTCAGTATTACGATTTACGTTTAAGTTGGTTTATTGCTTTCATGATAATTGATATCATTCTGGGCTTTATTTGCCTCATCTTTCGAGGGCAGCCCAGAAAACAAGCTTGATGAGATTTGAGAACTTTTCTAACATAGTGTAAGACTTTCAAGCAGTGTTCTAACTATACCCCTAAATATTGGAAGGCATTTTATCTGGTTAGCTTATTATTTTGAAGGATTTTTGGCATGACTATCATTAAGCATGTAATCGTATGAGGAGGGAAGATCCCATACAGTGCATTCTCGTCAATTTGAAATTGAAGGGCTTCGAATTTGTAAACATGCATTTTTTTGCTTTACCAATAAAAAACAGTGTATTCTTGTTTGAAATTTTCAGCTATGCTAGATTAAAAATAGAAAAAATTCTCCAAGAAATTCAAGGAAAAGAAGTCGCAAGTTTTTCAGAAAATTCATTTCGTAGATTTAGCAAATCCCAATCGTTCATACATACCATATCTTTTCTTAGCAAGATAGAACAGAAAGCAGCTGCATTCTCAGTTCCAGATGTCATTTTTTGCCAGTATTCCTCATTTTTCGATGCTGAAGTTAAATTTTTCGCCCCATCCTACGCTTGTGCCTGTTGAAGTTTGAACACTGTTCCCAAGCTAAATGTTAACGTTATTACAAGCTTGAGACACTAGGTTTCCTCTTGCAATGAGTGGAAAATTTAATCAGTGTAAAATCGAGAAGTGTCTTTTATTTAACAGGGGAAAAATTTACTTCTGTGCTTCAACTTTAATTAAGAGGTCCAGAAATAGCAGTTTTTGCTTATCGTCAATCTCTCCCAAAATTTTTGTTCATTGTCTCCCCTTTTCTGAAGGTTTCAGTCTCGAGAAATTTTTTTCCTTTAAAAAAAAAGTAAGGTCCAATTTTGGGAGCACTCAAATATTGAACAATTTTTAGACAAATTTTAGCGCAAATGGCAACTCGATACTTCCATTTCTCTTCAGAAATAGGCGTGTCATATGACAGGGAACAACAACCAAAAATTTGAGTAGGATCTGAGGATAGGCAACAATTGCTGTTATTGGCTAAACCTCTATGTTTGATAACCCTCTAATGAATCTAACTTGCTAATCAGCTCATTGAGAAGCATATTTCCATGTTTACATTTACATTTTACTCAATTTTCATTGTATTTATGCAGCACATTCAAATTTAGGTAGTGGTATCTAGGTTTTAATGTAAATGTAAACATGCATTTGTCACGCTGGTCCAACTTACAATGAATTTTTGTTATTATACAAGTCTTATTCTCGGTTTAATTTCATTGAGTTCGACTTCAGGGCAAATTTTTCTAGGAATTTGTTGTTTTTACTGTTATCTTGCCAAGTTGCGAGAAGATTATCATTTCTGTCTTTCAAATTTTTGGACCGAGATCTGCTCATGAAATGTACACTGGAGTTGCCTACTTTTTTTGTCGGATTTATGATGCATTCACTCTCTGTAGATTTTACGCTTTCTTGTATCATTACATTTGTGATTAAAATTATGTGCGCACACAATATTTTCCTATCAACGGCAGGAACCATTCATTTTTTATCATGTTTAGCTACTAACATTTTTCCTAGTGTAAACTTTTCCCTGCATTTAGACTGTAAGGCGCAATAAGAACATGCATCATTTTATTTTATGCATGTAAATCAGTTTTCTGTATCATAAATACTCACTGCTCAAATATCATGAGATTTATTTTAATGAATCCATCATATAGAGCCAGATAAGTGTATCTACGTTTTAGTCAATTTGTCATTTACGAGGAAAACTGTGTGGCCAGCATTTAAAGCAATCATAAATTTAATTTTATTGTGAGAAAAATGTTCATGTCCTGCAACATTTTCAGATCGGTTTTCCCAAGACTTGCCCTCATCACTTGGGTGATTGTTTCCAACTGCCGATTTTGTTGCACTTGAATCACTTTTGATCTACTAATAGTGGGAACTTTATCTTTTAAAGTGTCTTTATTCATCTTCTCAGCTGTCAGAAATTTTCTCTCAATTGGTGCTTTTAGTGAATTTTCTTCAGAAAATACACTATTTGGTTTTAACCTGGGAATCATTCAACATTTTGTGTAAATGTTTTAGTCCATAGAGCTTTTGCACCTGGCGACTGACATAATTTTAATCATAGCCAGAGTCATCCATTAGAAATTTCAAAATTTATAGGTGAAAACTAAGTCTGTGAGTGAGGTGAATCAAAAATAGCTCATCTGCTGCTGCAGAACATTAAATATGTTCATTATTGAGGTTATTAGAGAAAAAACAATGTACCTGCAATTTTTGTACCATTGTTTTAACCAATACTTTACATTGTTACGTCATGACCATTCAAACAGCGGCAAACATAAGGTTTGCTTGTAACAGGCATTCTGAATTTAACTAGGTCGAGGTTAGTTTTCTAGGAGAAACAATTGATAATAAGGCTTCCATGCAGGGATAAAATTTTGGCGATTATGTTTTCTCACTAGTAAAATCACCGGAGTTGAAGAACTTAGAATTTTCAATTTCTAGTTTTTCTGATTTTAATATACCTTGCTCTATTCTAACAATGGCCTAAAAATTTGCAAAGGACCTTGTTTACTGTCTACTTCTAAAAAGAAAACGAATGCTAAAGGATGCAAAAGCTCTATTCTGGATGTTATGTGTCGATGGTGAAACTGCAAAATCAGTTATCTCAGTTTCTGACGTTGCAGACTGCCCGTCATACTTTATTCTCTCGATATAAAACTACCCCACATCGTTTCTTGAAGACTGAGGTGATTTTTCTACTTTGTATGAAGAATATCCTGTGAAAATTTCAAGTCATGACTCTGGTTTGTTCTCCTTTTAAAAAATGAAATCAAAGCAAAGATTTTGAAACATTGCAACTGATTTTAAGATACATGTTTGTGCAGTCTCACTGTCAGTATTCTTTTACTGGGTGGCCACAGTTAGGGAAAACCTTGGAAAGGCAGGAGAATAAATTGGGCCTTGGAAAATCCGAAAAAGTCAAAGCTCGAAGAAAATTGCGATCACGGCAGTTATAAATTTTTATGCGCTACCTCAGCTTGTAAGTTAGCTGGATCATAAAATCTTAAAATTATTATTTATCGCCTTGCATCAGTGCAATTTCTCCAATTTGGTCAAGGAAAACATGGAAAAGTCAGGAAATTTCAACTCTAAAATTCTGTGGCCACCTAGCCTCTAAAATGGCAGACTTGGTGTGAGTCTGAGTGGGAAAGTGTACTTGTAATCCTTCATCAACTGCTCATGGAAATCATTCAACTCTCCTCGATTGAATTTATTTATGCTAAAAAAAACTATATGCCCAGGATTTTTGTGCAACATAATTCTTTTTAGCATACATGCGTGAAATTATAATTATGTTGTGTCAGTGGAAATGATCTACTTTTCAAAAACTTAAGACTAAAATTTATGTTGTCTGAGTGTGTGATTGAAAAATTATTACCTATCATAATTAATGTGGATACACTCCATCGATATTGCTTTAATGTTTTTTATCCTTCATTTTCTTAAAATATTTAACTTTACTCTGTAAACCTACTGTTTACTTTTCGTCTATATTTTTTGGCCATTATTATTCACAGTTTCTCATCTTAAGATTAACCTGAAATCTGAAGGTTATCTAATGAGTTGCACGAAGAGCAAATATTTTAGACTTTAATTGTTCATTTTTTAGCTCCCAACCGGAACAGCAATGACAGATATCAGGCCAAAATTGTAAGAGGCACATTAAAATTTCCCAAAGAGTCTAGTATTTGCATTAACATCTTCGTTCTGAAGGCAATTTCTAAGTGTCTCCAAGTTAGAGAAATTCAAAGGAAAATCTTAGAATTTCGGAGAATCTCAATTATGTTGTCTCGTCATACATGACTCATCTAAATCATGACATTTTGTCAAAAAGCAGGTTTAGAGTGGTGTCACCTACTGAAAATATCTTAAAAGGCTTTTTGCATTTTGAATGTTACGTTTCTAGTTTCCATTGTATTGTCCATTTATTCATTCACTCATCTCATTGTGCGTACGATATTTGCCCTTTTGATTCTGCTTCAGAAAAAAAATTTGAAAACGAGAATTTCCCACAATCAATCCTGCAAAATGATTATGGCAAACTATAGATACTGGCTTGAGTCGAGTGTCTGGATACCCAACAGCTGATGTTATGAAACATCAATTATTTTCGCAGGAAAATTTGACTTTTTTGTTTAAGGCAATCTCAGTGAAATTGATGTGTGATAGTATTGGTTATGATCTGTTACATTATTTTGTTTGGTTCTGGATATCAATTCAGTTCCTCTCATAAAACTTATTCCAATTTGGTGAAGCATCATGTTGACAGCGACATTGCAGGAATGCATATTCTATATCAAGGTTTGTGATGCTGCAGACCCAAAAAATAATCAACATCATTCCTTAAAAACTTCCCTGATCTTCCTCTCTGCGTTAAGAATATTACCAAGGTTGTACCATAATGACCCGGGCTGGCGCTTTACCTCAAAAACTAATCAATGAATTGAGGTGATACTGAGCTTATTCGAAAGAGAAAGTCAAAAGAAAGCAATCAAAGATCACTTTATTTGGATGAAAATTGACAAAGTTATGACAGTTTAAAAACAGGTTGAAGAAAACACCCTCCCGTCTTTTAAATAAAAAATTATTTTCAACATATTCAAAGTTCAATCTTCATTTTCGCTTTCCTCTGGGTCTTCAAGTACTTCTCTTTCTTTCTCAAAGTATTTACCTTCAATTCGAATACATTTTTCCATCCGCTACTTCCATTTTGTCAAGATTGTCTTCGAGAAATCTTCTTTGGGGATGCGTTTGAAGAATGCGTAGAGTTCGTTCTTGATCGTGTCCTTTGATTCAAAGTGCTTGCTGCGGAGAGCTTTCATTTCTTTAATTACAGGAACAACCCAAAGTTGCTTGGAGCAAGATCGGGGCTGTACGGCGGGTACCTGAGGGTCTCAACTCTATTCTTTAACATAAAATTGCCGTTGGCGCTCGAGGTGTGAGGACGCGCGCTGTCCTGCAGGAGCATCCAGGTTGCTTTCAATCGCGGACATATTCGCGAGATGTGCTTGCGAAAATCCGCCAGGACTTTGCCATAATAATCGCTGTCCACCGTGGTTTTATCGGTAACGAAGTGCTGATAAACAATGCCCTCGGAATCAAAAAAAGCAATTAGCATTTGTCGCCAAGTTGTTTTCGTTGGGGAAAGATCACCGGAAAAGTTTGATGAGTCAAACGAAAAGAAACAAGTTGAAAAAAACGGTAGGGTATTTTCTCACAACCTGTTTTTAAAGTGTCATAACATGTTCAATTATCATCCTAACAAAGGGATCTTTAGCGCAGTTGCTTCCTTTTGACTTTATCTGTCGAATGAGCCCAAGATCAGCTCAATCCGTTGATTAGTTTTTGAGTTACAGCACCAATAAGAGTCATTGTGGGACAGCCTTTGTACTATGCAAAAATTTTAAGCAATAGCATTTGTTTGTTCTTCATTGATAAAACAAAATGGAGGCAGAGGTGTTAAAACACCGCGAACTAGTCATGCCTTCCTGCAGTTTCGCCGTTGGTATGTGGATTTATTTGGTATTCAATGCTTTTGTTTTTGCTATCTGTATTTTGTTTGTACGTTTCACATTACAAAGGCTACGTATGTAAACGGTATTTATGTCACTTTTGGTTTCACAATTAAGGTAATCCACCTAGTGCTAGTTTATAGCACCGAAGTGAATTTTATGTAGAGGTCATTTTCGTTTCGTGCTTCTCATGGTTTTATTTATTGGCTGGTATAAGCATCATCTTCCATGTCTCTCATATTCTCACTTCATCAATGCATCTGGGAGGAATTCACACCATTCAAGCGAGCTTTCCAAGCAATAGGCTCCTAGTGGCACATTCAATTAGGATACAACTTTTTGCGTTTAAATGCACTGTGTTGTGTTTCAGATACGACTTATAGAACTTTCGGTATTCGCACTCCACATCGGCTTGGAACAGAACCTTAGGATGTAAAGAGTTACTTTCTTTGAAGGAAGATCATACCCTGTGATGTTAATACCCTCCAGAATTTTCAATTCCTGTAAAATGTGATAAAGGCTCTAAGACTGTGAATTGCAAAGAAAGCGGATGAGCTCAAATTGTTCAGGCTCAATGAATTGAGTTGTTCACCAATTTGCAATAACAAGGTTTTTAGTTGATCAGTTTGCTGGATTGAAGGATCTAATGTATGAAATTAATAGCAAAACTTTCCTAAATATGAGAAAAATAGGTTTAATTATAAAAAGACAACGCATGGAATACCAGGAAATTCAGTGCCAGCTAAATTTAGATTTCTACTATATGATTAGATGTTCCTTGCAATCTCCTAAGTAAGATGAGCCTTTACAATAGAACTTCTTTTTGCCTATTTTCGAGAAATACTGGTCTGAAAAGAGCGTTCTTGGCAGTTTTACTCGCACTATCAAGTTTAAAATAATTAATCATTATTAAATGTAGGTGATTGAGGGATTCCTTTCTCCTCGCCTCGCACCGGCCACAGAAATTAGTCGGCGCGTCAGTTAAAAACAAAAGGCTTCGCATCTTCGACTTAGCCACTTCTCCAAATAAACACACTTTAAACTGCAATCAAATGCACTTTTGAACTTTCTCTAAATCATCACCTGGAAATTTCGATTTTCAAATTTCATGAGACTCAGGAGATAGTAAGGAACATCATATCGAAAAATCTCAAAATTCGGCTGATGCAGAATTTCTTGGTATTCCATGCGCAATCCTCTTATTGTGCCATGGCTTGAATGAGGTTTGAACCGATTTTGACAATTCAATTTGTACAAGCTGTACTTAATTCATTCAACTGGAAATAATCAATGTTGTGACTTTTTTCGAATATCTCACTGACAAACTTCATACACTGACAACGAGACCTTTTTTAATTATACAGAAAAACAATTGAACTGATTGGTAATTAATTTTGCCTAGTCTAAATGCAACTTTGTCCAAAAAAGCTTCAATTGAGAATTTTACTCTTTGCAGGGTTCCAATACAAAATACAAGAGAAATTTTGGATGATCTCGAAAAACATAAATTACTAGTCTATTATTTCGGCAGACTTTAAGTTTTATTGATAGGTTGGCGAAAACAGAAAAATTAAATATTTACATGCTAGGCAAACATAGTGAATAATTTTCATAATTGAGGATGAAACTTTCTGGCTTCATTCACCTCAGGTAAATCTTCTTTTCCTTATACATCGCATTTCGTAGAGTTTTTTTTGTCCCACTAGGGACCTCTCTTGTCACGTTTGTTGTCGTTTCTCCCATAGATCTATGCATTAACGCATGTCTATTTTTCATGCAGAATTATTGATCAATCCTATGGAATTTGAAAGAAACCTTTCTTGTTTTTAGCAGCGGTTGGATATTAATTATGGAATCACCATTCTGTGTGGGGATGGCAAATCTGACGTTTTTTTATAAGATAAAAGAAATTTGACTCCTTTCCACTCGACTCATTCCATTAACAGTGCCCTTTTTCTTTGAGCCTCACAGTCATTTTATATATATATTAATAGCTTGTTGGTTGTTGATTCTTTTTATCCTGTACTACAGTCTATCCGTAACCTAAAATTTTAAGATTCATTTAGCTGATAAGTTAAATTTTCAGAACCCCCTGCTAATTTTTTAGACATCATGAGGGTTTTTGATGAGAAGCAAGGATGCAAGAGAAATCAGAGCTGCGACAAGTTTGGCTAGAGTCACTCATTTCCAAATGCAGCAGCCTGATCTGAAGGTGTATTTGTCCATGCAGCCTAGGAAAGTTAGACTGCTTGTTTTGCATATTGAAACAATTTTGGCAGGAAGAAGAGTTATTTAAATTATCATTATCAACTTAGAGTGTATTATTCCCATCAATCGATTCTTGTTCCGCTTATATTTCTCATTCTCCCCTCTCTTGCCTTGAGTCTTTACGCTGATTTTAAGTTTTAAGTGCAAATGTTACGAATTACATCGAAGCATTCCAGTTTTTCAATATTACTAACCAATTTTAGCTTGTGCCTGAATTCCTAGTGACCTAAGTGACTTTCATGTTGTATGGTACTATTTTTATACAATACTCATTCACATTTTTCCTAAAAATTTTAACTGTAAGTCGCTCATCCAACTTCTGGAGAAGATTTTATCCGGTTCAAAATCTCAATTAGTTTAATTAGTTTCGACAATCATCATAGGGTATTTAGGTGAAGCATCTCCAGAATTTTATGAGTAAGTGTTCTAAAAATAATTTGCTCCTCATACTGCTATAGAGCCTGGACGTTTTTTTATGCATTCTTCAATAGTTTTAAAGTCATCATACTTTATCTATCACTAAAATAAGACTTTCAATAGACAGCTAATTTTTTTAAACGAGTTACCATTACTATTTGATGCAATTTTTAGTTTAATGAAAGCATCTTTTTGTGGTGCGCTAGTATTCTATCCTCTAATTCAAAAAGTATAGTGAATTTATAGTTACCTATCTAAGCATTCTGAATTTTGACAATAGCTTTTCATTCATTTCAATGCAGCTTTAAATGTATGTAGAAAAATCGAATTCAAAACATTTTTTGTGCAGGGTTCCATTCCAAATAGGTACACATTATAATTATTTTGAGCTCAGAAACGCACGCCTTGAGTTGAAGTCATTTTTTAAGCAACAGCTGTTGAATGGGATGATTTCATTTGCTATAAGCAGACAAGGTCATTCAAGATTGGCAAACTGCTTGGTTTGCCAAATGCCATTATTTTAAATTGTGTTCTAAAAACAGAATCAAGTGGATTCGCTCAGGAAGCTCTGTTTCTGGTTCACTGTTCATTCAAGGTCTTTTAATCTAGAATCCATCGAAGTTCCAAATGATTTTTCTGAACTTTTGTCTTGCCTAAAAGGCTGATTTTTTTTTTCTCTCTCTCTCTCTTCACTTTTTTGGTCCCCTTGTTATTTGTCTCCCCTTCCCTGCCTCCTCTTAGCCTGTTTTCCTAGTTTTATTTGTTGTTCTGTTAAGATTTTATATTCGTCATGTTTTGTATGTACATTTTTCACACATTTTATTTTATTAATTTATTCTAGATCATTGGATGTTCATTCAATCAATTAAATTATATTAACTTTTAAGTTTTTTATATATTTTATTTGTTTCTTTCCATAATTATCAATGAATATGAATAAATTTATCAGTGTTATAACTTTGTACCTATTTCTTTTTCAATCTCAATTTTAATTACCTATTTTGTATCCTAAGCCTGACACTGTACTGAGAATATTAAATCTATAAAAATTTTAGATTCCCTGATGTGGACGAAAGGGAACGTTTCAACAAGTCATTATGATGAAGTGAAATTTTATGTATTGGAATTTATATGCACTATTCTAAGAATTATACACCACCAAAAAGAAGGTGTAAGAACCTGTGAAGAAAAAAGACCTGCCACATCTTCTCAAGAATTATGAAAAGAAGTGAATAGAAGAAGTATTATTACTGATATTTCGAAACATTGTGATGAAGTTTCTTAAATTCTGTTTTTGCGGTTGTAAATCAAGTTGTTGGTTGTACATCAAACCTTTCCTCCTCCTGCCTGTTTTTTTTTTTTTTTTTGGTTCTCGTATTGCTAGGATAATGACCAAATCTTCCTTTTGTACTTCCAGTCAAGCATCATTCAAAAGTCTACCAACTGTTGGAAAGTAGAGGTTGAGTTCATTAGGAGGTTTCAGAATGGTTGCCCACCTCAATCCGTGTTTGAAAGTGAAGGTTGACTTAGTCATGTTCTAGTGGACTGAGACTCATCTGACTGAAAGGGTGTTTGCATGTACACGCATCAACTGATCCATTCACACAGTCAAAATAAAGAGGGCTATTATTGGTCAGCACTCAGTGCTTTATCCTCAGGACCCATATCCAGCCTTCTCTGTTGTCAAATGGGTTTTGGAGAAGTCTTTTCCCAAACTGGAATGTCGAAGGTGAAACTTAAATATTCGGTTTCTCCATTACCATGTTTCGAAATGTCTTCTCTCATTTCATTTTTTCAAAGAGAGTTATAATATTTTTGCATGAAATTCCAAGGATGTATTCGGTAGGCAAGGGAAAACCTGAGAAAAAACACTAAAAAATGGCCTGAAATGTAAGTAACAAGGTGGTGAATTAGTGCTGGGTCCACACCATTTTGCGGGGGAAACAAAGCCAAAAATTTCAAGTGGAGTCAAAATTTTTGCGCTCTAATGAGTATCGGTACAAGGCTGAGGGGGACATGGTTAGCTCAGGCAGCTTGCGTCGGAATTACAAGCTGAGGTCACGATGAGAGATTTATAACATCAAGCCCCTCAAATGAGAGGCCTGGAGGACAAAGTGCGAAGGTAAAGTTTTCACTATTTCGAAAAATACATGGGTGTTTGAAGTTTCGAAATTACATGGATCCTTATGGCGGAGAGAAAGTTTAAACCGACTTTTTGATGCTTCTAGTTGGAATTTGGGAGCGAATTTTTCATAGATAATGCATCAAGACTAGCTTTACTTGAAATTATTAAGATCTCAATCTTTTCAAAAACTGCACTTATGCGCCTTGTCCTCCAAGCCTCTCAAATAAGCAGGCCGGGCAAATACCTGGCCTGCCCCTCTTCAAATGACGCTCCTGGGGTCATGTAGAAATCTCTAAATAAACTAAAAATACCCTAAAATCAACTAAAACGGTCTTAAAACATGGTCAACTCCGAAATAGAAATAACTAATGAAGAATTTACACACAAATATTTTATTGCTTCATCTGAGAGTGCGTTATTAGCTGAGTTCGCAGCATTTTTCGTAATTTTTTTCCGACATGGGAAATTGTAGAAAAATAGATTCAATAAAAGTGAGAAAATTTGCCGCCTTGTGACGTCATCTGGCGGCATTTTCCATTTAAACACGTGTATTTTAGCAGATGAGATTATTTTGTCGTATTCTCTCCAATATTTGTCCAATTTTGAAACCAAGGATATCCTCGTTCTCAGTTTTCCTGGCAGTACCGCATTATAGATGAAATTCACAAAATTTACGAAACCTGCAAATTCTCTATCGTCTTCCTTCCTGCCTCCCCCCCCCCCCCAACAGCACCCCTGACATTTTGAATTACCCCAGCGGCGTGGCAACGTGGAGAATATCTTGCCGCCGAGATAAGTTCATAATTGAGGTTTAGTTTAGTGTCAGGGCTTAATGGTTTAATTGGAGGGGGAAGCCTTCCTCTAGGATGTTCATAATTGGCTCCCTGCACCCTGCCAAGGGACGGGGCTCGCAGGACGCTTTGGGTGACCCCCATTCCCGGCAGATGCACACGTCTCCCGGCTTTTAACTTTGACCACCACCAACCAGCCCCCCCCCCCCCCCCNGGTCGGCGCGATGCGGCCGGCGGCGCCTCGACGCGCGGTGCGTGGCCCTTTTATCAGTGCTCCAGTGATCCGAAACACGACCTCGCATTACTCACACGTTAAGTGTTGTTTATCTGTCATGCTGACTCCAATTTGCGGGCGGTCGATTTTCTTTCGATTTCGTCTATCAGGTAATTGCTACTGAACTGATTCTTGCACCATCCGCGGTCCGTAATCAAGTACATTGTGTCCCAGGGTTCGTTAGGAGACCCTGCACCCTGCCCCTTGGGCACCTTATGATCTTTAGGGTGGTGACCGACCCCTTGACCAAATTGAGAGAATGGAAAATCATAGCCTACGATGCGTGCAATTTTTTTTATTGCTTCATCTGAAAGTGCTTAAAGAGCTGGTTTTGCAGTATTTTTTATAATTTTTTTCTGATATGGGAAATAGTATAAAAATAAATTTAAAAGTGAGAAAATGCACCGCCTAGTGACGTCATCTGGCGGCATTTCCCATTCGAACACGCGTATTTCAGCAGATTAGATTATTTTGTCATATCTTCTCCAATAATTGTTCAATTCAGGAACCAAGGGTATTCTCGTGTTCAGTTCACTCGGTAGTTTCCATTTAAATACGAGATTCATCAAATTTCAGACACTTGCAAATTCTCTATTGGAGGGGCAGGTAAGACTTACGACCGTTTTCTCGTCCCCTCCTCACTTCACCTTATTTTTCAGTCATTTGTTTCCGTTTCAAAAAAGTGATGTTAGTGGTAAATTTGCTCACAAAAGGCGAACAAGCAGTGAGGGGGCTGAAGCAAACTTCCTACTACAGGCGCAGCATTTATTTTAGCAAAGTATTTATTTTAGTAAAACATTTTTTTTTTTTTTTTTCATTTGGGTAAGTAGCTTCTAATGTAATTTTATCTCCAAATCGATGATAATTCCCTGAAAAAATTGATAGTGTTTCACAGCATCTTCTTCTCGTAGGTATAAGTTATTTTTGAGTGATAATTATCGGTTTTCTTTCCGAAGGTGATTAAGAAATCCTTGTTTTTGGTTGAAGGTGTAAAAACACAAAAAGAAGTTGTACAGTTTGAAAGTTCCATTTTCTTTTCTTTTCCTTTTTTTNCCCCCCCCCCCCCCCCCCCCCCCGCGGTTCTGATCTAGCTTACACAATATATTTCAATTAACTAGTAGGACGTATAAAGATTAAAAATTTTAGTAGATTTTTAAAGAAGAAGTTACCTTGGTAATTTTCCCAAGAGGGAATGAACATCAGCACAAAATTATGCACACTTGAAACGATGAATCTCAATGTTTCATTGAGACCATCAATGTTATTTTTCCTCATTTTTTTTTTTATCTCACTGATAGGTATCTAATATCAACTGGCTATTCATAACCCTCTCTTACAATACATTTAATAAAAGCTTTCATGATCAAATTGGTTTAATACTTTTTCCCATTTTTACTATCCACGTTTTATCATTAATTTATTTTTAACCCTATCTGTTCCAGAGTTGAAAGATAGGAAGGAAATCACAAATGTCAATGATGAAAATTGGTGATCCGCCATTGCCTGACCATGGCTTTCGTCATAAAAATTAACAAAGTCAACCTAGCTGCTGACATCTTGTGTATATTTGTGCGTAAGTCTTTACTTTTTTAAAGTAGTTGCAAAGCTTTTTGTATTTTAAAGCCAAAAATATTATTTTTAGATACTTCAATTTTCTCATCCCCACCCCATTGAAAGGTATTTTGCAGAAGTTCAAAACATAAAAAAACGATTATTTTGGTTTCTACTTGTAACAAAGCATAGAAAATTATAGATAACTTTTCTATTATTTTCTTAAATTCTTTGACACAAAGTGTAGATACTCAACATTTATAAAAACCTTAATCAAACAAATTCAAAAATTGACTCGGAAAATCGAAGAACTTCTCCTGGACAATTTCCAAACAAAAAACATAACAAATTCTCTTTTTCCTACTTTTTTTCAGTTGGGTTTACTGTCTTGTTGATCGGAGTGTTTGCGCAACCACGAAAAATTGGTTTTCACTGTGATAATGAAGACATCCGCTATCCTTACAAACCCTCCACAGTTTCAAATTTTGCCTTAATTTTATCTTCACTCTTCTTGCCAAATGTTGTGGTAAGTCAGTACTTAAAATTTCGGAGATTGAACAGTCTGAAAAACTTTTCGGAGATTACTCCTTACAAACTCAAATTAATGAGCTCACATTTTTTCTTTCGATGAGGCTTCAGAATTCTTGGTTGGAAAAAAGAGCTGAATATTTCGGTTTTTAAGGTCTCAGATCAAATGCTTTCCTTAATCTCTTATGTTACTTTCCCTCCTGCGCAAGTTGAGAGATCTAAGACATTGCAGAGTAATAATAGCCACTAAAACTAGCAAAACCGGATTTTGTCGTTTTGCTATCTCAAGCTATGTAAATTCTATTCAATCTGATTCTGAATGTGACACATTTTTTATTTCATCTCAAGATTTTTAAAAAAATTAATAAAAAAAGTTTCCCAATAATAGCATCCCCGTGAATTCATTTTTAAAATGCAGAATCCTGATATGCAACCTCCATTAAAATCGGACTCTGTTAGAGTAGATTGCTGGACTGCTTTCAATAATTTAAAAGCTTAAAATTGATTGAGACACTTTTCTCATTCCTAGATAGTTCTGACAAACTTGACATGGGGCTCAACGATTCGGGAGACGTTCAATAAAAATGCATTCACTATTGCTCTTCTGGAGTCATACGGATCGATAGCTCTTTTTTGGATGGGTATTGGTTTTACACAGATAACAGTTGACACAGCTAAGAACAACATTGGCCGCCTGCGTCCTCATTTCATTGCTGTCTGTAAGCCTAACATTGACTGTTCGCTCAGTGAAAATGCTGGTAGATACATCACAAGATACCAATGCACAGGCGCTGATGGGGAATTGATGAAAAATTCGCGGTAGGTGTACACAAAGAACTGTATACATATTTTTCGGAATGAGAAAATAGCAAATTAAATTGTCATGTTACAGTATCTATCAGTGCAACGTCAAAAATAAGAGGATGAATGCAACCGATATTCCAAAAATTAAAAATTAATTAAAATTAAGGATGTAATGCTCAAATTTTACCACAAAATTTGTTGATTTTCAAATCAACAAATTCAGCTTCAAGAAAAATCAGAGCTCATTTGAGTTAAGTTGCGCATGTAGAATATATTGGTTTCAATGCAAGACAACTGCAAACCTGTGACAGAATTAGAGCACTTATTTTGATCATTAGATAAATATATGTAATGTCTAGCCCATGACACTGCCCTACACCATATCCATTTTTTTCTCCTGAAAAATAAACAGATTCAGAACCAGTGTTCAGTAACGTAGACTGTACTCTTAATACTAGCTGAGCGGAAGTATATCCAGACATTAACTTCTTGCTGTATAGTTTACTTTAGTCTTAAAACTGTTGTGACACCTGTCATTTTCTAGAAATTTAGAATATGAAACCTACATCCCAGTAGGTACTTCATTTCACCGCTTGTTCATTGGTTCATTTATACTTTGAATTGGGCAAAACTTTCATAATATGCAAAAAAATGTCTTTATTTTTCATTTTTTCAGTGTATCTTTTCCATCTGGACACGCAGCTCTCGCCTTTTATTCGGCCGTGTATGTTGCGGTAAGTTTTTTAAGCAATGCTAAGTACCTGCGAGTATGACCGTCAGCAGGAGAAGAGACCTTAGACCACAGAAATTCTAAATATCTGTATCAGAACTTGAACAATGATGATTTGAAATTTTTTGTTCAGAAAAACAAAGTGTCAAGAAAAGCTATTTAACATTCTAATCTGCCATGTTCAGGGTACAAAATTTCCTGTTAATAATGTAACTTTACGGCCTCCTTCAGCAAGAAATTGACCTCAAGTGCTTGCAATTTGTTTTTCAGGACACCATGACAGATTTGTGAATAAAGCTCAAAATCCTATTTTTTGATCAAGCTCGACAAAAATAGTTCGCATCGAGAGATCAAGTAATTGATGCATTCTGCTCAGCTGAGAGTTGGAAATTTTGTAGTTACTTCAACATATAATGAGAAAAATATCCTTTGTTCAAGGTGTATCTGAAACAGAAAAGCAGCGAGAATGGCTACAATGTGCCAGTTACGATAGCTTTCATTCAAGTTTGTTTACTGCAAGTTGCATGGTTTACTAGTTTGAGTCGCGTTTCAGACTACATGCATCACTGGAGTGATGTCCTCGTCGGAGCCATTGCCGGAGCACTATTTGCTGTTCTAGTGGTGAGAAAAATTTAACTTAATTAAGCATTTTGAACGAGCACAAATAATAAATTTGTAGGTTCATCATTCATGTGTTTAAAACGAGTGTCTTTGGAACTTCACGTACCTAATGCAACAAATATAGTTAACTTTAAAATGTTTCATGGCTATTATACATTAAGAAAGGTTCACTTCCAACAACTCCACAGATCATCAGATCAAATTTTGAGAAAGGATAGGACTTGGCATCACTACTGTTATCAGGGTTGTTACTTACAAAATTTAGAAAATGGAATTCCCGCTCACTTTCTCGATAACGTTTGGCAACTTTTCCTGGAATATGACGATATGCTGACGCTTAAAAAACTTTCACTCCCAAACACAGACAAGAAAAATCAGTTGTTCAAAGCGTCAAACAGATTCTAGGAAGCATTAACATTTTCTCCTAACATTCTTTAATTTTCAAAATCCCCTGACATTCTGCAGTTTTTCTTGACTGTGGCGATGGTCGGTTCCAAACCATCTCATTGGAACCGTAGTGTGATAATCAGATAATCATTATTATGTTTTCATAGTAATCTACTAAGACAGTAAACCAAATGAGGTGGTGCTTATCTTGGAGGTATCCTGCCCTCTCCTCAGCAAAATATAGCATATGTGTTTTTACTTCTTTCTTCTGCATAAAATTTCGAATTCCAGAGATTCTAGTCCCTTAATGAAAATTCGCGTTGCCTTCTCTTTCTCACTTAGCGGTGTTCAAACGAATTCTTGCCGGAACACTATCGATATCCTCTTATTGAAACTGGCGGCAGTACCAACAGTGGCGATGATATCGTTAACAGCCAGCCTTATCGGATTTTTGAGAGCTCACACTCAATGCATTGGAGCCCCTTACGTCGGTTTATCAGATTGCCTGGCGCAGCGATGCGTGAAATAGATGTGCAAATGGCAACAGCTTATTTTCGTCAGCTCCGAAAACTCTGATCGCTATTGGCAAGAGCGCTCTTTTCGTAACTTTTTCTTATCGGAACTGTTTTGGTAGCTTACCGACAACCGATAGAACAGCCCTATTCTCACTTGCATTCCTGATTGAAGTATTTTCCAATATACTTATTTCGTGTTTTCTTTTATTCCAGATTACTTTTGTTCAGATACCAAATGATAGATTAACTCTAGTCGAAAAGCAAGAAGAATCACAAGCGGAGAACGTCTAGCGGCCTGTACGATCAAAATTTTACCTCCATATCTCTGCTGTCTCTTCCTCTTTTTAATGTAAATAATGTTATATAGGTTTATGTTAATTTAATGCTAATGCAATACTGCATTAGTACCTCTGCATAACTTTTATACAGTTTAGTCCAAATAAATTTCTCCAATGAAAGTTTACTGTCCTTTCTTTATGAAATAATGATGTGAATGAGAGAATCTATGAAAAAACAACCTTAACCACAATTTTTTTTACATTAAAGCTAGGTGGTCCTACAAACGTCTGTGACCTGCATTTTCCTTAAAATTACCTTGGGTATGGCGATTTCAATGCCCATGACTACTCGTTAACTCTTGAAAGATTACAAGGCAAGGTAGTTTCGAGGTACATCTTAAAGATCCTACCTTAATCCCCTGTTAAATCTATTAGAACAAAAGAGAACATCATAAATGAACCACAAAAAACAGAAAACGGCCAAGTTGCATAGGCCTGCGCCAATTTTTTGAGAGAGGCTGACCAAGGATTGGTGAAGCATCTGTGGTAGAAAGAAAATTTGCTGCCATCTAGCAAATGCTTAACCAAACAGCACCTATATCTAATTTGGCAAGCTGTCTTTACAAAACCACCCTTGCACGATGCTTTGAAACTCCAGTATTTTACAAGTTCTTCCTTTTCTTTACAATCCCCATAGAAAGATTTTAAATTTAAAATGTCACAAAATTTCCTACGATTGTATTCAAGTTATACCCTGCAATACAGAGAATCTTGATTTGGTATCCAGTAATTTTCAGTTCATAAATAATTAATTATTTTTCCGAATGAACTAAGCGAATGAAAAATCGAAAATTATATTGCTTTCACTGATCAGAGCCTTCAAATTATGCATCAACCCTAAAATTTATGTCAAAAGGACAATATTCGTTGATTAAAGGCAAGAAGAAAAACACTTGACTACGGCCTACTTCCAGTAAGTAATAGGATGGGTCCACTCTATTCTGCGGGGAAATCAAAGTAAAAAATTAGCAATACAGTCACAAATGCACTCTAATGAGTTTCGGTGCAAAACTGAAGGGGGGGGGGAGTGTTTGGCTTAGGCAAATGTATTGGAATACTAAGCTAGGATTACGCAAAGAGATCTATACCAGTTTCGGTCTTGCGTCATGTTCATAACTGCTTTTCAATGCAGCCCAGGACTTTGCGGGATGCTAAGCTAGAACTGTCGAGTTTGATCCTTTGATGTTGTCTAGAAAGACCCAAATCGGTGTAGATCTCTAAGCCTGACCCTATCTTAGTATTCCGATGTATCTGCCTGAGTCGAACACTTTCTCTCTTCAGTCTTGCACTGAGAGTTCATTTCGCGACTCAGAAGCTAATTTTTGACATTTTTTGGCTTTGATTTCAATGCAGAATAGTGTAAACTCGACACTATTCTACCATCCTGTTACTTAATAAAGTACTGAACCACGATGGATCTGTTGATCGTATAGTAATGGAATTTGTTTTGACTAGGTAAATTTTAAAACTTTCCATTCATGAATATTGTGGAAACGTCTATAAAGAAAAAAAAAATGATTACATTTACTCTAAATTAGTTTATTTTGTGTAGTAAGTCCAATAATTGAAACGTATTGACAAAAATAGTTACAACTCTTGCAAGGAAAAATCGCAAAAAATTCAGATCCAAAGAGGTATTTTACAAAGAAGAGTATGTAAAAATGCAACATTCCCTTACACTAATTATACAAAAGTACCAAACTTATCCAGTTCGACCATAAAGGAACTGCTGTGCTGAGCAACAAATTTAAAACTACTGTCAAGTTGCACTTTCTGAGTGATCTCCAAAGGCTAATATACAATTTTTGCTTTTTGTTAAGGAAAAATGATGTCAATGATAAGAAGTTACAAATAGTCATCTAAAAAAACAAACAAGCATCGTCAGTGAATATTTCCCGATGGATTTGATAAAAACTTATTTTCAACTTAAACCAAGTAAATATTTACACAAAAAAAAGATAACCACATAAAACTTTACCCAGGTTTTGAGCTGCCGGCCTAGTCTTTTTTGGGAGCTTCGTCCTTCATTTGGTGCGGACTTGGAGACGCTGAATTCTCCGAAGAAGCACCTGGCCCACTTTCAGATGTTTGTTGTTCTTGGGCTAATGACAAAAGAAAAACCCAAAATTTGGTAGAAAAATCAACGAAGCTTTATTTTGGTTATAGCTTGAGGATACTGCAAGGAATCTGCCTGTTCTCTATCCTTTACCAAAAAAGGGGAAAATTCGTTACACTTGTCTTTAGTCCGTGGAAATTCTTTCCTGCTGTCGGGACGAATTATCAAAAAACCGTTTGACCGTTTTAAGCACCAGGATGAAGCCCAGAGGCATCACACAGCTCTGCTGATTTCAAATGTGTAATTGAGACTTCCGCTAATCTCGGCAATTAGCACGAATATGGACGCGAATTACACAAATTTTAACACGAATTTGTGAATTTCGACATATTTTATCGAAATTGGCAAATTACCATTATGATTAGAAATGATCTTTTTCGTGTTGGACGATGTGAAGTTTTCCAACGAGTTTTTATTTTTACAAGTTTTTTTACTTTAATGAAAAAAGCTTCCTCTGTGATCAGAGGATCCTTCCGTTTGGTATTTATGTATTCGAGAAAGAGTTTCCAGACTGTATCTAAAATCCTTCAATTCCTCATATTTTAGTAAGCCAGATTGAGACTTAGCTTGATTGTGTAAATAGCATTGATTTTTTTCAGATTTTAAGTTTTTTCCAAATTTCCTGTTTCTTTCATAAAATTCCCTGATTTCCATGACCTGATGAAATCCCCAGACATTTCACTGTTATTCAGGTTCTCTTGACTCGTAGACTTTCTGTTCATAACTGTGTGGTTCAATATATTTAAAAAAACTTCAGCCAACGATGTTTAACTTGCACTCAATTCATCACGTTTCATCTCATTTCAAAAGTTTTACATCAGTGATTATTTTTCGAAATCATAACAGCTTTTTATTCTGTACTGTCAATGAATGAAAACAATAACTCACTTTAAAGTACTCACTGTTATTTGTCACCAAAACTTACGAGTCATGCTATTGCTGGGATACTTCAAAAGTCTTAGAAAAAATTCTCTATTGAATAATGAATGATACACAGGTGATCAGTTGCTCAGTAATGCTAGTTCGGATTCCTAGCAAAAAATAAAAATCCGGTAGTAACAGGATTTGAAAATGGTGGGAAAAATATCAAAGTTTTTGATTACCTTGATTATTTTCTTGTGACCTTTCCGGGTGGTCTCCGCTGGAGGTCTGCATTTCTTCACCATGCCTAGATTCTGCTTGAGAGGGCTGTTGCTGTTGTTGCTGCACTTGGGCCTGTTGCTGCGCTTGCGCCTGCTGCTGTTGTTGTTGCTGCGCTTGCTGTTGTTGTGCTTGCTGCTGTTGCTGTGCCTGCTGTTGTTGTTGCTGCTGCTGCTGCTGCTGTTGTTGTTGTTGTTGTTGCTGCTGCTGAGCCTGTTGATGCTGCTGCTGTGCATGTGGAGGAACAGGATATCCACTTTCCATTCCCGACTGCTTTTAAAAACAAAAAAAAAACATTTGTAAGCAGCTGCCACTTGACCAGCATTTCATATTTTATGGCTGATGACCCTTCTTTCTCTGATTTTGTGTACAGTGTTTGGTTTTGAATTTTTGGCTGCCACTTTTTTAACACTTTATCAGATCCTTTAGGGTTAATTTTCTTCTTAAGAGTGTTGGTAAAATTCTCTTTTTCATTGATTCATGATTGAATATCCAAAAGCTAATTCTACAGACGATTTATTTTAAATTTTTCAGAATTTCAACTGGAGATGAAAATCCCATGGACAAATCGGTGTAAAAAGAAATAAAAGAACCTCAGAATGGCATGATTGAGTTGATGAAAAAAAGGATAAGTAAATGATTTAACAATCTAGTATAGACGAGGCAACACAATACAATGACAAAGCAGCAAGAGCTCATCAAAATCAGGATGAACCATGAAAGATTAACGATCAAAGTAAAATAGTTTGAAAGCCTGAAAGATTTCTGACTTCTTCGTAAAAAATATTAAAGAAGGAAACAAGGTCACTTTCGGGCGTAAAAAGGTTGTGTAGATTGTTGAACAGCTAGATTATTTCATTGAAAATCTTTAAACAATCACAATAACTGACCACTGACAAAAACAATGCAAAATATACATAAATAAATTGCTTAGAAGACCAACCTGATGAGGCATCTCTTGATGATGAGGTACTGGATAGTGTGGATGTCTTGGTGGCATTGAGTGGGAAGGATGGAGAGGATACTGCTGGTATGGTGCAGGGGGCTGATGATAGTATGGGTGCGGAGGATACTGGCTGTAAGGAGGTTGCTGTGGATACGGTTGAGGATACTGGTGTGGGGGGCGTGGAGGCAGTGGTTGTGAGGCTCCAGGGTATTGTTGAGGCTGTGGATATGGTGCATAGCTTGCCTGAGGTGGTGGCATTGAGGGTGGAGCATGGATGGATTGCGGACCAGGCTGACTGGGTGGGGCATTGGGGTGAGACTGAGGGCCTGGCGGATGCATGCCAAGAGGAGGAGTAGAAGACTGGATCCCAGGAGCACCAGGAGGAGTTTGCGGGTGCATTGATCCCATCGGAGGAGTCTGTGAGGGAGCAGGGACACCTGGTGGAGTCTGTGACTGGCTTGGACCCATCGGTGAGGAAGCTTGAGGTGGAATTTGTGGCGATTGTCCTGGACCCATTGAAGGTGGATGCATTGTAGGACCTGAGTGGCTTGGTGGTCCACCATGACTTGGCGGTCCACTATGTGAAGGAGGTCCGGAGTGACCGGGAGGTCCACCATGACTGAGAGGTCCGCTATGTCCAGAGGGTACACCATGACCAGGAGGTCCTGAATGACTTTGAGGACCACCATGACCGGGTGGTCCAGCGTGCCCGGGTGGAACGCCATGTCCCGGAGGTCCACCATGACCGAGAGGTCCGCCGTGTCCAGGGGGTCCTCCATGCCCTGAAGGTCCACCATGACCTGGAGGTCCACCAAGACCTGGAGGTCCTCCGTGTCCTGGAGGTCCAACATGGCTAAGAGGTCCGCCGTGTCCAGGAGGTCCGCCGTGCCCAGGGGGTCCACCATGTCCTGAGGGCCCACTATGACCAGGAGGTCCACCATGTCCTGGAGGTCCACCGTGGCCAGGTGGTCCACCGTGTCCAGGAGGTACTCCATGCCCTGGAGGTCCACCATGACCAGGAGGTCCACCATGCCCTGGAGGTCCAGCGTGACCAGGAGGTCCACCATGCCCGGGTGGTCCACTATGTCCTGGAGGTCCGCCATGTCCTGGAGGTCCGCCATGTCCTGGAGGTCCGCCATGTCCTGGAGGTCCGCCATGTCCTGGAGGTCCACCATGTCCTGGGGGTCCACCATGTCCTGGGGGTCCGCCATGTCCTGGGGGTCCGCCATGTCCTGGAGGTCCGCCATGTCCTGGAGGTCCACCATGTCCTGGAGGTCCGCCATGTCCTGGGGGTCCACTATGGCTAGGAGGTCCACCATGTCCAGGAGGTCCACTATGTCCTGGAGGTCCTGTATGTCCACCATGCCCAGGGGGTCCGCTATGCCCAGCAAGTCCACCATGACTAGGAGGTCCAGCATGTCCTGGAGGTCCACCATGCCCAGGTGGTCCGGCATGTCCTGGAGGGCCACCATGACCAGGAGGACCACTGTGCGTTGAGAGCCCACTATGACCTGGGGGTCCATTATGACCTGGACCGCCGAGACCTTGAGGTCCGCTATGGGGCGGTCCACCATGACCTGGAGGTCCACTGTGACTCAGGGGCCCACCATGACCAAGAGGCCCACCATGACCAGTAGATGGCTGAGATGCTTGATGGTGAGTTGGCATTGTTGATTGAGAACTGACAGGAGGTTGTCCTGGCAAGCCCGGCCCGGGAGTAGATTGTGCTTGACTTGGAGGAACCATTGGTCCTTGAGACATGGGAGAGTATTGATGATGCGGAGGGGGCATCTGTCCGTACGCATGGTTTTGGTTTGGGCCATGTGGATGATACCCATGATAAGGATATTGAGAGGATGGTGGAAAACTGGATGGAGGAAGAGGCTGCTGAGTGGGGGTTGGTGCGCCAGGTGGTGGTGTGGGGTTCAGGCCTTGTGCTGGAGGAGTCGGTCCTTGGGAAATGTTTGGTGCTGGAACTGTCGGAGAGGGAGCAGAGATAGGGATCTGTCCCGGTCCGGATGGTGCTGGCGAAGGAGTCGTTGGGGCTGACATTGCCGGGGAGGGTGTTTTCGGAGGTGCAGCACCAGCAACAGGCACAGGTTCCGGTGTTGTTGTTGAACTCGGAGGTTCTGATCCTGCATCAGTTTCCATTGGAGTTCCTGCTGGTTGCGGGGAGGAAGTTTGCGAGTCTCCAGACTTTTCTTCCATTGGCTGAAACAGACAAAATGACATAACAGCTGAATTGATAAGAGAGAACTGATCACTCAATGAGGAGAAAGACCGCATTTCGACAGTAAAACTACCAAAATACGCACCTCAGTTGCTGTGTTTCAAAATCTTTGCTCCTATTTATTTTCTAAAGGTGGACTGAACCTTTATCATGGATTAAAATTTTCTCAGAATATTCTTCACACACAGAGGAAAAGTCATCAAAGTTTTCAAGAAAAGACATCTGGTAGTTTTCCACGTAGAAAAGGAATTATGACAGGAAGTCTTCAACGCTACAAACTGAGATGCGTTTTTCCTCAGATTCACCATCGATTTGCTCCTTTGTCTAAAGGTAAGAAGCTACGAGCAACCTCACCAAGGTATATTATCCTTCAAATTAGTAATGATCATTTTCACTGCAACTTTTCATTTTGTAAACAGAAAAAAACAAGTCAGAAAAAACATGTCTCAGATGTCATTCTATTGTATTTCTTCTCTTGATTGTTCTTCATTTTGATTTGTATGATCAGAGCGCGACTTAATTACTATGATGCATTATCTAACAGTAAAAAGGGGGGGGGGAGAGAGAAAATTTGGTTTAAATAAAAAAGAGATAATAACACAAGATAAAAAAACAGTGATTTTTACGCCAATATTCAAAACTGTTTTTCTGAAAGAGAGGAGACTACAGCTGCATCTTTTCAGAGAAAAAAAAACAAGCAGGGTTACTAATTCTTCAAAGAAATGATAGACTCTTAATCGACCTTATGGTACAGTTAACGGAATACTAAACTAGATTTAAAAAAAAAAGATGATTCTATAAGTATGAACAACGAAATTAAGAAACTACCTATCGATTACATTCGCAATAATAAGATTAGTGTTAGGAAATTAAGGAAAATTTTAAAGAAAATTACTTGGAAATTGCTGACCCAAAAATGCTTGCTCCTGTATAGGCGCAATGAAAAAGATATTTAAAAAATTTCCATTTTCAGAATTAGAACTAATAAAGCTCGACTAGTAATGAAAGTAAAGAACCAGAGATTCAAGAAAATGAATTTTCGACACCTTCTCATGGTTCTTTTGGAGGAATGTTCAGCGTATTGTCTAGGGAAAAAAGAGATTTGCTTAGTCAAAAAGGTTGGCAAAATTCCCTATTTATTCTTATAGAGAACACCGTTGGTGTCAAACAATATTATTAGAATAATTTAGGAATAACGTTTTTCGTATTTAGTAGCAAGAAAATTGATATATTTGCTCAATGAATTATCACTTGTTTGGTGGGTATCACAGTGGGCAGCAGTGATCAGTTAAGTCCCATGACTGTATAGATAGTGGAACTCAATTCATTAAAGGGAATTAAAAGGAAATTGATTCACCTTATTTGTTAGCAATTCTGCCAACCAACTGACAAGCAAACCTATTGTTACCTGAAGTGCTAAGTTCCTTTTCAATTCAAGCTGCTCATTTGAGACGGACCATAACTTGTGGCTTTTTTCTAGGGATTGCTCAAATTCTTAAGGAAATAAACATTCATCAGAAAATAAATGCTGCTTAAATTAATTTTTGTTTCCATTTCTCTTTTTGCGTTTAACTTTGTTGCGAGCAAGCGAAAACTAGAATAAAATAATAAATTAAGATTGAAACATTTCGATCCGATGTCCTAATGCAAGTGACAAACATACATTAAGCTTTGAATGAATCGTCAGAAAAAGCCTCCAACTCTTTCAAAACTAAAAAGACACTTTAACTGATAATTTTCAGAATTCATAATAAAAAAGCAACTGATAAGATAAATTCCTGACAGTACGACAAGGACTGGCATCGGAATCAACAAAGAAGGAAAAAAAAACTGAAAGCCATGCTGCACACTGATACGATATTTTCCTTTAAAAATAGCAAACATTTACACATTATGACATCTTTGTCAGTTTCTGAACGGTTGCAAGGAAATAAAAGGGCAGCAAAGAAAACAACGCAACAAGGAAATTTGATACAAATTCAACAGCGCCAACCTTGACTAAGAATTTGTACAACTGGGGCGCAAAAAAGATAACACGGAAACTGGGTCTACTATTGCACAAGACAAGGAACACATACAACAACACAGACGACAACTGCTGGACAGGGAAAACAAGGGGGATAGTTGATTACCTGGATGTAGTGCAGCACAACCATCTATTAAAAACAAATTTGATGTGAATATAACATGGAGATAAAATTGCGATAGAAGACAGTGTGTTTGTCAATTTAGCAGAACTCCTTGAATTTCAATTTCCTTTTCTGCCAATGCATGTATTAGACAATGCATGTGTTGACAGGACTTTTGAGCAAACAAAAATGCTTTTTACTTAAACTTAATGCATTGAGCTATTAACTTTGTGGATCAATTTTAATGTTCGAACTTGGGGAAAAAGTGAGGACATACTTATTGTTTGATTAGCGATTTGTCTAAGACCGATTCCTCCAAATATTTAACTCATTTTCCGATTGCCAAACACTCTGTAACAACAGCTGATGAAAAGCACACACACACACACATAGATTGGGTAATTGAAGGTGTAGTATTCAATAACCAGACATTTTCCTTTCACAATTTGGTATGTATGTACTCCGATAATAAATACATGAACCAAGTAGTAACAAATGCAAAAGTTAATTGAATAATATAGTCTCAGAAAACAGTTCATCCTGCGAAACACAAATTTTAGATGTCACACAGGTTGAAAGAAGGCGGAAGTATTCAATCAACCCGATTGAGAAGCAATGAGGACAGAAAATATTAAGAAGCAACAGAGAGGTGCTAAAAAATCAGTTGATTGGCGGTTTTGTGCAATGATTGTAGTGGTAACAGTATTTCCACCGTAAACAAATTGAATACTGAATGAGAAAAGGTGGAAAAACAGGGGAGAAAACCAAATATTTGTAGCACAGATAAAATGGAGATGTTGAATGTGTGAGGAATTTGCGATTTGACAATTAATTCCTATGTAAAAGTTCGTGAGAAACACGATGGTGCCACTGGTTTTCCCTGAAATCAACTCCCAAGCTCAAAAAAAGCTCTCAAGTTGAGGCCAAAAAGGGGGGAGACATCTCACGCTATTCTCGAGTCCACCTCTACATCAAGACAAACTCTCCATGCAAAGATAGGGAGCAAATACGTTAACAGGGTTGCCGTGTTTTCAGTTGTTGAGTCCCCAAATAAAGTGGCAGCCCTGTCAATGTATTTGCTCCCTATCTTTGCATGGAGAGTTTCTCGCAAACTTTTACATAAAAATCAGTAGTCAAATCGCAAATTCCTCACACATGCAACATCTCCATTAGGTCATGGAAAATATACTGCGAGGAAATATAAGAGGATTGCACACTTTTCGGGGGGTACATTTGGACGTATTTCTCCCAAAAGGAACTATGTGCATTGAGGTATGAGCTCTGAGACCCATAAGAATATATACTTAACAGGGCTCACGTCATAATGCACAAGGTTCTGTTTGACAGAAATATGTTAATTTCATCTTTGACCTTCTGTCAACACCTCCCCATTTTTTTCTTAACCTAATATCAATTCTTTTTTCTTTATGTATAATTGTTTTCTTTCTTCAGTCAGTTTTAACCCCAATTCTGTTCTACAGTCCCCTTTTGGGTTGATTCAACTCTTGATCATACTAATTATCTCATAAATTACGATGACTGGATCTAAAAGATTAGACACAATCAAGAGCCCATCGACCAATGAGAATCAAGCAATTACACTCACAGCATCTGACACAAGCTTCCCTATAAAAAGGCTAAGGCGCTTGAACTCTTGGTCCTTTTTATTACATCTTTTAGACCCACAGCTCTATGTTACACTCCTCACACATTTCTAGGTGTTTTCAGTTTAAATCTTTTTCTATCACTCAGGCCCCTAGTGCATAAAAAAGTAATCTCCATCTCCTGCATTCTCTTGGTTGAATTTCGTGCATCTTTTGTGAAATTATACACTTTCTCGCCATTTAAAGAATAAATTAGTGATCATCAATTTAAAACTCGGTGTGGACAACATGATTTTGCTCATAACTGTCAATATAATGATGGGAAAAAAATCATGAATTTGAAATTTTTACATTTTTCTCGGAACTCTTGCCCAGTTACCCAACCTCACCTTACCGAGAGAAGCCACCACTCAACATGTAAAAAATATGAGTCATTGAAAATCAATAAGAAGTAATGGCGTACTCTTGTGAGTGTATAGTGCAGGCTTACGTAATTTTGTTGCCACATCTGGAATGCCCCGCGTCAATTTTTCGGTCCTCACGTATGCACATTTTTAACTAACTCAGGCAACATTACATTTCACCTCCAATCGCTAGCTACTGTGACAGCAAAACTTGCTCTCCCAGCTTTGATTAGATAAAGGAGCGGTCTGCGTCTTCCAAGCTCCAAATGGGTAAAGGAAACACAAGGCGAAAAACGCGGTTGAAATCACCCAATGTTTTGGTACCTACATCACATTGTGGCGGGACGGCACATGCATACATCATCTCAATGATGCACATGGCGTGCTGACGCGCCTGCTTGGAGAAGTTTCAACTTCGGCCACTGGTTACAGTTCGATCGCTCGGTTCCCTATTGCAAAGTTGTGAAATACCAACCTGGTGGGGAGTCGGCGACCGACTAAAAATAGAGGCCCGGGCATAGGCCGGGCAACCAGTACTAATAAGAAATTCGAAGAGACAACTTCTATCATTCTCGGCACAGACCCGTACCCCAAACACGGCCTGGGCCTGTACCCCCACCACGGCATATACCCGTACACAGAACCTAGATTTAGAACTTTGTATATATACATGAAAACCATACAATTCATACAGTTTAAACCTAATATATGTCAGTAGTCCTCGTCATTCAATACTACCCAAAAACCATTACACCACCCCCCTCACAAAATTCCATTGGTTCCAACACAGACCACCGGCTCAATTACTGAGCCCAATCTCATGACAAACTCAGACCGTCGATTACTACAGTTCACGACCAAAAAACTATCGGCTATCAGTGTTCCCAGTATTTCACCAACTGCGAGACCCAAAATTTCAACATCACAAACCAGGAAAACATCACCACATACCCACAGGCAAAAGTATACGATCAACCCGATTGAGAAGAAATGAGGACAAAGAGTATTGAGAAGCAACGGAGAGGTGCTAAAAAATCAGTTTATTGGCGGTTTTGTAGTAACAACATGTTTTTTTTTTTTTTGGCTGTTGGTGAGTCAACCGACAATTTCAGCCTGGAAAATCTCCCTCCTGAATGAGAGTGCGTCGCTTAAAGTTTTTATTTTGATATTGCTCTCTATTAGATTAACATGTTTTCTTTTTATGTATATTTAGAGGGTAAACTCAGGCCCTCTTGGCTAGGAGACGGCTAGGCCCCTAGTTCAAACTTGTAATTTGCTAGTTAACTTGTTAAAAAAAAAAAAAAAAACTTTGGTTTTCGCCACTATAATTACATTCCTGTGGAAGATCACAAATAAATATGAATGGAGGACTCCCTCAAAATTAATGATAAATGTGTGAAACAACTCATGACAAATGTGCATGAGTTGCTTAAATGTTTAACGTGCGTAAAATGCTTAAACTGTTATCAAGGTACACAGACAGAACACTTATAAATTTCGGCCAAAAATCACAGATTAATTATCTTCAGATAGCCACTCCTAATTACAGTCCTACAAAAAATTATAGTCCTCATCATATTAAAGCAACATTCTCCAATCTTGGCTGATTTCACAGTGAAACTCATTTCTGGTCTTAATTTGCTGGATAGTCAGAGTTTGTCCTGTCAATAATAATGACATCACAAAAAAATTTACGATTGGAAATTTTGCTGGACACAATTGGGCACTCGTGAAAGAAGAACTAAAACAAGACGAAATGAAAATACAACCTATCAGACCAACAGAAATTGTCTTCCGGATAAACTACGTAGATGAACATATATCAACTGAACGCATATCTTATCATATATACACCAAGAACATGAAAGATCTTATCATATATACACCAAGAACATGAAAGGTTTCGTGGGATGGACCGAGGAAAAAGTTACAGATTTGATTACCCTTTTTGCGGATAGAAAACGATCTTGGAGACTAAATGAAAGAGAAAATGTAACAAGATGGATTTTGATTAGGGCAACAAACGGACTCGAAAGATTTCTGGCTACTGAATCAAGGATTTTTAAACGATTCAGTAATTGCCCCATCTGCCCTACAGCGGTAGTCACTCCCTGCAGAAAATGCGGCTCGGTATATCACAGCACCAAATCATGCAAGGAGAAGGAAATTTGCTGGTCGTGCGGCAGTGCGGCACATAAAAACAAGGATTGTAAAGATAGGAAAACAAAAAAATGCATAAATTGTGAGAGAGAAGGAAAGAAATCATCACATGTTCGACGAAGGAAAATGCATTTTATATAGGAAGGCAATGGAGAGAGCAAGAAGGCTGGCAGGCATGTTTGAAAGGCCCGAGGAAGAAATAAGTACTTCGAAGGTGGGCAGTTTCCAGTATCAACGTTACCAAAAAACCATGGACATGGAAATTGATGATACATCATCTTCATGTTAGGAAATAGTAATACCTTTATAAAAGATAAAATTAACACAAATAATGTTATTAATAATACTAGAAGAAATGACCCCATTTTTTCACTAATCGTTTTGAAACTTTTTAATATGGACGCTACTGATAGATTAATTTGTCAACACCTGCGGCCCATATCTAAATGCACTATCTGTTTCAATCATAGAACTTATCAAGATTTAAACTGTATATGGTGTAGGCATAATTGTAAAATTAGAAACTGTACAAAATACAAAAACTCATATTTACTGCCTTTAAAAATGCCAGGTTGAAGAATGATTAGACTGTTATTAATACCTCCTATCTGATCAAATAAAAGTGATAACACAGATGATACTGAAAATGTTGCTAATAATCGAAACACTACTCTCAAATACCGTGATTGCAACAGTGATAATCAGAATAGCAAAGATGACACGTTCTTAACTGCAAGAGATAAAATAATAAGTAAGAATGTGGAAGCAAAGACCAGTTCATAATACATCCGAAATTGTTAAAACTTGTAACCAATTTGTATAATCTAAAGTAATACCCATAGTGTATAAGATTATCTTTTGAACTTTTACTATGTTACTTATGTGCTTTCCTCAAATTTAGAATGTACTTAAATAGGCCTTCAGGCTAGCACCTATCTCTGCTAGTTACAATTTGTGGATATTTAATAAAGAATCTTATTACACTAAAAAAAAAAAACAAAAAAAAAGAAAAAAACAATTATGCACTGATCGTAGAGTGGGAGCTGACTACAGAAGAACCAGTGCATTATCCTTCGGTCAAAGTGATAAAAGTCAATCCTTGTTGCAGCAACTGATGCCAGCTCAAGAAACATGGTTGTTTCCACGTGAGATCTGAGGAGTAAACTTTGGCAATGAAACTAATAAAAAACAAGTTGGATTTTGCAATCGCTAGCGATAGCAATATTCGTCATGGGAACGTTAGCTTCTGGGATATGAAAATGTTAAGGTACAGTTCGTTTGTAGTATCTTCTGAATTGAAGGGGCTATGTAATTTTGTGTTGACATCTCTTTTTTAACATTTTTAATTATTTTCTTTGCATACAAGAAAGCTGTTATGTACCAATTATTTATTTTCGTTGGATTATATATGGTTTTCGGAAGTTAACCCATTTAAGTTTCAGGTTCGCTTTTTCGGCGTAAAGTATACATAAGGTGTCCCAAAAGCACCGGGACTTGTTCTGTAACTTCGAAAGTAAGATAGATACAGACATGACCTTGATTTCATTTTAAAGATCAACTCAATACCTAGCGATTAAAACCAAGATCAGCTCAATCGGATAAAAATTGACCGAGTAATGGCAATTTGAAATCAGTGAGGAAAGTTTACCCCTACGGTTTTTAAGGAAGATTCTTCATCGCCGTGAATCGAAAAATCGGCCTGTAAAGTGATGCTTATTGTGTTTTTTGATTTTCGAGGTGTCATTTATCAACATTTTGTCAGTCTGGGAGGGGGGGGGAAATTGGGAGTTTATGCCGATGATACGCTCGTGCTAGCAGCAGTAGCAGCGTCGACAAGTTACAGGGAGGCTCGTTTTAATGCTCAATCCCACCTAAATAGGATTAATAAATGGACTATCAAAGATAAAACAAAACTAAATGCGTCTAAGTCGATAGAAATTGTGTTCACCAACAGACCTTTTGTTCACATTCCTCTTCATTTAGGAAATTCTGAAATTCCTCGCGACACAGTCGCCCGTTATTTAGGCCTCCATCTGGATTCCAGGCTCAAATGGGGTGCACACATAAAGAAAAAAGTCGAACAATTAAGACTTAAATTTCACGATATGCAGTGGCTGATAGGCCGCAAATCCAAGTTACCCTTAGAAACCAAAGTGCTCCTCTACAAGTCAATGTTGAGACCGGTTTGGAGTTATGGATGCCAGTTGTGGGGCTGCGCATCCAAATCTAACATTAAAAAGATAGAAATCATCCAAATGAAAATTTTACGAAGCATTTCAAAAGCCAGATGGTATGAGAGAAACGTGGATATTCGCGCTGATCTCAACATTGACTCTGTAGAGTACTACATAACAAAAATGTATAACTCTTATGAAAATAGGTTGCATTGGCACCCCAATCCTAAAGCGCTCGCACTTCTCGAAAAAGACCGATGCATCCGAAGATTAAAACGTCGTAAACCCCACGAGCTTGGAATCCAGGGGTTCTCAAAATTTTCCATCTTTTAAATCAATGAGCCTCCTTGCGCTTTTCGAACGCAATCAGGGGTTCTTGGGTCTTTGACCGATCTCCGTCTCCCACCGTCCAAGTTAAATCAAAAAGACATTTTTACTCTAAAGCAAAATTGTTTTTATTTTTCTCCTCACTACAAAGAGGGTGTATATCATATATTAATTTGTTTTAATATATTCCTAGTTACTTAGCTAAAACAAATATTCGTAACATAGTATAAGTTTATCTTATAAGTTAAATTTAAGTTTTTTACAGATGTATCAACATCTAAAAACCATCCTGTACATATTATATTTTGTGCACATAAAAAAAAAAAAAATCAACATTTTGTACCATCAAATACAACAGTTGACAGTGCGTATTATTGCAAAGTACTAAAGGAGTTGAGAATGCACATTTCCCGGAAATGGTCGGACTTGAAAGCTTCGTGGATACTCCATCAAGACAATGCGCGGCCTCACACATCGAGCTTAACACGTGAATTTATAAGTAAAAATGGAGTTGAAACAATCCCTCATCCCCCTTATAGCCCTGACTTGGCTCCATGTGATTTTTGGATGTTTCCTACGCTTAAAAAGGAGCTTCGCGGACGAAGATTCGTATCGAAGACCGAAATCCAGAATGCAATTCAAAACTTCTTCAACTCCATCCCAAAGGAAGAATTCAGGAAAACAATGTTGGATAAGTGGCAAGAGCGCATGAAAAAGTGCATCCGGTTTGATGGACGGTACTTTGAAAAGCAAAAGGAAGTTATGGAAGATTCGGAGGAAAGTGGATACGACTATTAACTTTTTGAATTCTGGTAAGGGAAAAATCTTCCTAAAAACCGTAGGGGTAAACTTTCCTCACGGATTTCAAATTGCCATAACTCGGTAAATTTTTATCCGATTGAGCTGATCTTGATTTTAATCGATAGGTATTGAGTTGATCTTTAAAATGAGACCAAAATCATGTCTGTATCTATCATACTTTTGAAGTTACAGAACCAGTCCCGGTACTTTTGGGACACCCTACGTATGATATGTTTACTCTACACATATGCCCGAATACGCATCATAAGGGACCTATGTGCTTCCTAAGTTGCCAAGTATTAATTATTGTTAGATGATTGGTCTAAAACATTCAATACAACCAGTAAAAATTAAGTGTCCCCTACGAGATTCGAACCCCCGCTCGCACAAAAGAAGGCTATTCTACCCGCTTGAGGATGATGGCGTAGTCATCTGAGCCATCTCGTCGCACGGAGAAACGGGGAAAAAAGAAAACAGTTAAGTGATCTCGGACGCTGAGCGGGGCTTCACAAAAGAAGTCCTTGAGACTTGGTCCACTGATGTGATATGTCAGGACGGAGTAAGCGCCTTTCTCTGTGAGACATTGTTTGCCTATGCCCCCATGTGTCTCAAGGTTCATCTCAACATGCATTTGCTATCGCGGCAGTAAACTGAGGCAATATTTCTGTATTCATGGATTAAATCCATCGATCGAGTTCTGATTTTGGCTCATATATCCGTAACGGGTCCTCCAGAGCAATTTTCCACCTTGTACGATGGTTATTATTTCTTTATATCTATGTTTAAAATTTGAGGTGGGATAATGGCGGCTTCTCAAGAGCAACGAGGTAGGCGATCTTTTGCACCAACGAACAGAAAACTGATGGCGAAAAATAACCAATCGGAACCTCCCAAAAAAAAGAATTTGCCTAAAAACGGAACTTCGTGGTTCTGCGCAGATTTACCAGTCAGACACGACATCTCAAAGTGGAAAAAAACTCGCTGAAAGCGAATTTTAGAAATCAACACAACTTGACGTAGAGACATGATTGGCTAAAAAATACAACGGTTTTTGATACATCGGAAAATCAACCAAAAATCGGAGACTGGGCGAAACGCTCAAGGTCGCAGAGGTATAGGGAATCCCATAGCGAAAGCAACGGAACGATTCTAATATCATGGGGAACTCCGTTCCCATGACAAAAAATCTTAAAAGAGACAAGGGGAGAAAAATTACCTCTTGTTGAGAGGGGTTTAGCGCTTCGTCATTGCTTGAGGGTGTAGCAGTATTCTGAAGGGGCTGGGCACTGGGTTGCGAATTAGCATTGCCTGGTGCTTGGTCTGGATTAGCGCCTCTCGCACGCTCTTTCAATGCGAGCTCATATTGTGTTTGAACCATTTTAGAGAACGTTTCTTCGTCCACAGCTTTTTGACAGTGCTGTAAATTGATTTAAAATGAAGAAATGCCTGTGAGCAAATTACTAATGGACAGTATAAATTATAGCCATGAACAGTTTAGATATAATTTTTTTACTGGAAATTTCCCAAGAGAAGTCAGGCAAAGATAAAAACAAAATTATCACAACCCTATGCAAAATATTCTTCTAAATAATGAATGATATCTATCAAGGAGCTTTATAGAATTGGAAGGAACTGATCTAAAAATTGAAAATTTCATGATAATTTTTGACAATGAGTGATCATAATCAACCAAAAATCAATTATAGTTAGAATAGGTAAATTAAGTAATCAAAATGAAATACACTGAATTAAGACATCAAAAGGGTACGTGCAAGACAGGTCGTTTCACGCTTGTGGCGGACAACTTTGAGACTTGTCGTATTCATTTACCTAACAATGTCCCATCTTCTCCTTGAATTTCGAGCCCCCCAAAAACTTTACGGAGATAAGTTGGGGGGGTCAAAGTTGAAAATCGGCAAAATATTCGCAAATTTTTTACTCAAAAACGAAGAAGTTCCGCAAAACTCCGTTTAGATTATTGAGTTCAAGTTGTTCAGCTGCCATCAGCTGTCACTATGAACATAACCATCAGAGACAAAAAAAAAAACCCAAACTAGCAGAAAAATCGAGGTAACATGCTGTGAACTGGATGAAAAAAAAAGAGAGGAGAATCGGTAAATTAGTAAAACTTACGTTTACAAAATAAATGAACATAAATGCTGGCACGTTTGAGAATTTCCTTGTTTATCACTTTTCATTCTCATTTTTCAAGATATTTTGACCTAAACCTAGGTCAAGCTTTTTCAAAGAATACACTTTTAGTAGATATCGGCCAGCCTCAAGAAAAACGAAGAGGACCTTCCGTGTCAAATTAGAGCTATCAGAAAGGAATTAGGAGACAGAAAATCTCACTAACCTTTTTCAGTTCTTCTTGGAAAGCTTCACTACTTTCAATGAATTTTCGCTTCTTGGCTTCAAATTTTTCTTCGATCTGCTGCAGTTCAGCTTCCAGTTTTTTCTAAAACAGCACAAAAGAAGATGAAACACTACTAATCAAGTGACATCATCCAGTTTATGTCATTTTTGGCACTTAAGGACGATTTTTTTTGAAAATTTGGCAATGTAGAGAAAAGTGACAACATACAATATGCATGCATTATTTACGTTCTGTCCGAAAATGTACACGGTTTTTAGATTGAATCAAGTTTTAAACATGTAAACTTGAAAAAACCCCTAAACATTGGTAAAAATTGGCAACAATGGAATTGTTTGGTCTGATAAAATTCACAGGAAGCCATTTATATGGCCAGATATAAAAAGAATACATAAATTACCCACCTCTGGAGGGTGACTAAGGACAAAAAACATTCAAAAGAGCTACCTTCAATAAAAAAAGGTCGCTAAAATCGACATCCCAGTCAATTTTCACACCGTGGGAATACAGGTACAACTATTATTTTTTGATATGCTGTATATATGGGTAAGAGCTGTTATGTGCGTCAATATGAAAGTAGTATCCCACTTTCTTGAACCTTGGCGTGGCAATTTATCGAATTTTTGCCATTCTTGGCTTTTTGGAACGATTTTTCTCAAAAATTTGACAACCTAGAAAAACAGTTTCACTGAAATTTGATTATTGATGACTCAGAAGAGGCCAATGGAAGTTTTAGAAGTTTTCAAAGAAAATACTTGACATTATTACAAAGAAAAAAGTTGGAGCGTATTCAAAAAGCAATCAACAATAGTAAAAACCCGTCTAAAACTCTGTGGGATCAAGTGAAGAGAAACTCAAATTTCAAAGAAAAAAGTAAAAATAATTTGATTGAAAATAGGAATAAAATACCACCGCATGAAATAATGAATGAATACAATACATTTTCAACGACGATAAAAGAAAGGGTTACTCTCATCAAAAGCAATCTAGATCCACTAGCAGTAGTGCCTAGAATAGAAAATACATGTGTACTACATCCGACGGATATCTATGAAGTGGAAACCATTATAAATGAACTGAAAAATAAAAGTTCAGTGGGTGAAGATCAAATCCCCATCCAGGCGTTCTTTTCAAAAACGTACACGGTTCTTGGTTTAAATTGAGTTCTGCGTGTGTAAAATTGAAGAAAACAATGAAAATGGGCCAAAATGGCAACAATGGACTGTAAGGCCCCTTAAAATTCATTGGAGGCCTTTTTAAAAGCCAGAAATGGAAAGTACGCAAAAAAATACATAGAGATCATCTGTTGAATAAGTGAAAACAGTCGAAAAAGTCAACGAAAATAGCGATTTTTCAATGCCAGGATTTTGGGTTTGAGGCGCTGCTGCACCTTTGCACGAACTCCGTCCGGTAAAATATTTGGCATAGAGTCTATCTAGGACTAGTACTTTGAAAATATGAAACATTCAGCAAAATCCAGGTGGGGCCGGAAAAGGCCCAAAACGATACTCCTCTTTAAAAGACAGCAGCAGATATTCTGGTAGAAATCACCGCGGAGTAAAATTTGCGAAGCACTTTCCGAGAAATCTGTGTTTTTCAATTTCCCTGATGTTTCCCCAACACGAAGATCGCTAGCAAAATTGAATTCCCTGACATGCCAGGTTTTTGCATATTCCCTGATTTCCCTGAAATTTTCCGGTTATCCTGTTCGCTAGACACCCTTCATTTCTAATATGTCTAATGCATTCTTGTATAAAACTTTTGCCACAAATAGTTACATGTCGACATTACAATCTCTACAATGAGATTCATTTGAAGAGTCACAATGAGATTAATTTGTGTGACGATCCGTATTGAGCATTGCCACAAATACTCTTGGAAACAATTTCGAAGGGTTTGTTCGGAAAAGTTACTAACCATGAGTGATCAAATGTAGTCTTACCTGATGCATTGTTAGAGACTGTACTTGTCTTTTCAGTACTTGCATCCTCGTTGTTGTGACAACAGAACGAACATCTGGCACCACCGAGTCAGAGAAGATTTCATTTATCAACCGATGATTACGCAGATACCTTCCGTAGGCAATGTGTTTCACGCTGTAGCTTTCATCTTGGTCTGAGGCAAAAAGAGGTATTAGTAGCAGTAAGAAGTTTCACACTTCAAAATTCAAACAAAAACGGTAAAAATGGGTCAAATAGAGGTCAGGAAATGAATTATTTAACAGGACTAGGGACATAGAATGCATTTTTATACTTTTGCACTTCACTTGGAGAACACAATGTGTGCAATACAGTGCTAGTTGGAACAATTGGAATTGTAATAAACATTTATCAAATTGAAAGAGCTAAAAGAAGCAATATATTTTAAGGGCCATAAAATACGCAAAAAAGAAAAAATTTCTTGTTAAACTGTTACTGACAAGCTCAAGCACAAGACTACTAACGGAGGTATGTTCTTCCTAGAATCCACAAATACTCAGTATTTTTTACTAGTTTTAAAAATCCTGAATTACAGTCATTTAAATTAATTTTAGATGTCATCATCAATACAGACAAAAAAATTTGTGTAGGAACACATTGCATCAGTTGATATTATAAAAATCAGAGCCATTATGGGGAACTGAAGTGAGGAAAGTCAAGATAGTGTAAATCGCTAAAACAAGCTCCTTCGAGAGCCGTTAAAAATCATATCTTTGCGGACGGATATTTTCGGAAAGGCTTGCTCCTGAAAAAAATGCTTCAAAGCTCTCTTTGAAAGATGAGCTAATCCTGTTCACCAAATATGTACACAATGGGCCTGTTGCAAACTTTTGCTAGGGCAAAAATAAGAGTTGTTCCTTATTAATGATGTCGCAAAAATCACGATGAGTGCATCAGCGAATTCTGAAATACAATCTGAACTTCACAATCTGCGTAAGAAATTTGCGTTCTTTTAAGCTTCCTGCTTCAAAAAGGATACTACGGCACAGGTGAACATTTCGTTAGAGGAGTCATTCCATTCAATCCCTGCTCAACATGGCCGATGCTTCAGCGTGCAAGTTGAGGAGAGCACAAAGTCAATCACAGCGGATATCTATTAACGCGAGAAAAATGTGTTAATGTAAACTTGCCGACTGTTATCAGGTAGTTAGAAGTAAGAATAATTGTCCAATCATATGTGTTTTGGCGGATTGGCGTCGGCTTTGTTGAATATTGCGTAGTATCTTTGTGAGCAGCGGTTAGATGGAATGACTCATCTAATGAAATGTTCACCTGTGCCGCGGTATCGTTTTTGAAGCGGGAAGCTCGAAAAAACGCAAATTTTTTATGCAAATTGTGAAGTAAGGAGTGCATTTCAGACTTTGCCAGTGCGCTCACTTTGCCATTTTTGAACCATTTTCTGTAAGTAACAACTCTTATTTTCGCTCTAGTAAAAGTTTTTAACATGCCCATTGAAACTGGCTGGATGCCGGACATGGCAACTCCTCTGAACAGTGGTGCAAATACCTCAACCTTGAGTTCTTTGACATAGTCCTTTTTTCTCTGCGTAGTAACAAAGATATTTAAGTAATGACAAACTTTCTCACCATCTTCATCTTCTGCAGGCTGTATGTCGATACGTCGGTCTGCTGCAGATTGTTTACCAGATGAAGAGCGAGTGTTTTCTATTGTATCACGGTCCTCCTCTTGTTTTTGATCTGTAACAATGAACTTTTCATTCTAAACACTGCACCAAAAATTGTTTAAAAAATTTCAGCACTTCAGCTACTTTGCTGCAAGGAATACTCGTAAGACTTAGGATAAGAAATCAAGAGTAGAGGTGTAGACACTGAATGAATTAAAAAATGACTCTTCTCACTGGGTATTATTATAGCTTATTTGTTTTTAGTCACTCCTAGGGGGGGGTGGGGGTACAAATGACAGGTTCAACATTGTTCCATTATCTCACAACTGACAGTATCTAAATGGATGAAAACTAAGGCCATTTTAGAATTTTTGAAGATAAGAGTTCAGGCTCCATTCTATACCCAAAATTTGGCAAGTGTAGTTGCCGTGCATTTAGGTAAATTTAATTATATAATGAAAATCTGTAAAAATGGCCTATGTAGCACATCAGATAGATCTACAAAACTTTCATAAAAGAAGTTTCTATTGAGGCCTGAGATTTACTTGTAAGGAAGTGGCAAACCTTTATACTGTCTTTTGACAGAATTTTAATAAACCTGAATATATCACATCATTATCTTCTAAGGAGAGTTCCCATTGGACGCTCAGAGATATCATATGCCAATTTTGAAAGCACAACAGAATATTGGTGAAAATCAAATAAAACACAAGAAACATTCCTTCAAGGAAACAGTTCTGACCAGTCCATCCTAAAAAATCACTCCTTGCCACCCACCCATTAATCAGAACACAACATCTTTTCAGTATCTGACCCACTAAAAGGACTGATAAGAGTTTTGACTCATCCTATCTTTCGATATTGCTGCACCGCATTCAAGCAGTGATCTGATTCATGCTGAGAATTAGAGGCTGATACCTCCAAAAGAGACACATGGATTTCATTTTGCAAGAAGGAACCAAGAGCATTCAAATGTTGCTAAGATTTAGCAAATTGCTTTACATTGCAAATATAAACTGATCATCTAAACAAGTGAATCAGTATCTCAGTTTTGTACTGGTACGCATTAGAGTTCAAAAAATTTAATTTTGACTCTAATTGTAATTTTTGGAACTTCTTGGCTTTGTTTTCCCTGCGAAATGGTGTGGACCCGGCACCATTTCTCCACCTTGTCATCTAAACAAGTTGTAGCTTCACTTCCAATAAACTATGAATTCAAGATAAATCACCTTTGTAAATTTGATTTTTTGCATGATTTCAGTAATTTTATGCATAAAATGTAAGTTGCACATTCCTAGCAACCAGTGTTTGAAACTCACCTTTGAGTTTAAGGAGACATGTGGCGCATCAAGCCTGATTTTTAGGTGCCATTGAAGATTTTTAGGGGCAAATTGACTTTTTGCCTATATATTACGGCGCATTTAGTGAAAAGTTAGACGCAAGATGTTTTCGTAACAGAACTAGTAAGTAGCTGAAACTTGCGGAAGACAAAAGCACTGAGAATGAAATCGTGAAGAATAGAAAAAGCAAGCTTTCACTTGTAGTGCTGAAAATTCTGAGTTTTTTCTATTCAAATAGATTTTTTTTTCTTTTTTCGTGTGACTTCCTGTGAAAATCCAGATTTTTAGGGAGCAATTTTTCTGGGCCATGTTGGCGCAGAGCCTTCATTTTTTAGGCGCATTTGGCGCCTGTGAGTTTCGAACACTCCTAGCAACACTAGAATGTTCTTGGTTCCTTTGTGCAAAATGCAATCCACATAGTTGGTGAATAACTTTTATTTAGGAGGATGAAGAGTTCAGGTTTCGCATCTATTTAATCCTATTTATCTTCATCTAAATCTTATTTATATCGTCTCTGGTGATAATCTAATCTTATTCAAGTTTCATCAAACTTTCCCCCAAAAACTCCTTCCATCCAACACGGGCTACCCTCGTTCAAAGCCAAAGAGAACCAAAAGATTTCAACAATAAAAGATCGACTTACTTTTGCTCGAAGCACTCTGCTTGTTACGATTCTTGGCCGTCATGTAAGCTTGATATGCCGGCGAGTTGTGATAAATCTTGAGAGCCTTCTCATATTCCGTCTTTTCAACCTCATAGTCATCGATGTATTCCGCTTTCTGCTCATCGGGCAGATCTCGCCACATCTGCCCGATGATTTTCCCAATCTCCCATAGCTTCAAATCTGGGTTTGCTGCCTTGACCTGATCCCATACTTTGCGACTGTATCGCATGTATGGCATTAAGGGCTTTTCCGGAGCCTTTGGAGGTTTTGGTCCGCGGGCATCGTTCTGTGCACAAAAGAAAAGCATGAGAAACTGCAATGGAGGAGATTCCCTTCGGAATATTTTGTAAGTAGCGGATGTTTGAGTTTTCATAAAAAGAAATTCAGGCTTGAGCTATGGTCATTTACAGAAGATTTGCCTGCAAACTGCAGAGAGATGGTAAAAACAAAAGCAAAAAGTTCTAAAATGCTGAATTTTAGCAGCATTCCAGCTATTTTACCTCTTAATCACAAATTTCTCACTTGCCTCCTACAAAAACACCCAACTTTAAGGTAAAAAGTGCTAATTGCTTCAATTTCTTCAGTAGGTATTCAGCAAAAAACAGGTGAAGATTAGGTGATTACTTGATACCACTGAATGAGATAGGTCTGTGGGACTGTTTGAATCCTATTTCAGTGTATAAAAACAGTACAACCAATTGTAATGGGCATAATGTCAAATTACATTGTTTACATGACTTTTTACAAAAGAGAATGGCGTTGCAAACAAATTGCCTATTGTTCTTATCAAAGTTATTGACAGCCAAGCAAACACATACATTCAGGGGTATGGACAAAAGAAATTCAATATTTAATCCATAGTAATGATTATTCAACTACACTTACGCCAGTTTTCCCGACTTTTTGGGGATGGAAGTTCGGATGTGAATTAGGTGACTGGATGAAAGGGCTTTGATTAGACGAATCTTTCTGCAAATTAAAAAAACAGACAAAAGTTAGTGAGGAATTAATAAGATTGAAGACCAAAGATTGGTTTCCATGATTGGCAAATTTTGTGTTCCTAATCAAATTAACTCATTGCGTGACTGTGAAAGTACAAGTTCCTTACCTATGAATGCAACAGTTGAACTTCAAGTGAATTTTTTTATATTCTTTCCTTTGCTGACTCTTAGAGAAATTTAAAGGACAACTCATCAGCCCGAAACAATTAAAAAAATAGAATATCATTTTTCAAGATTAAAGCTTCAGGTGATTTACAAAAAAACTAGACACATTCATATACTAGTGAATCACCAAAAACACTGTTCAGTAAACTCTAGGAAGATTGTTTAATGTAGCATATTGCCAAAATCTCCCCATATTCGCTTCTAATTGAATCACTGACTATTGAGAATTCTTGAATTGTTTTCAATACAAATGCCCCGAACTGCCATTCTATGAACAGTAAACAAAAAAAAAGAACAAAAAAATATAAATTAATAAATATATGTTCATACCGAAGCTGATCCTGATGATGACTTCAGCCGCTCTAAAAACAGAGGCAAAAAAACCATTCGATTAGAATTTCTTTTCAAAATAAAATATCTGCTTTTGAATAAAAGAAATAAAATGATTTCAACAATGGTAAATCGAAGAAGCAATGCTGGAAAGGCACTGCAACTAAAACGGTGAACCCTAAATTCACTTGTTTGCAGGAGAAATCTGACAAGCAGGCATCAGAGACACTAAGTTGGACTCTACAGGTCTTAAACCATTGCGCACAAATTGATCTATATTTAAAGGCTCAGAAACCATTATTTTTTCAGGTCATCTTGAAAACTTAAGAGCCATTTCCAAGTTTTACTTACCCAGATGTCTGCAAAACTGTTGAAAAACCACAATAATATGATGCAAAAATAATTGATGTAGCCTCAAGAATTTTGGTCACTTGCCTCTTAAAGAGAGGCACCCCATAAAACGTACTACCATAATTGTATCATCTACACAAGCTTTTGGGTCAGTGTCCCAGTTTCACTGGGCATTGAGAATAAAGTTGGTCTGAAAATCAGGCTCAAGAGTCTGAAAATACGGGGCACTGGTAAACTACGGCACATAAAAAATAAAGCATTCTAGTTCCGAGCAAAATTTCATCTTGCATTATTAAAAATCGTTGCAGTTCCCAAAATTTGGGATGAGAATAGAAAACTACTTTGGGCTCTTAGAAATCATCATATCTCAAGGTGCAAAAACAGTTCTGGAATTAAAAAAATAAACAATGCCAATGAATGGCTGTGAAAAAGTGTAAGACTAAGGCGGTTATGTGTCGCAGAGCATCAGAGAGACCAGCGAAAGCGGATTTTATGTATGTACACAGTGCCAAAAGAGTGTAAATTGAAAATATATAAACGAAGGTGAGAAAAGTCACACATAATAATACTACGTGTGAAATATTTGTGTCATTGACCAGGGTGCAATACTTGGGAAGAGCGGTTAGTAATTGAAAAAAAATCATTGTCTGAAATTATTAATGAGGGGAATCATTGGAGTTCACATGGGAGGAATCAACCCTTTCTAGCAAGCCCTCAGTTAAATGTAATTTGTTAATCAAAAAGCAATTGTGAAGCGTTAAATGATACTGGTGTTAAAAAATCGCAGAGAGAAGTAACCAGAGAATTAATAGACCTCTTTAACAAAAATAATTGCTTACAAATACTACAATTAGTGAACTCACAGGGAGGGCGCCCATGCTTTCGGAAGTCGCTACCTGAAAATTTGACCAGAGAACATTCTACGGCTATCATGGAAGTAAAGGCCATCGATAAATGGCACAACAAAAGGGATAGAAAAAGAGATAAAAATTGAACATGGGTTACTGGTCAAAAAACTGCAATTAAAAACTCCAATGCAGTATGAGGGAATGACTCCCTCCCGATGGATTTTTTTGAAGATTTGAGTATATTTGAATGAGTAAAAACAATTAAAAGATGTAAAAAAACATACTGGTGAGAATAAAAAGTAAATTCAAAAAGCCCATTTTTCAAACGATACCCTCACAGCGCACAACAACTCACATATGGAGATAAACTAACGACTGACCATGATATGGAAAACACAGGATCAAGAGTTCGGTTGGGAAAACTTGCAGTTTTTCTTCAAAATATCAAGTTTTTTATCAGATTTTAGAGCAGCGTTTTCCAATTTGATCAATATGTTGGATGGGAAAATTATGGAATGGGATCCTGTAGTGATAAAAATGGAAACAATTTTCTACATCGAAACAAGAGATTGTGAAAATCGAGAAGATTGAGAATTTGAGAAAAGTTGCACTAGGTGACACAAACCATTTAGGGTGTTGCATACATGCATAATTTTTTGCCAATGAATTAGTACAGGGAGTCGTGGCTACCCTATTAAAACTATGAGATCCAAAAAGAGAAGACATTGCTCCTGTTGTTTCATTCATAATGAGATGTTACTGTGAACGTATACCTGAATCATGCTAATTTTCCTTGCCAATGTACTTTCTGTGATTAATATGGTGTTGTGTTCATACCAACCTCAGATGTAATGAAAAATGTTTTTCGAAATATGTCATGCACAAAAACAACACTGGTGCAGTGAGCAAAATCTTCTGTCATTGGTTAAATTTTGACTCTAAATAAGTTGATCCATTAAATGTGAAAAAGAAGTATAAAAGAACTTGATGATAAAAAGTTGAGTGCACCTCTATCACATCCTTTTACTTTCTTTATTGTTTTGTTTGAAAAAAAAATCCGTGATTAAATTTTGAGCGCTCATTTCCCACGTTCCTGATGAGATGAGCAGTTTTTGAAGGTCCCCATTATTAAATAATATTAATTAGGACTTGCTGAAGCGAATCTAATAGCGGAGAAAAAAAGGAGTCTTCAGCTCAAAATATGATGTTTGAGTTAGTATTCAACTATGATGGTGATCAAATGGGTGCAAGTAATTGTGCATAATTCAAGTTACTAATTTCTGAGGTGCGGTGGGTGCCTGGCATTATTTTGAAGGCACCTATAGAGGTGACTATGTTTTCATTTCCAGAGGATCAGTACATCAAAACATTTTACACTGTCTTGTGTAAAAACTTAGTACAAGATGATGCGTGCGGTAATGAGAAAGCATTTGCATGGACGGAAACGCAAATGGAATCGTCACCGGACTCACCTTTAAGGATGTTGGTAGCCATGGGCGCCCCTGGAGACAGCATCTCTGAATATGGAAACACACAATAACGCGCAATCACAAAAAACAACAACTACAACAAACTGAGCTCAAAGCTAAGAGGCAAGACGATTACTAGTTGCTAAAAATACTGATCAATACTCGATCAATGCTACACTCAATAGATACATTCTTGGTAATTGTGACTATCTATATATTCAACTAACAGGGGCTCTTTTCAGAGATTTCAAGAGAGGCAAGACAGAAACTGATCAAATAAAACGCTAGTAATGCTACATGTAAGGATTACGACTCTCAAAATTATGATAATCTTCGAATGCAAATGTCAGGTGCCCCGTATGGTTTTCACCATAATATTTGGGAGGGAAGCAGGTCTGAACACATTGTTGACGCAAAAAAAATGAGTACCTGGTTCCAAGAAAACAAAACAAAGAGGGAATAAAACAAAAATAAAATTTTTTTCTTCTTCTATGTATTTGTGATTCTTTGCAATTAAACGTTTACCTCTTCAATCGTTTTAAAGGTGCATTTAACTAGATGATTAACAAAAGAGTCTATAAAACCATATAAAACATGAGGGCATTGCAATTTTGAGGATGAGAGCTACAGAAGTTAGAGGATATTAAGGTAATGCATTTATCTCAGTCCCTGTTGAAAAGTTTTTGATTACGGAGGCGAGTTTAAAGAAAAATTTTGCCAGAACACTTCTCCTTTGCAAAGTTTGAACAAGGTTTATGAGCGAATTATGAGACAAAAGAGCATGTGACGGAGTCTAAGAAAAAAGGAAATTAAGGTGAGATAAGGGACAAAAACAATATGCTCTCTCTGATCATCAAAAATTTGAAAGATTCAGTTGCCAAATTCCACTTTTGTCATAAGCGCAATTTGCTGACATTCCAAGTTAGTTTTATTGTTAGTTGAAAGAGAGGGTGATAAAAAACATAAATTGAGTAAAAAGTAGGAAACCCAGATGTTAACATAGCATTAATAAAATAAGATAAGAGAAGTATTTTAGGAGGCAATAATTTTGATGAAAAATACAAAGCATTAATGGGAAGTAGAAGGTAAAATTTTGAGTAAGGAAGTTTTGATTTACAATTCTATATGTATGTTAGTAACTAGCTTACACAGCGAATACCAAAGTTAAAAAAAGGTTTGAGCTTTTCAAAATAATGAAAAGACTGAAACTGAATTTCAGCTGAAAACATTAATTGCAGATCTGGAAGAGAGTATAACACTATTAGAACAGCGATTTTCCAGCACTTAATTTCCATAAATTCTTATTCATCCTTTCTCACACGTTTTTGAGACCAGTGATTTTCCTTCTTACTATCTTTCATACTACTTTTGAAAAAATTAAGTACATATCTAAAGGTGAAACGTGCAACATTGTCATTTTTGGAACAACCCCTTTTCAAGACAACACATGCGTACAAAAAATTCATAAAATTTAAGTGGAGGACAAACTTGCCACACTAAAGAACATAGAGTCCTCTAAAGTTTAGATACCTTCAAATAATTGCTTTTGGGGGATTTGCAGGGCTTTTTTCAAAATGAATTAGCACGAAATATCGTAGCAACCACTAAAATGAACAAAAAGAAGCTGGGAGGATAAAGTTTGAATAAAACTGACATCAGCCAAAGATTGAGTTCATACATGAGTTGCATTTTTCATGCAATGTCTGAATTTTTAAGGATTCATTCAGACAAACAAAACATATATAATAAATCTCAACAACATTAATCAACATTTTTTTGTAAACAAATCATAAGATCTACTCAAGTCAGAAATCTAGTGTTGATGTGTGATTTGCCAACACCAATGGTAGGTAAGCACACTCTACATGTTAAAAATATGGAATATGGGAATATTCCGGTAAACAACCTGAAGTAGTTACAATACTTTTAAATCAAGAAAACAGACGGTAAAGAAAGAAAACCAGTAAAAAATCACTAATAGTATTTTCCAACTTTGCAAACAGTGATCTTTCAACTGTCTTGATCTTGAATAATTTTTGGCAACAAAAGTAGGTAAGTAAATAAACTCGTCACATTATGGTAAGCTTTAAGTAAAATCTGGGGAAGTGGATGTTTTCTAGACATGCAAGATGCTAAATAGTCCAAAAAAGAGACAATGTGACAGAGCAATGATCCAAAATAAAACAAGGTTCTACGATTATTGACACACTTACGATTTGAGACCGGGCTGGCTGCAGCTATCTGCTTGTAATTGGCCGGAAGAGACATGATTCTGAAACAGATTAATGAGAGATGATGATGCGTTCACTTAACGTTTACATCAAGGACAGAGGATGACCAGATTGATTTCATATTGATTTATAATGCTCCCCAAGAAATTTCTCTGTACCAAAGACATTGAATCACGTAGACCGTGCGTCCGGCTCGGTTCAGTACAGTCGGAGCGAGACAAGTCTCTCGGAGCCCTGTGATAGGCGGGCGGGGAAGGTAAGAGAGCGTGTGTCCCAAGCACACGAAGAGACTGTAGAGAGGCAATGGAGAATTCATTCCATCGCTCGGTTTTTCTTGAATATCTCATTTAGAGTCCATTTTCAGACAAAGTTCCTAGGAGGAAAAGTTTTAGAACTTATAAATTTTACAAGCAAATAGCAATGTTTCCCTAACTAATTTTTGACTGAGGGAAAAAGTCTCACAATTCAACAAAAATTCACTGGAGCCACTACCGCGCATGCGCAGATGTGCACAACCGGGAAGCACGAACTCACCGATGCGGGTCAGTGCCAACACTCATCGGCATGCGAATCTTTAAAAGTTGTCTCGCCTTCCGTAACACGGGATGCACAGTCTGCGTGATCCAATGTCTTTGCTCTGTACATTGCTCACACAAGTGATCAGTAATTTTTTCTTGGAGGAATGAAGAGGTGGCAAAAATCTTCAAAGGCCGAAAACTGAAGTTTCCAGAGTATCAACTATTCAATTACACTGGAGCCCGCGCCAAATAAGGATATGCACTTGTCTGGTGCTACAGATGCTCCGCCATCTTCATCCTGGCACATACTTTCAATAATAAAATGAGGATAGTCTATCTTCCGTCCCACTCCAGGGATGCGATTACTTGTACAGTACCGGCCCTGTTGCTCTTTAGCCGTTGAATCATATCGCTCTGTTCTAATTGCTTGCTAAATTATGCTAATCATGAAATTTGAGAAAATACCTATTACAGGAGGAGCCAATAATCTTCCATGCTTTCCGAGAATATTTAGATCAAGGTTGCACACCTTCGAAGGAAAGTGATGACTATTTTCTTTGTTGGGAGGTATGGGTGAAGATAGGAATAAATCCAATTAAATTGTTTTAGAGACAAAATTCTAAACGATTTGGCGAATGGGCAGGAGAAAAAAATCCTGATTTCACGAAGGTACTTGGAATGATTTTTTTGTTTTCGCAGCTTCCCAAGTTTCCAAAGTTATACATCATCCAAAATTGAGCAATCTGGAAGATTATCGACCCTCATACCATTGCTTCATCTCTGTGATCAAAGCGCCTTTTAGTGCACTGAATAAGTATACTAGAAAAATACTGCAGGGGAGTTCCCCCGTCTCCTTTACTAAACTTGTGAGAAGAAGCAATCAGTGAAATGAGTGTTTTGCTGAAAGGATTATCACCGAGCTATAGTTTCATATAGGGTGCAAACGAAGCAACCTTCGACATTGCTCGCGAAATTCAGCAGACGTTGTAAGAGAATACTCGGCTTCTAAAATTTTGGAGATGTACCGTGCCTCGTTCCAACATCATCGTACTACTTACTACTTACTACTTACAAGAGGTTTAAGAGAGTAAACTGACTATGTACCTGGAATTATTAGAAGTGGAGGGTTTCAGCAGATATATTTCACCATTTGAGTTGCAGCATTCACATTGAATAAATTAAAGAAAGGTGTTTGAAAAATTAATGGGCTTCGTAAGCTTCGTTTGTTTATCAAACGCCGACAATATGGCGGCGTCTCTGCACCGGTTTCACCAGAAAAGACGCAGAACTGCAACAAAAATCACTGTGACAAAAATTGTTGCAACGTTGCCGCTACAACCATGTTGATAACAAATTTCGTCCCATTTATTCTCCGTAACTGATCAAATTTGAGTAACAATTTTCAATTCAATCATAAAAATTTTTAAAATTATACTTACATCCCACCTGAGCGGAACGAAAGTACTTTCGAAAAGTTTAGTTTTGACTTGGCAACCATGTGTTTGTTTGGGGCAGGAGAGCGCGAAAAGGAACTGAACTGATAAGGATGAAAATCAACGAGCGATTCATACAAGTGATCGATTTTGTTAATTTATTCTGAAAAAAGGCGTTGGTCCACGCGTTTTTTAATCATTTTTTGTCATTGTCAGTTTTAAAATTCAGTTTTTCAATCTTTGTAACCACCTACTAGTCTGCGTATATTCATTTTTCAAGGAAAAGCAAGCTCCAACTTTGTCCTTTCCTCTGAGGTTATTTTTGGAAAATATTTGTATTCTCCGATCTCTTTTTCTGTAGTTTCCCGCAATCTCTTAGTTCTTCAAGTAAATATGGATCCACTGCAATTGCTAAGCGACACCTTGAGTGTTATCACCATCTCTATGTGCTGTGTCCTTAAGGTGCCGCAAATCATGAGTTTGCTGAGAGTCAAATCATCAGCGGGCATTAGTCTGACAAGCTTAGGCTTAGAGCTTTCAAGGTATGTATATAACCTTCCCTCCTAACATTTCTTAATTTGAATAAAATCGCAAGTTCGGAGCCAACTCCCCAAGCAAATCAAGAAATTTAGCATTTAACCCAGGCAAAAATTGCGAAGAAAAAATCGATGCGACCTCATCAATCTTCTGGACAGTAAAAATAGTTTCAAGTATCTTCAGTCATATCATCAGCAGTTCTTTAAAGACATTTTTGTAAACAATTTGTTGCCTCACGATTATCTTTGGATGACGTGGTAGGATCGAGGAGGAAAGAGTTGGATGGGAGCGGTTTCCCCCGAGTCTATCCTTTGAAAGTGGTTTACTTAAAATTCATCAGTTAAACAAACGATGTTCAATAAGCATCGACCATGTGTTGGGCCTACTCATGGACCTCCATTTCTGTGACTGTCATGAGGAAAAATTTTTCAGGAGAGTGATTTTTGACCCTTCTTCCATCTGAAAACTGAAAGCTACATCTTTACAGGAAACACCCCCTAGTACCTGGAAAAAAAGCTACGAGTCATGTACTTAAGTTTTGTTCTCTGCTTATTAGCTGCTTCATAATGCAACGATTTCATGCCGGGAACATGGCTTTGAAACCGCTTTCAGCTTCTTCTCGAATCCCTGTTCCTTCAACTGTAATTTTTCAACTGCCATAATTTTGATTTTGCTCTGTATTTTTATCTTTCATAATACCCCTCTAATCTGGGCTGCCTCCTCATTTATTTTCAGTTTCTCTGCACCAGGGTCTCTTTTCCCGCGGACTGTTGCAAATCTCCGATTACATGAACATAAGGAAACATTGTAAGAACTGAGTCGTCGTATATTAAGACAAAAGTCAAGTATTTTTTATGTCACCACTCATCAATGGTGCTATACTGCTATCTGACTGCATGTATTAACCTGTGCTGATTCAGAGCTAATTAGAGATTGGCACTTGTCTCAACATATGATGACTCTGTTCTATACTGTGAAATCGTTGTAACTGCGCTTTTTTTTTCTTCCTTTTTTTGTTGTTAAAGTCCTTTCCGCTGTTGCAATATATTTTGCTAGACTGCTCACGAACATGCTATCTCCTTACAGCAACCTTAGCTCATGTGAAGAAGTAATTTTCCAAGTTCACACCAATCAAACTTGTGATGCTTCAAAAGCTCATTTCTTCAACTTGACGCTGTCTTTTTAGTCGGGAATTACCGAATAATATTCTGAACACAAATATATTCGATGCACTCTTTTCTGTTTTCAGTTACACAACAACAATGCTTTACAATTATGTCAATGGTTATGCCCTGCTATCTTACCTTGAGTATCCAATAATTCTCCTCCAAGAGATTGTCCTCATTGCGCTGGTTCTCAACTACAGTAATAAGTTGAATAGATCCACCTTCTTTCTAAGTTTGGTCTACTTCTCATACTTGATTGGATTTGCAACTGGGATCTTTCCTCCAAAAATTCTGATGCTCATCATTGTAAGTTAACTCTCCTCAAATCTTGAATGCTCTTAAATCAAGACAGTTTCATGGAAAGATTTTTATGTTTACCGAAACTCATAGTACATCAACAAAGAAAGAAACCCACAAAGTTTACTAACAAAAAAAATGATTGCCTATCTAATGGGCCTTCAGACAGGGTATGAAGTCACATTATACAGCAAGCTTTCATTTTGAAATTTCACTAGAAAAACTAATCACACAAGTGGACCGAGTTTAACAGAAAGGAACCAAGCCACATCAGCTATTAACAAATTTAACCGGGCAATTACATTTTTTACGAGAGAATGTTTGTGCGGATTCCTTTGACATTTTTAAGGATTTGTCTTCAAACTATGGAGATTTTTCACTGAAATTTGCTCGGAAATCCGCGCAATCGTTTTCATGTTAAAAATCAAATTGTCCGATTAAATTTGGCAATAGCTGATGTGGCTTGGTTCCTTTCTGTTCAACGCGGTCCAAGTCATCATCAGGTGGGAAGTCTGAAAATCAATTCCTGAACAAGATATAAGTGTTTATAATCAAAATATGTTAAAAGGCAAAAATAAAAATGAGATCATTTATACTATCCAACTTCCATTTGATCTCTCTTAAAAATATTCACTAACATCTTCTTCAGGAGATGATTTCTGAACATCTCATTGTGTGAATAGCTCTCTACGTAAGATAATGTTTCGTGAGATTTGTTTCTTTCTAGTTAAGACTTTGTCCAGTGACCCATTAGCTGCAGAATATTCATGTCAAAGTAAAATTTAATAGTTTGCAGAAATGCTATGGAATCTACAATGATTTGGCCACACGTCATCTTGAATAGCTACTGGGGCAAAGGTTAATTAAAATTGTAATCTGCTGTAAAAAGGGCAATCTAGGGAACTCTAAAAGTCAGTCAACTTATATAGAGCCTTTTCCATAGTTTTTGTCTTTCTGGTTTTCTTGAATGTCTTCTACAATGGACCATGAGACAGGGTACAAAATATAGCACCACAACACAGGTTTCTTCCAACACTATCAAAATTTCAAGTAGAATTCAATGGACGCCTTACATGTTTTGTAATTCAACTCATAAGTGTTAATAGTTCTTGTCAAAGTTAATTCACACTTCCTGCCCACACAAAACCTGAGTCTACTTAAGTGAAACCCAGCATTAAACTAATTTTGGTATTTATCATGATGGAGGAATTTTCCTGTGTCCTAACTTCATTTGGATAAAATTAAATGTACCCTGTGTTAGAAGAGCAAGAAATAAAGTGCGGAACCAGGCTTTAGTCATTTGCACTGTGTACAAGTTGATTTCAATACTGAATTTGGCTTTCCTTGATTTTAGTGTTCGTGAGTGGATAGTTTTAATTTACAGTTTACAATGTAGACGTGTCATTTCTCACTAATGAGTCAATTTTGATGGTTTTCAATGTGCTCTGCGTAAAAATTTAATGAGAAAATAGGTACTGTGCTTTAAAGTATTTGATTTTTTACCCTACCCTGTGGTCTCTTGTGCCTATCATTTATGGAGCTATTGTAATTCATCTTCATAGTTATAGTTATCCCTCACCAAGGGTTTTTCCACCAAGAAATTAAATTTACTCTCGTTTGACTTACAGCCTCTCTGCACCCCAGTATCTCTGTCTAGCAAGAGTATTCAACTGTGGGAAATCTTGCGAACACATGATGTTGAATCTTTAAGTGTCGTATCTTGGCTGATATCTGCTCTGACCAACTTTGGTGAGTTCTCAATCTAAATCTCTTTACTCTGGCATTTTTGTTCGATCTCATTACACCTTAATTTCTCATGTTTGATGTATTTTTTGAAGTTTTTGATATCTTCAATGTATTCTGCGTAGACAAGGAAAAGTATCTATCAGTGGTCTAATTCTCACCTTGTCTATCAATCCATTACTAGGTATCTACTTTTCAATTAAGCTCCCAATTTTCAGAAAAATGGAGGATCTTGTGTGAATATTAAGGTTTATCTGTCTGGGAGGTATTTCTATTTGATACAGTATTCAAGGTAGTATTTTATGTGGATTTATGCTGTGAGAATTCTTCCTTCTGATTTTTCCATCACTATAAAAGGTCAGTAGTTCGATTATTCAATTATGACCCTCATTAGACGTTAATTTTGTTTGGCCATGCCAGATGGATTTCCCTTGAGCCAAATTTTTCGTGGGGTTTCCTATCAGCTGTCGTTCAATTTTTGGAGATAGTTTTTGTGAGAATACCTAACATTTAAACTGTCAAGTAGTCAACTGATGCTTCAAATTTAATTGCAGTAGCAAGGAACTTAAAGAAAGATTCTAATTGAAATTTTTCTTTTTTGTCGCATGCTGCAGCGAGGGTTTTTACGATTGCCATGGATTCAGCTGATCGGATTCTTCTAGCAAACGTTACGCTTTCGACTGCACTTAGTCTGTGCATCATGTTCTCTGTGATGTATTTCGGAAAGAAAAAGAAAGATTAAGCTGGAGTCGAGATAGTAACCCAAATCATTTTAAGGGTAGCTAGTGAGATTATTTTAAAGTTACCAAAATGATTTTTTAATTTTAGTCTTCCCAGGATCAAATTCTTTTAGTCCAGTATCACGCTGTGCCCCTAGTTGCCATTTGTTTTTTCCTGCACGTCTCGTCCGTTTTGAATAAGCCTCTTGAGTAAGGTCAAAGAAATGTTCTTTCTCTCAGCAATGAATCTTCAATTTTTCATTCTCGTTGGCATTGCAGAAAAGCTAATACCTCTGACATAAGTAGCCTTGAACTTTTTTCTTTCTTTCTTTTTTTTTTCTGTAAATGCTTTCTCCTCATCAAATTTACCTCCAACACAAATAGGAAATCGTGAAATTTGTTTTTTGAAAGGTACCTTTGCTGAGCGTTATGGCCTCTTTCCTACAGTCTCTAGTATTGAAGCATCAAAGGCTCTTATATTACCCGTCAGTACGGCAAAAAAATGTGAATGAAATTACTGGAACTCAGGCAAATATTTTAATTATTTAGCGTTACACTGTACTTTTGAAACTAACAAGGACACATTGTGTAAAATGGAGGGAGGAGCCCAAAATTGTTCGCCGTAGGTATTTGCTTGTTTTAAGTCAAGCTTTGCAGCACTGACGAAATGAGGATTTGTTAAATTGAGAGGGAAAAGTTCTTTGATTTGCCCCGATTAAGTGGCATTTGTTTAACTGTTATGTTGTCTATTGCCAATTCTGCTTTGCTTGCGCCAAAAGCCCTTTCTCATTGTTATCAAAGTATTCAAAGTCTTTGCAAAAATAGGGTGATTTTTTTCCGGGTGTACATTTGTATGGTGTACAAGTTTCATAGTGTATACGCTAAAAAGTGTTGTTTCTTATGTTGCAAATTTCCCTTTTGATGGAAGTATTGTATCCATCTATTACATGCCTTTTGGCTAACTTAGCATTCCAGTCTATGTTTAAATGAACTGTGATTTTTGATCAAACTTTCCTGTTGGGAGTAACTCGTCAGTGCCATGGGGTCTGTACCATGCAAGCGCCCTTTCAATTCTATTTTGCTCCCTTATTACATTTTTATTAACATAATCTAGTCAATATGTGTTAAATGTATTATTTAATTGCACGCATTATGAAAGTTTAGGTAAGTTCGAAAATTAAAGGTGTTCGACAATAGCTTTAAAAGAACAAAAACTCCATTGCTTTAGTAACACCTTCTCAGCAAGGATCATAATTGAAACTGGCAAACACTCTGGTTTACACTTGTATTGTTTTAACGGTTGATACTTGTTTTTTATTATTATCATTATATATAGACTGTTGGCTGAAATCCTAGAATGTTATTGCTAAATGCAGCAATAAATGCAGCCTTTTATTCTTTAGTTGCTGCCTCGAAAGTTTTAAGCTAGTGATTAGATTTTATTGTCGTAGAAAGAACAAGGTTTAGGTATGAACCAATTCACTTTCTTGCTTTAATTTGATTATTTCTGGTAATTTGTAATATAATTTGACCTATCTCTAGCTCAGAAACCATGACTTTACTTTAGATGAGACATGTTTGTAGATTGGAGAGTTTTATTTTTTTAGCCAATTCTAGTGTAAAATATCTGTCGGAATTAAATCTTGTTTTCTCATTATTGAATAACTCTTCAATTAATTTTTCTACCCAAAAATGTTGAAGAGGAATTTATAAACAAGGAATATTGTTAAAATTAAATATAAAGTCGAAAAAATTTTCAAAACTCATCAATACCTTTATCTTATTCTAAACGGGGCATGTCTCATTGGACTCCTGCCTATGTTCTTCAGCGAGCTGCAAGTTGCGACTCACTGATGAGGACAGACAGGAGTCTATCGAAACATATTCCTGTCTAAAATAAGGTAAAGGAATTCATGAGTTTTAAAAAAATTTTCAACTTTATATTTAATTTCCTATTCAACTTTTTTCTTCCTTTTTTCTCAAGTTGTTCGGTTTATTTTTTGTTTTATTTTAATGAGTGCTTAACTCATTCATTTGAAGTTGTCCCGTAATCTAAGAATCGTAAAGACAAAACAAGAGCAGTAATTTGAATTACAAGTCAAGTGGAATTCCCTACCTTTAAGGCGATGAGGTGAATTGTCTTTGATTGGCTCACCTTTCCTGTCATTTTCTGATGTTGAGTTGTGCCAAAATTTTTAGGTCATGTGGAAAAGAAAAGTGTGTTTTTTTCTGACGTATAATAACGCAAAACTGAAGAATCTGTAGGTCAGAATGAACTTCAAACATCGATTATGAAGTTTTTTCAAAGAGATCAATAGATTAGATTAGATTGGAAAAATACTTTATTTTTGCCTTGATAAGGCTTAACAAAGGGGAAGTTTGACAATATTTACATTCTTTTACATAACGATTACTACTTACATTTGATTAAATACATAATAATATTCTCTTGCGCATTTCTTAAATGAATAATTTCATAATTTCACAAGGCTTTAGTAAAAAAGATTATTCATTGATAATAAAGGACCTTACTCCAAGGATATCGGCAAAAAAATTAAAAATATCGTTGAGTTGTTGTTCACTAGCGTCTTTTCTTAGAACTTCGCACATGTCATCATGGTATTGACTTAAGAAAACTTTTCTTGAATGCTGGTAAATTGGGCATACAAATAATAGGAGATGTAGGTCCTTTTGATTTTGGGAATTGCACAACAAGCATAATTCCTTAGGGTCCATTTTACAAGTTATTTGGTTGAAAGTAAGGTTCAGTGAACTGGCGTTTCTCATTCGAAGCTGACTAAATAATCTTTTTTTCTCAAAACTAACGTTTTGATAGGGATAATTCTTATCGGTAACAATTTCCTTAGGGTTGATGTCTACAAAAGTTGAGTTTTATAGGTAAGAGATCAATAGATAACAAGACAATTTTATCCTTCATTGCATGAGAGATTCTTTGTCGCAAATCCTCTAAGTAATTCGATTGTTCTCGTGAAAATTCGATTGCAATCACTTGACGCATCTGTTTCGCGATGGTATCGTCACGCCGAGCCGTGAAGACGCGTGCGGCGCTCCTATGTTGTAGGAGCGTAAATTTAAATTTGGCGCCACTACAGCTCCGGAACATGACCAATGACGATCCGCCCAGACTCTGCGTTGCCAAGACTCGGCGAAAACCGAACGTAAGGGGAAAAAGTAACAATGTTTCACTACTCACTGTGTAAAACTAACTAAAAATTTTCCATCAGTTCCCCTGTTTTTACCGATGAGCCTTATATTGTAGTTTCTAATTGCAAAATTTTGTCCATCTGTAATTTGCGGAGGGAAATTTGGCATGAATAAATTTCATGAAATCTTCCAGTGCGAAAGGAAGAATGTTAAGCAATTAAACTAAAAACTTACATATCTTAATATTTCTAAAAAAAAAAAAAAAAAACCGGAATTTTATAATTTCTGTTTTTTAGATAATGATTTTATTATCCAACGTTACTCTGTAAATATAATGAAATTAGTTTAGTTTTAAATCATGTAGATAGATACAAAAAATAGACCGCGTTCAGCAGAAAGGAACCAAGCCACATTAGCTATTGACAAATGTAACTGGACAGTTTAGTTTTTTACAAGAGAAAATTTGTGCGAATTCCTCTGAAAATTTCAAGGAATTTACTTCGCACTCTGCAGAAATTTCACTGAAATTTGCACAAAAATCCGCACAACTGTTTTTATGTAAATAATTAATCGGCCCAATTAAATTTGGCAACAGCGGATGTGGCTTGGTTCCTTTCTGCTTAACGCGGTCCAAATATTCTTGGAGTCGTTACGTTGTACAAAAATAAAATTTTCTTCTTCCAAGAAAAAAAAAATTCCATCGGTGTTTCTTTGGGAATTGTAAAACCACCTAGTGTGCGACAAAAAAAAAATCTCTGCATGGAAGCTTAGATTTTTTTTTTTAATACCAATTTCATCATGTAACGCCGTTTGCTAGTTTTTATTTTAATTTCTTTTTTATTTTTAATTCTATTTTAGCAGTTGATAGTAGTGCCGTAAGGTACCGAAACGTCCTGCCTTTGTATTTTGTATTTTAGCCTTGTTTCAGCATTTTCCTGTGTTTTCGATTGGAGGCTTAAATTGATACCGCGAAAATACGACAACACTGCCCCCATTTTTTTGTAAATAATTAATTGGCCCCATTAAATTTGGCAGTGGCAGATGTGGCTTAGTTCCTTTCTGCTTAACGCGGTCCAAATATTCTTGTAGTAGTTACGTTGTGCTTAAATACAATTTCTTCCAAAACAAAAAAAAAATCTCATCTCTGCGTGGAGGCTTAAATCGATACGGCGAAAATACGACAACAGTGCCCCCCTCCAAATCCTCCTCGGCTCGGGGAGGGGGGAGGGGAGGGGGCCTAGGCGAGCGCGATAGTGAGCGGTAGCTCCAGTTCAATGAGCGTGCGCGATGGGCCATGCGAGGGTCCTAGATTGGGCCGCGGCCCTTATTCTGGCCGTTTTGGCCCCGGCGTGTGTGATCTGTGTGGTTTTGACGCCCCCCTATTTCAACTTGGCCGCGAACCGGAGGGTGACAGCGTCGGCGACCTGCGGGGTCGGAACCCCCGGCCCGGAACTCTACTGCAAACTCGTCGGAGCCGTGCCCCTCGTCGACGTCCAGAAGGACCCCTTCAGCAACAGCCATCTCGTCAATGGCCAAGTACGTATCCCCTTCGAATTTCAGCCAGAAACCTTGAGGCATTTTTGTTCCCGCCCGCAGAGGACCAAAAAGGGCTCGATAGATCGATCGCAGACCTATCGCTGGGCTAATGTGAAGACACCTGAGAAGGGGTAAAAAATATGAGGACGTCTGAAAAGAGGTAAAAAATATGAGGATGTCTGAAAAGGGGTAATAAATTTGAAGACGTTTGAAAAGGGGTAAAAAATTTGAGGACGTCTGAAAAGGGGTAAAAAAGAGGGCGTCTGAAAAGGGGTAAAAAATTTGAACCTTCGAGATTTAGCCAGTAACTTCGGGTCCTTTTAATCCATCAGACAGAGGTGTAGAAGGTGCTCGATAGGGCGATTGCAGACCGATCGCTAGGCAGATTTGGAGGCATGTGAATAGGGGTGAAAATTTTAAGACGTCTGAAAAGGACTATTAAAGTTGAAGACGTCTGAAAGGGGAAGAAAATGTGGAGGCAGAAGCCATAAACCTTCGAAATTTAGCCAGGAACTCCGGGTCCTTTTAATCCATCAGGCAGAGGTGTAGAAAGTGCTCGATAAGGCGATTGCAGACCGATCGCGAGGCAAATGTGGAGGCACCTGAAAAGGGGTGAAAATTTTGAGGACGTCTGTAAAGGGGTAAAAAATTCGAGGACGTCTGAAAAGGGGAAGAAAATGTGGAGGCAGAAGCCATAAACCTTCGAAATTTAGCCAGGAACTCCGGGTCCTTCTAATCCATCAGGCAGAGGTGTAGAAAGTGCTCGATAAGGCGATTGCAGACCGATCGCGAGGCAAATGTGGAGGCACCTGAAAAGAGGTGAAAATTTTGAGGACGTCTGAAAAGGGGTAAAAAATTCGAGGTCGTCTGAAAAGGTGGAGGCAGAAAGCACAAACTTTCGAAATTTAGCCAGGAACTCCGGGTAATTTTAATGTATCAAGCAGAGGTGTAGAAAGTGCTTGATAGGGTGATCGGCCGATCGCTAACCGATCTTCCATTTCGAATTTAAGCCAGGAACTTCAGGGCTTTTTTTTTTGTCTCTGAGGTATGCAGAAAGTGCTAGACCGACCGATTGCAGACCAATCGCGGGGCAAATGTGTAGGCACCTGATAAGAGGTTTAAAAAATGTTAAGGCATCTGGCAGAGGAAGGAAATGGCAGAAGGCGTAAACCTTCGAATTTTAGCCAGGAATTTCCGGTCTTTTTTCTTTTTTTTTTTAGCTGCGGAACGTTGAATTTTTTTCTTCCTGTCCAAACGTTTCGTTTTTTCAATTTCCAGACTGCGAGCGTAAATTTTCTCGTGAAATGAATTTTTAGGTATAAAGAATAATACAGGAAAAAGGCAATACCATGATAACTTGAGTATCATTCTTGATACAAGAAAAATAAACATTGAAAAGTTTTAGATAATTTTATATTCAAAATCTCTGAGAAGTTAAGGAAAAGCCAGAGAATTTTAGAAGTTAACAACGTCCAAGATGGCACTGTCTTCAATAGTAGACTTTGTAATACTACCAAGTACAATGAATGCGAGGAAACGCAGTCAACTGTTACACGCAACTATTGCGGCTCTTGAGCCGCTCAATTTGCTTATTTAGATTTCGAAGGCGAACTGGTTGAGAAAAGGGCGCGATCCGGCACAGGGTAGTTTAATAGTTACCACGCTTACAGGTCACTGTTAGGTGGATCAGCCCTGAGCAACTATTAATACTCTTGAGCCGTTCACTTTGCCTATTTAGATTTCGAAGGCGAATTGGTTGAGAAAAGAGCGCGGTCCGGCACATGGCTAGTTTAATAGTCAACACGCTTACAGGTCAATTTTAGGTGGACCGATTCTGAGCAACTATTAATACTCACGAGTCGCTCACTTTGCCTCTCCCTGGTTTTGAAGGGGTAATGGTTGAGTGTGAACAACATGCGGCAAACTGCCGTAAAATGAATGCTAACCTCGCCGCCGACTTTCCACATTTTCCTCATCTTTCCACAAAATTACCCACCCATTAAAAAAAAAGATGACCTTTTGGTCTGTTTTTCGTTGACTTTCGACAAATGACCCTTCAAAATTTTCCCTCCTTCCACATTTTTGGGAGCTGTTCCACATTTCACGCGCCTTCCCTACAGTGGATCGAGTCAACAGGAGAGGTCGGACAAAATTTGGCAACTTTAAAAGCTTGTAACTTCGTTTACATAAAACTTTGAGGTTCTAGGGGTGGCTTTATTGTTTTCCTCGTGAAATTTTCTTCTGGTAGCATTTCTTACAATTTAAAATGTGGCGAATTAAGTATCAAAATTTGCAGTTTTAGTCAAAAATGTCATGTCCGACCTCTCTCATCGACTCGATCCACTGTGCGCCCGGGCGCGTGATCGAGCATTTTCTGCACCCCTGAGCACCCCTACTTTCAAATTTTAAAACCTCACAATATTCAACGGATTTTTTGTTTAAATTTTCAGGTGTGTGATTACTGTGACCCGAATGTGCCGGAACAGGCTCACCCCCCGGAAAATGCAGTGGACGGACAATCCTCCTGGTGGCAAAGCCCGCCCCTCTCGCGAGGGATGAAGTACAACGAGATCAACCTCACCATCGATCTTGGACAGGTCAGGATCTTCAAATTTTTCGATTTTTCTCAAATTTATGAATCGTATTCGATACATCGAACAGATGAAATTCTATCGATATCGATTGGTTCAACGTGTAAACATAGTCTCACTAGTCAATCGAGGGAATGGGTTTTTTTGTGATGTCAGTGATCATAACTATCCCTTTAATATCCCGTTCTGCGAAGGAAAAGTCTATGCGAATTTGTCCGAGGTCTAGTACCAGATTTACTGGACTAATAGAATGATAGCTGGATTGCATTTTGCAGAAAGGAACCACTAGCATTGCAATGATGCTAAGATTGTGCAACTTCATCTTTTGCAACAAAATTGCGGAAATCGTGAAAACCTATGAAATTTAGATGGTAATTTTTGTCCTAAATTTACAGTTTTTAGCGAGTAAAATAGAAACTATTAATGGATACTCGGGTTTTTCCTCCAAGACAAAAGAAGTTGCACAATCTTAGCAACATTGCAATGCTAGTACCTTCTTGCAAAATGCAATCCAGCTACCCCTGAAAACAAAATCCCTGGTTCTCACCCTTAATTTCACGGTCAGGCCGCGCCGCGCCGCGTCGCCAGATCGGGGTGGAAACTAGCCCCTCTAACACGTAAAATGAAAGCACTGTCGCTTCGAGCACGCTGGTCCTCCATGAACACGGCTCATCTCTCGCGTCCCTTCAACGTTTGGAGACCAGATGTTGCCCCTCCTGCCTCTTCGTTGGATATCTTCGCGCGCTTCACTCCGGCTCGGTGATTGATGGAGGGGGTGGTTGTTTAAAAGCCTCTGCTGCAGGTGGATTTATTTTTGACTCTACGCAGAGTAGCTGAATCAATAGCTTATTGATGGTGTAACTGCCAAGACGTTCACTCCCAACGGAGTTTGGTTTAAGATGAGAGGCGAAGAAACAAAATACGCCGATGGTTTACTCCGGAGGCTCGCTCAGATAACTTCAGCCCTTATTTTCGAGTGATTTTAAACCGAAGAATGTAGTTTTTTTAACCTTGTGAGGGAAGGCACGCAAAACACTTGCGCAGGGTGTCTAGCATCAGGAAAAACTGGAAAATATCAGGAATTTTGGCCGATCGGGAAAATCGGAAAAAGCGGACGTTTTATCAGGAATTTTTCTTACGCGAATCTCCTCAGCGGAGAAGTCTTACTGCTTTTTGCCTACCGTGCCAGGAGTCGGCGCGCCGTCTTAGTTGAAAAATCAGGAAAATATCAGGAATTTTCAAAATTAAAAAATACTAGACACCCTGTTGCAGAAAATTTCGTCGCCCCCCCCCCCCNCCCCCCCAAGAAAGAACGAACGAAAGAACGTAACTACATTTCAATGTGCTGCCAAATGTTCCCTAGCAAATTGTATTTTTAACTGAAGAATATGGGGCATCTCTAGCCGAAAATTTCATTGATTTTTCACTCTCATGCAAAAATGAGAAAAAATTTGGACAAAAATTACACTGGTACATTTTTTTAAAAGATTGATTTGTTTAAGTCAATTTTGCAACCTTTGAATGGAGTTACGTCCCTGCCTCCGGGAAACGCTGATTTGTGACCCAAAAGAAGGATTGAAATAATGTTGAAAGCTCGGGTTTCATGTCAAATACTCCCGAACTTCATCAAATTTTCTTACCGCAGATCTGGTCACGCGAATTACCCGTTAAGAACTACGATTGGACCGCGTTTACCAGAAATGAACCAGGTCAAATCAGCCATTGCCTGTAACTGGGGAATTTAATTTTTTACAAGAGAACGCTTGTGCGGATTCTTATGTAAATTTTAAGGAATTTTCTTCATACTGTGCTGGGCCGGATTCACCTACTTACCGCCCATGGGCCGCCTTTATTCTGCCGCCTCCTTCTCATTCGTTTTGAAACTCGATAAAGACCATCAAATGAACGTGCCAGCGGGGGAGGGGTGCATAAGACGCATTTACTCGTGTTGAACACATTTTTTGGGAAAGCCCTATGTCAACACTACTAGCAAAAGTTCACGAAACTCTGCGCAAAAGTTCACGAAACTCTGCGCAAAAGTTCTATGTCAACACTACTAGCAAAAGTTCACGAAACTCTGCTCAAAAGTTAAGTTCCGTAAACCTATCTCTGTGTGGACAAGGCCTTCCATTCATAAGAAATGAACGAAAAAATCATGAAAGAACAAACATAAATGTGGTTCAATGATTTTAACTTCCGCCACCGCGCCACGCAGACCGCACGGTGTTGGACGTAATGCGTGAAGTATTCACGCAGTCTTGTAGGCGCTATGCGTTTCACGCTGACCGCACTGTGTTTGGTGCAATGCCTGAAGTATTCATGCATTCTTGTAGGCGCTATCCGTTTCACGCTGACCGCAATGACCGCACTGTGTTTGATGCAATGCGTGAAATATTTGTGCAGTCTTGTAGGCGCTAATATGTGTTACATGCCGATCACCGCGCCGAGGGCTTCTCCTTTTCATCTCAAGTCCTCGTTATCATTTCTCTCTAAGTCGCGCCGTTCTAGGCCAGATTGCGTGTTTGGTTTCTCTCGTAACTCGACATATTGAGGGTGATGTCTCTTGTATCACTAAGAGACGACAAAATTAGAAATTACTATACTCTCAGGAAATGAGAGATTTTGTCGCCTTTTCTCGTTTGTAATTTTGTTTTTATAAATCCGATTTTTTTTCATACCTACACTTTAAAAAATTGCAAATTTTTGTCGCCCCTTAGATTTGCCGCCATGGGCCGCGGCCCAAATGGCCACCCCCTGAATCCGGCCCTGATACTATGCCGGAAATCCACTAAAATTTGCGCAGAAATTCGCACTACCGTTTGCATGTAAAAAAAACTGCTCAATTAAATTTGGCAATAGCTGATGTGGCTTGGTACGCCTTTCTGCTTAACGCCGTCCAATTAAGTACACCATCGCTGCTTATTTCCTTTCCCCAGATCTTTTATTTTACGGAAACAAAGTTGCCGATTTCTTTTCCAGTGAAAATCTCGGATTTGTCTGAAACAAAAATTTTCTCTATAAAATCTACAAAGATTCCAAGAGTAAGGGACCGTCGTTAAACTACTACTTAAGACATTTTGGCCAAGTTTATGACCGCCACCTCCTCCTGTGTAAGGCAACCTCTCCCTCGTCTTGAATTACGCGAGACTAGCCTAAACTTCCCCTCCAAGTTTTCAGAAAATGACTGAGAAAGCTTGGAAAATAGCCAAGGAAAATTCTTTTCCTCGAAAAACATGTTATTTTTTTATTTAATCATTTTTTGAAATTGAAAAGTGAGAGGCTTACGCAAGACTGGGGTTGGCCCCTCTCCATCATAATTTTCTCGATAAAGTTCAGTCTGCAAGCAAATCTCAATATTCCGGAAAATTGGTGCGGATGCATTTAAGGAAAACAAGTTATTTTTAGACTCAGCAGTGCTAAAAATCACATACATCAACCACCCTATTCTCAGCGTTTATTTTTTTTTTAAAAAGAAAGGTTTGCAACCCATCATACACGGAGAAAAAAACTTCGTGCGTGGGACCCGAAGTTTAGGTCATATGGATCTCTGAAGTTTTCGGATTGAGCATCTGAACACTTTAGGTCCAGCTGCTGAGGTTTGGATCACACATCTGAAACTTCAGTTCTTACATCTGAAGAACTTCGGTTTTCACATCCGAAAAAATTCGGTTCTCACATCTGAAGTACTTCAGATGTAAGAACTAAAGTTTCAGATGTGTGATCCAAATCTCGACAGCCAGACCTAAAGTGTTCAGATGCTCAATCCGAAAACTTCAGAGATCCATATGACCTAAACTTCGTGTCCCACGTAGGAGGTTTTTTTCTCCGTGTATGGAATTTTCCAACAAATAAAAATTTCACATAAAAGGTTATTTGAAAAATGGGAGAAATTCTGGCGCGCCCACGGTTGCCACCCCTCGGGAGTGCGCCTTTTTTTGCGCCCCTCGCGACGACGGGCCTGACTGCTGGGCTGGGGTTTATGAGAGCTTTTATGACTTGTTGCTCCAGCAATGATGGGGGGGGGTGTTCCGGTCGCAAGGATCCCAAACTTGCCATGAGCGATTTGTTCGGAGGAAGAGAGTTATCTTATCGCAAGGGAAATGAAACTTTTATGATTATCTGTGATCTTTGCTCCTCGCGGCCCCGTCCTCTGTTGCCGGATTGTAGCTATTAATCACTCTTTTCCCCGTACCGGACTATATGAAAATGGAAGGATAACCCGAATCGCGATGCGACGGTTGCGCCCTGACAGGGCGTTTGCCTAGCGGTATCAATGGTCGTTGCTTATTACGTAAAAAAAATGGCCAGTAACTGAAATCGTCTCACGAGAATGACATTTTTCAACGGGTACTAAATGCCTTGAAATGAAATGGTCGATCGTATAGTGAAAGCTTGCTAAGTCGAATAGTGTGGGGACCGACAAAAAATTCGACTTAACGGAAATTCATAAAAACTGGTTCTCCATTTCATTTATGAACGTGTCTAGGGATCGAAAAAAAATTCGACTTAATCGACGTTTCGTCTTAACCGTAAATCGACTTAGCGAGCTTTTACTGTATTACAGTGAAAGCTCGCTAAGTCGAATTGTGTAGGGACCGACAAAAATTTGACTTAAGCGGAAATTCATCTCAACCGGTTCTCCATTTCACTTATGAACGTGTCTAGGGACCGAAAAAAAATCGACTTAATCGACATTTCGTCTTAAGCGTAGTTCGACTTAGCGGGCTTTTACTGTATTATATAGTCGAACGTTCGGTTTCTGTATTGATCGAAATTTTCGGTTTGTCTAAAGCGGAATTTTGGTTCTTAGATTTGAACGTTCGATTCGTGTGATCGAGCTTCTTCCAACAGTTCAGTTCAATTTTTAGAGTTCAATCTTACGAACCGAACGGTCCACCCTACGAACCGAAACTCTCACAAATAGGTACGAACCGAATAGTTCGATCGATGTGGAACTTGACACCTTCAGTACCACACTATCACACGATCGTACTTTTTTTCGGCATTCACGCACAAGCCACTATCGTCCGTGGAGTGTGTGAATTTTTTCCAATTTTTTTTGCGTTGTTAAAAGAAAATCGAAAAATGTCCAAAAAAAAGTTAGGTACCCAAAACTAACAGCTCAAATTCGTTAGTTCTTACAATTTTATACCCAGCGATCTCCTCCTCCCCTTTCCTTCTTCGCGACAAAATATTAGAACCAGAGACAGCTTCCCAAAATACATTTCTGGCCATCCCATACCCTTGCTAGTTATTTTTTTACCGGATGCAAAATACTGCATGATCTTATAATATGTAAGGGAAAATTACTCCTATACACCTCGTACGTAAGGTGTTTTTTTCGGTCCGTTGCGGAAGTTTTTCCACGATCGCGCGTTGGACTGATCAACAGCTGTACAGGGTGGTTTCACGATAACTGGAATAGTTTTATCGCCGTAACAGACAACACATTTTTCGGTCATATTTTTGGTAGTACTGATAATCACTCGAATTTTATTGCATTAATCTACACAGGATTACGTGTTATAACGCTTTTCAAAGATATTTCGCTCTACTTTTCAATTTTAATATATAAATGACCGAAAATGTGCTGTCTGTCACGCTGACTTTTTACCGCGTAACAGACAGCGCATTTTCGGAATTTACATATTATAAAGTAATTGAGAAGTAGAGCAATATATCATGAGAAAGCATTGTAATACGTAACCCTTTGAAGATCAATGAGAAAAAATTCGAGTGATTAACATTTCTACTAAAAATATGACCGGGAAAATGTGTTGTCTGTTACGGCGACAAAACTATCCCAGTTTTCGTGAGATCACGTAAGTTGGTATTTCGGATTTTGCCCCTCTATGTTCTGGCTCTATTTTTTTTCTAAATCGTTTATTTGTTTAGTTCTATGTTCTTTTAATTTTTTCAGATGATCTGAAATATCACATTCATGTTGCACTGAATTATTTTGCAGTGCTCGTGCGACCGCGACATGCAAAAGAAAATTAGTAGAAAAACAACTCACCGAATGAAATTGGATGCTTACTTAACATACTGGATGCGAAAAAAGTGTGCGACAGCTCGAAAAATGCTGACTTACCGCCACAGCAGTTAGTTATACGTCTCGACGTTGTCGTAGTGACTGCTGTGGTGGTGAATTCAGCGTTTTGTGAGTTGTCGCTCACTTTTTTACGTTCAGAATGTTTAATCAGCATCCCTTTTTTTCGGTGTACACAGTGACAGGAAAAAGAGTGGTGGAATCGGTTTCTCGACGAGAGAGGCGGATCCAACAATTAGGCAACACCGGCTTTCCTCCATTTAAATCTATGCTAAATGATCGATTCTTTTCGGAGCACCTGGCCCCTCCAAGAATCGATACATTTCCATAGGTTTAAATGGAGAAAAGACAATGTTGCCAACTCGCTGGATCCGCCAATGCGACGAGAGAAAACTCGTCCTGATGATTTTCCCCGTGATTTCGCTCTTCCTTCTGTCACCAGGTTGTATACAAGTCCGCGATTTCTGGCAAGTCCGAAAATAGTACTGATTTTTTAAGGACGGTCCAGAAGTACAGAAATTCTACAGGAAGGTCCGGAATTTTATGATTTTTTGGCATTTTTGTAGCAATTCTAGCGAGAAATTCAAATTTTTGAAATTTTTCGAATTTCGTCGAACGGAGGTACTAAAAAAGTACTGAAATTTTCTGTTAAGGAAGTACTTAATTTCTTCGGAATGTACTGTAAAAATACTGCTTTTTGGCGAGTCTGTTTTAGTAGACACCCCGGTCACGCCTTTTTTTCCTTGAGATTTTACTCTTCCTGGGAAAAAATATGACCTAAATACCTATCATGCGCGCCTAAATTACGATTGAATTAAGCTTTAGCTTTGAGTTTCCCGCCACTAAGATTTCCGTACCCCAAGACGATCACGAATAGTGAATAAAAGAGTCCGTTCAGTCAAGATCTGCCTTCGGTTGCCATGCGTTATACGCAATCGACAAGCATGCAACTATTTTAACTCTTGAGTAGCTAATTTTGCCTATGCGTCGAATTGAAGGCGAATTGCTTTTCATGACTTCATGTGAGCACTGAGTGAGTACAAATGGAAACAATCAACGCAGGATGAAAGTACATCGACGGTGTTAGTCATAAATTGCGAGTTGCGATTTGCGACACCTACCAAGTCGTCTTCAAAATTGGGTATGAATGTGTGTGTGTTTTGGCAAGGGTTAGGGTGCGCTCGGTGTCTCTTTGACGAGCCAATGAGAGTTGCATCCTATCAATGAATGCGAAAGAGATAGACGACAAAACAGCGTATGGACCAGTCTTGGTTGAGCCTTTCCTCCCGTTAACGGTCGTGCTTTTGGGGGCTTATGCTCATGGTCGAGAAGCAGTTAATGTGGTTTTCCCGCGAGGGATTTGCACTATTACCGCGGATAAAATATTAGCCTGAGCTTGTGAGTGCTGAGTGTGTATGTGTTTTCAATTTTTTACGATTATTTCTAAAAAATTCTATGGTAAACATATTGGTCGATATCCATTTTACAATAATTGAGCATGAGTGAAATTTTTGAAACCCTTCAATTATTAAGATAAGTTTTTTTTTTAGAATACTGCCAATGATTTGTCAATATATCATTTGTCCATAGAACTTACTTCAAATTTTCCAGAGAAATTATTTGAAAAGACAAAAATATTCCCTAAAATAAATATCTTCATGTTTAAGGTCCTTTTTCCCGTAGATAGTCGTATGATAATATCTAAGAATATTAGTGCACAGTTCCGTTTCAATGGCTAAAGAGTGCGCCTCTCCAATTCTATTTTTAAAAATCTCTGAATATCTTTAATTATACTACTACTGGAAAATAACACAAATATCCTCAAATTTCCAAAAATATCCTCAAAACAAAATTTTGTTGTAAAACATTTTTAATGAGTGATAAAAATTCACAGTCTTTTTTTAAAAAAATTGATGGTTTGTTTTTTTTTCAAATAGCATTTATTGTTAAACTGCAAGCAAAAATTCGAAACATCGAAATCATAGACACTTACTTTTTTACTTTACCATTGATTTGCTTCTGTAGCTGGCTTTGTTTATTACTCTGATGCAACCACCAACTCCGACTGATTTGTTGAATACATTTTTTCCAGGAATTCCATGTTGCATATGTCCTCATTAAGATGGGAAATTCGCCTCGACCTGGAGTATGGGTGCTGGAAAGATCAGCAGATAATGGAAAAACTTACCAACCATGGCAATACTTTGCTGACACCAAAGCGTAAGTATTTTGTTTCAACAGTCTTCCTGTAAAATTTGAATAAATTCAATCTATCTTCATGGATCTAAAAATCTTACATCTTTTCTCAAAGAAAGTTCATTTTACTATTGTTTACGTGCTACTTTTGCAATTGTCCAGTCTGGCAGATCAGTTTAGACCGATGAAGTGCAATAATTGGGAGTGCAACCAAAATAAATTCGGATCGAGATTTACCAAGAAAAATTATTTAAATGTTATGCTTGATTGTAAGATATATTTCTTAGTGTTTTGGCTAATAATATTTAAAATCATTCATTTTCCATCCAAAAATCTGATGACACATGCCTGTTGTGCACTACGAATACTGTGCACCTTGGCGATACCCTGAGTGATACTTTTTTAGCAGATCTGTGAGGCCTTTAATTTACCGTTTAATAAGAAATAATTATTTTTCACAAGTATTAATTTTCTAACTTATTACTGTATTTTAAAGTAATTATTATTTTCTTTTTCAGTGACTGTCTGACGTACTTTGGTCCGGAATCATTGAAACCCATTGAGCGAGATGATTCAGTCATATGTGAAACAGCTTACTCAACTGTGCTGCCTTTAGAGGATGGTGAGGTAGGTTTCTTACCTCTTCCAATGCTGGAAGAGGTTTTTTCTGACACCCTACTTAAAGCATAAAAATAAATTTCCATGAGAAAATTTAGTCCCAATGGGTCAGTTGCACTGGTTAGTGAGTCGTGTTTCAATGGTTTATGCTTATTCATTAGCAAACAATAAAAAGATCTGTTCCAATACTAAGTTTCTGTGTCTAATATCAACAGAGATATCGCTCCTTGAGAAACACAGCATATGATAGCACGCACTGTAATGTTTGACATTATACACCAAGGTTTTTGAAGGGCAATATCTCCGTTTATATCGGATTTAAAAACTTAGTATTTGAGTAGACTTTTTTTTTCTCGCTAATCTATGAGCTCAAACCATCAAATCTGATTCTGTGACTAGTGCAACTGGCCTATTGTTTGTCCAAAATTAAGGAGACTCAGGCACAGTATTAACCACTTTTACTGATCTTTTTTTCTGTTCCTTTTTTCTAAAGATTCTCTCCTATGGAGAAATTTCTCTGGCATCAAATAGTTTCCTTGAAATTTTCTAAAATATCTCAGAAGCTGTGTTTTGGTTAAAAATGAAATGCCCCATGAAATGTAAATGAATGGCATCTGTTGAGTCGAGTCAACAATAAAAAGAAATTATATTTATAATAAAGATAGAATATTTTTTAAAAACAATTAATTACATGAGATAAACAGCGGACCAGAATACAGAGAGGGTGATTTTGTTATAATGAACTTCTTTATGTCTCATTGACGTTGTTATGGAGATGCAACAGTCTGGCCCGGTTGAAATGAAACACTTCAAGATGAGTGATTCTCAAATACTGGCAATAGACAAATCTCTGACACTGCTCGAACGAAGGTTTTAGGTTCGTGGTCTTTTATACGTGCCTCTGCTATCCTTGCTTGAAGTATGTTCATATTTCTTTGAACCATGTGTTTCGACCGCTTCTAAAATACTTTAACGCTTTTTGAGGAAATCTATTTGCAGCCTTAAACAGCATCTTTTGATTTCTGCTACATTCTGCGCTGTCTTACAATAATTTTAGCAATGTTCAAAGACATTTTCTAAACTCTTTTATTACCTAGTGAACAATATACTTTAAAGTACGGATGCTCAAAGATTTTCATTGTGATTTCAAATTCTTTGTTTTTACCCCGCAGATTGTAGTATCTCTCCTCAACAAGCGGCCCTCAGCATCTGAGTTCTTTAATTCGACTGTCCTTCAAGAGTATACGAGAGCAACCAATGTCCGACTTCGTCTTCTAAGAACTAAAACATTACTGGGGCATTTAATGTCTGTATCTCGGCAAGATCCCACCGTTACCAGAAGAGTAAGTGTTTTATTTTAATCTGTCAAGTCTTTTACTCAACCATAATTTTTAAGTTTACCTTGTCAGAGGTATTGTGATCAATGTCATCGATACCTTAAAATTTTAATTTTTGCTCCACAATTTTATGCCAATGCTTTCTAAGTTCTGGTGTGTTGTTACTGAAGCACTATAAACAGCAAATTTTCACCAACTCTGATCATTTTAAAGTGGAACGACTTATGAGACAAACCAATGAGCGTCAACTGGACTCTTTTATTAATATGAACAGCGTATGGCAATATCCAATGCATAACTTTGGATGTTTGTGAACCAGGTCACACCATTCGCTCACAATGGCACCCTCTAAATATCTCCTTTTAAAAAACTTTAAAGTTTGAACCAAAAATCATGACTTTTCATACATCAGTATTAAAAAACATTGAACAAGGGTTCCTGTGTGCATCAAAATACATCTGCGTTACAAGTACTTGCTTACCATCGTTTTTAAAATGATATCAGATCATTTTCAATTGAAGTTTTTAAAAAGCTATTAATACCTAAGTTTAATGCTATAAATTCCCTGACATATACTGAGACCAAAAATGTGGGAAACTCTCAACATTTGCTTTTTTACCCTTGCCTTTTTTGTCCCAATGAATATTCTCAAACAAATGAACCCTTTACCATTATACTATGAATGCTATCAAGGTTAAGATAGGTGTGCCTGTCATAACATGTAAATAGATTTTCAGAATTTTGTGAAACAGTCAATATAACAGTCACCTAATTTATTAAGACTAGCTTACTTTTTAATTTGAAATTTTATGATTCCAGTATTTCTACTCCATCAAAGATATCAGTATTGGAGGACGTTGTCGTTGTAATGGACATGCTGATACTTGTGACATCACGGACCCAGAAGACTCTTACAAACTCATTTGCAGATGTCAGCACAATACATGTGGTCATAATTGCGAGTACTGTTGTCCTGGATATGAACAGAAAGCGTGGAGTCAGTCAAAAAGCAACATTTCCTATTTTGAATGCGAACGTAAGTTACAGAATGCATCATCATGTTGTGTTATAACTTGTGGAGGAGAAGCTAATTATGCAATTTTCAACAGAACTTTTGAATTTACTGACTCAAGTTTAAATGGAAAGAAGGTTAAGCATGCGACCCTTGGGGGGGGGGGGCTTTTTAAGACAAGAATTCAAGATGTATCAAGCAGCAGGAAATCATGTCTTATCTCAGTCAATTTTTGAAGTGATAAAAATTTGATTTGATCAGAGTTTTTGGCAACTGAGTAAGTTGACGCGATTTCTTCTGCCATTAGGCTGAAGAAAAATTGCAGAATTTTGTAAGTTTCAGAGTAATAGAATATACACTTTTTTCTGTGTAGAAGTTTATTCTAAGAATATCGGAAACGGAGATCAATAATCTTGAATGCCTCAAAACATTCACTATTATTGATATTGAGACAAATAAAACAGTTGAGACAATCTATGTATCCACCTTTTCAGCAGAAAATCATATCTTATCTCAGTCAATTTTTAAAGTATTAAAAATTTGATTTGATCAGAGTTTTCCCCATTTTTTCTCTTCTATTTGGACTTATTTCTGCTAAACAGAACTAAGGGTCCATTTCAGTTCCTTCTGAGGATTTTAGAATCCCGGGTATCACGGTCTGTCAAACAGAACTAAGCGCGATGGAAAAGCATTTAGGGCATAGGACAGAGAGCTCTGCGGCCTGAAGCACCAGCCAATCCAACCCGCATTCATTTTCTTCCCCTATGGCCCTTAGTTCTGTTTAGCAGAAATACGTCCATTTTTCTCTTCTTTTTCGTCTTCAAATTGTCAATTCTTGTTGACAAAGTTCTGTCTTTATAAAAAAAATTGATGAAATTTAGAAACCTTGAACATCTATTATTCAATATTCGTTATTTTATGAACTTGTCTTAAAATTTGCACATTTTCATTGTTTGGTTTGTTGGAACAGCTTGCAATTGTTTTGGTCACTCGGAACAATGTGTTTACAACGCAACAGTCGATGAAATGAAATTATCACTGGACGTTCACGGGAAACTAGAAGGAGGAGGAGTTTGTCAAAACTGTCGTGACAATACAGAAGGCATAAACTGTAACAAGTGCAAAGCAGGATTCTATCGCCCATACAACAAGCAATGGAATGAAACAGATGTTTGTCAACGTGAGTTTCCTAATTTAAATTGTAATTTTTTTACCTAGGGAAAGGTTTGAATCTTTCGTAAAAATTTTAACATCCGCAACTGCATGAACATTTTAAGATTTGTAAGTGCCCAAAGGGGAATAGACCTCATGGTCTAAAAACTACAAGTTGACGTATCGACATTACTATTCAAAGGAGTGTTTTAAGAATACTGTGGTAAAAAAAATGTCTAAGAACGTAAAATCAAACCGACTTTACGATGCTTACATTTATGAGCCTCTGCCTTAATACGTAGTTTTGAGAGAAAGTCATTTAAAGTTTTGATCTGATATTTTGATGGCCTAAAGTTACCATGTTAAAATGAAAAATTACAAAAATGACTCTGAAACAAACTCTATCCCTCGCAACTGATGCTGTTTGATGTGAAAACGTATTTTTCCTAGAAAATGTCGAATTTCAATTCCTTCTCTCAATAAATATTTTCCTCCGTCAAATTTCTTGACCCAACTCACAAGAACCGTTTTCATAAAAATTTTGCATCAGTGCAGTAGTAAAATTTCTTTCCTTAAGGATTGTCACCATTTTTGTCATTATCTTTCCTTTCACTTGAGGTTTGAATTTTAAAATGATAGAAGACATTATTTATATTTTAACCATTATGAATTCTATATGTTTCGAGGCTGTTAAATGATTTATCTCCTTTTTTTCCACAGCTTGCCAGTGTGGCTACTTTTACGCAACGGGGAACTGCGCTGAGGGCTCTGGTCAATGTGAGTGTAGGAAAGAATTTCAACCACCAAATTGTGACAGCTGTAGTTTTGGCCACTATGATTACCCCAATTGCAAGCCGTGTGACTGTCATCCCAACGGAACAGTTGATTCTCATTGTGAGGCAACGGGAGGGCAGTGTCCTTGCAAGTCGAACTATGCTGGAAAATTCTGTGACAAATGTGCTGAAGGATTTTATAATTTCCCCGAATGTCTCCGTGAGTAACAATTTCAGTTTAATGATAATATACATTACATTTTCATGGTAAATAGTTTTATTTGGGTTCAAAAAGTCATTTCTGCTTGAATCTTCTATGGGCCTGTTGCAAACTTTTGCTAGAGCAAAAATAAGAGTTGTTTCTTATAGATAATGCCTCAAAAATCACGATGAGCGCATCGGCAAAGTCTAAAATGCACTCATAACTTCACAATCTGCGTAAGAAATTTGCGTTTTTTTAAGCTTCCCGCTTCAAAAACGATACTACGGTACAAGTGAACATTTTGTTAGAGGAGTCGCTCCATCGTCGGCGATATTCATCATGGCCGACACTTGCGCGCAGTTCGGCGCGTAATTCGAGGAGAGTTCAAGGTCAATCAATTCGGGCGTGGAAAACATGAACGTTAAAACACGCCGATTGTTATCTGGTCTAATCCAGTTCAGGTATTATCTCGTCCCATCACACGTGTTTTGGCGGATTGGCGTCGGCCATGATGAGTATTGCCGACGATGGAACGACTCCTTTTACAAAATGTTCACCTGTGCCGTAGTATCGCTTTTGAAGCGGGAAGCTCAAAAAACCGCAAATTTCTTACGCAGACTGTGAAGTTATGAGTGCATTTCAGACTTTGCCGATGCGCTCATCGTGATTTTTGAGGCATTATCTAGAAGAAACAACTCTTATTTTTGCTCTAGCAAAAGTTTGCAACATGCCCATTGTGGTTTCAATCATTTCATTTTTCTATCAACTTCGTAACGAACCTAAAATTGATTTTTTACCTATTGCAAACGAAAATTTTCCAACACTCTAGATAAGATGCAAGAAGAAAAATGTTCAACGGAATATTTGTCTCAATGAATCTATTTTGCCTTGTTCAAAATTGTCAAGTCAGTACTTCTTGTATTTTTAATTTAGGTCAATGAAATATGAAAGCAAGGTTTGAGAAGAAAAACACTTCTTGAAAGGCTCTTAATCCACGAGTGCGGAAAGCCTAAAAACTTATCTTCAAAATCTCTCCAACAGGTATTCGGATAGATCTGAAGGATCAAGATTTTAAAGTTGTCACTGTGAATTGAGTAAAAATGAAACAAAAATGTGGAGCAGTATTCTCCTGAAAAAGTAATGTAAGAGCAGAAATTTTCAAACACTTAATCAAGATCTTTGATTTGGTATTTTCACTATCGACATGCAATTTGCGCATGTGAAATGTCCACCTTTCAAGAAATTTAGTGTTTTCAAATACGTCCGTTGTTTTGTTGTATCTAGCCTGCGGATGTAACGTAGCAGGAGCTCAAACAGATATCTGTGATCCAGAAACTGGTAACTGCCCTTGTGTTAGCAGCTTTGGAGGCAGAACTTGTGATCAGTGCAACAATGGTTACTACGGATTTCCTGGCTGTACTTGTGAGTATTCTAGATGTATATATTTTAATTTTCGATTTATGTGTATGGATACAACTGTCGTGTTTATAGCGTTTCTGTTTGATTCGCGACACTCAATTGCCTCACATTGTGATTTTGCCAGAATGTCTGCGGTAGATGGCACCTCCTCATTTCTTGTTTGATACCATTAATCCACGAGTTGGCAAGGCATCCTCTAAGTTCTTTGCCAGGGAGATCCAGTCCAGAACCTTCTTAAGTAACCTATTAGCCAGCAACCTATGCAACCGACGATACCAGACAAGCTGTTTTGTAAAAATGTTGTGTACAATGTTCTTTTTAGCACCTATAATTTCACGTCCTCTTTTGTTCTGATCAGGCTCTTCTTTGAAATTCCAGCTAATCTATGCCAGATAGCCGTATTGTTTACCTTAAGAATGTCCTGAAACTGCTTTTGTAAATGCCGTGTTGTTACCATAGATGATCGTACCCTCAATAATGGAGTTGCATATGTATTCTTTTTTTTGTTCTTTTTAAATGTTTTTTACTCTCAAAGAATCCCATTCATCATTCTAACTGCCTTCCCATGCAGATTTTACTCTTTAATTTCCCTGTTATTTGAAAAAGAACAGGGTGCTCTAAAGAGACTCATTGAAATTGATCGATCTTTTCAAGTACAGGCCCTGTCAAAAGTGGCTCATCAAATAAAAAATTGACCCTCTATTTATGAACGAGTTCATTTGGGGCTCATCATAGTAGTTTGACAGGAATCCATGTAGACCAAGGGAAATTGAGGAAGGAAGATATATTTCTAATGATGATTTTTCTTGAATAATTTTTCAGTTTGTAGCTGTGATCAGAAAGGCACGGTGCCAGAAATTTGCGAGAAAAACTCGGGGAAATGTTTATGCGCTGAAGGTTATGAAGGAGACCGTTGTGACAGATGCAAGTTTGGATACTATGGATTCCCCAACTGCAAGCCTTGCAACTGCAGTCAAATTGGAAGTGTTTCAATCGGTTGTGATGGGACAGGAAAATGCTCTTGTTTGACCAACTTTGCTGGACAAACTTGTGAGATGTGCACAGCAGGCTTCCACAAGTATCCTGAATGTTTACGTAAGTTTTCCACGTATGAAATTAGGAGTAACAGCTTTTGATTTTTAAAAACAATGAAAAATAGTACTCAACTGGTAAGAAATTATCGTAGAAAAAGAAATATTTAGTTTCCCAGCGTTAGGTTTTAGTGTTGGGGTATTATAATTTAAGTGGGAAAAAACCGATTCTTTGATGTATTTTTGTTTAGAATTAATTTTATTTCATTGGCAGGACTACTTACTTCTTGACAATAATGGAATAAATGAACTATCACCATAGGCGAAGCCAAAATTTTTGTTTTATCAATTTTTTTTATCACTCAGCTGATTTAATTGCGGCTGTCTTTCCAATTGGGCTTGAAAAGAGAACGATTTGGCATCAATATACTCTTCCCCCAAAAAATTGCAAATTTTTCATCTCCATCCCCTGAAATTTTCCACCGTGGAAAGACCAAATCTGCCTCCATTCTTAGTACGAAACTTCAATTCAAATCGTAATAAAATGAGAGGCAAAACTTTTATCAGTTATTATGTAGCAAACTGAAGAGGAAAAGAAAAGGAAAGAGAAAGGGAGAAAGAGAAAAGGAGGTCGCATAGTGTCAACTGCTCAGTAAATTATGAACCAAAACCTCTTTTTCTCTTAATTAAAACAATTTTTATGAGTAAATTACTGAGTTTTTTTCACCTTTCCCTTTTTTCAGCATGTAATTGTGATCCAGATGGCTCAAACGGAAACTCATGTGATAACAATGGCCAGTGTTTCTGCAATCCCAACTTTGAAGGCATTCAATGTGGCAAGTGTAAAGAGGGACTCTACAATTTCCCACTCTGTGAAGGTATGCTACAGTCTTCGTAGACAAAGATAAAAATCAGAACAGCACTTGTATTTCATAAAAAACTTTGTCTCTTTTTACAGGAGAAGTTCGTAACAGCTTTTTAAATAGTAGTTTAATGATCCTTCTCAAAGTGCAGAGTCGATAAATATCAATACCTGTATTTTCATTGCATTGCACTTATTTTTATTTAGTTTACTTTACCTATTTTCAAATAGCTTTCAGGGGTTAATCTAGGGCCTGGTTCCCCAGTTCTCGTACATCCAGATCCAGGCTATCCTTGCCTGAGACCATCATACTTAGATCACCTGGTCTGGAATCAAACCCAGGACCTCTTTATCATTAAGCCAGCGCTACAACCACTACCACATCATTGCCTTGCTGAAGAAAAACGCCGCATGAACATTCACAAGTTTCCACTTTTCTCATGATGGAATGTTTATTTTTAGGAAATTTATGAGTATCTTTCCTTAAAATTTTAGATACTTCAGATCAAAGTGCAAATAAAATCCTTTGAAAAATAGAAAGAAAAACATTCTCTAATTTCTCTAAAAATTAGTATTATATGAAGATAAATTTAGTAACACACAAAATCTCATGCAGTGTTCTTCCTAAGCATGGCAGATCACCAGAGGCTGATAATTTTACTTATATAAGAAGTTCCTCATACTTTACACCTCCTACGTTTTATTTTTCAAAGAATCATATAATATTTCTAACTATATTTCATCTGGTAAAAGTGTAAATAAGTTCAGCTCTTAATCATGGTCCAATTTTATCAAACATAGCTGTTGAAATATGTATTATTATTAGCTATGGAACGATTTTTCAGAGTGTAACTGTAATCCGGCGGGTATCAAAGAATCTTTTGCTGGCTGTGGTACTCTGCCTGCAGGCTCCCTTTGTGAATGTAAGCCACGCGTCCAAGGGCGCATTTGCAATGAGTGTCGTGAACTTTTCTGGAACCTACAACCAGGGAATCCTCTTGGATGTGAAGGTCAGTTTGTATTCTTATTTTATAAAAAAATGCAGAAAAGCCAATAACTTTGTGTTGATCAACTAAAGTAATTTTTTCATCTCAGTGTAATACATAATCAAGAAAAACTAATGCAATAAAATGAGGTACCAGGGCTAAAAAACATTCAAAATGCCTGGGACGTTTCGGAGTGAACTTAAAAAAAATCAAAAACCCTCAGACTCCATTTGTGATAGCCTGTTTAGAATAATTACCACAGAACCATTATTGTTATGAAGAAACCAATATTTTAAAATCGATTAATATGGTTCAAAATTTGAGGATATCAATTTGTAATTTTGAGCAAAATCTTTTACACTATATGGTGTTTTTTTTTGTTTTTTTTTTGTACTAGGAAAAGTCACTTCTACATCAATAATACAAATTATATATTTCATGTAAGTATTTTTAAATCAGGGAACTTTCAATTGAAAATCATTTTACTTTTATATATCGTCATACAACCAGAAAATTGTTTTCCTCGGCTAGAAAATAATTGACCTGAATAAATGAAATTTCACATAAAAATCTAGTATGAATTTTAAAATTATTTTTTTCTACCCTACAGATTGCGACTGTTACATTCCTGGAACTCTGGGAGGAATTGGGTCTTGTGACACAAAATCAGGACAGTGTGTTTGCAAGCCTTCCGTTACCTCACGGCGCTGTGATATTTGTGCTGATGGCCACTACAACCTACAGGAAGACAATTTATTTGGATGCACAGGTTCATAACCATACCTCTAATTATTCATTTTAATCTTTATATTTTCACCGGAGGGTAAGCCTCCTGGCTGCTACACAGCCCAACCTCCAGCCCTCTGAGACCCACTCTGCAGGCCTCTGTGAGTTAATCTTAATAGAGCAGGCTCATCTAGGGACTATCTCCTACCAATAACTGCAGAAATGAATGACTTGTACCATAGCCCAATAAGGCTTTTGTATACGAATTGTAAAATAAATAAATAAAAATCATGAAAATTAGCCTGGGAGATCTTCAGAAGAACAAATTTTGATAAATGGACGTACGTATTGTTTAAATGGAAGAAATCACAACTTTAACAGGAAATAAGAAAGATAAATACCTAGGCCATATTTCTAAAATCTAAATAGAATGGGTTGACCTAAGGACTTTCACCTGTTGGTAGCCGCAAAAATCATGGAAATGGGCCTAGTAGAACGGTAAAACGAACTGTGACAGAAAATGAAATTTAGGGGATCGGAGAGTTTATAATGATGATTAATATAAATTTATTTCTGTCAAAGAACCCCGCACAGAGCATGGGGTCAGCGGCTCTCGATGAAAGTCGATGAAACTTTATTAGATTGATATAAAGTTCATAATTAAGGGAAAGCCAAAAAATTAGCTCACTTTTGCGAGTATAAGTTGAGATATTAGCGATTGAACCCGGACTATTTTCTGTGGGGCAGAGGTAAATTCTCCGTGTCGCCTTACCTCGCTTGAGCACTTCGGCCAGGAAACCCCCTATCCCCACCAGGTAACTACGATGTCGCATTGTTTACACTCACTCCTTTCATTAGGACGCTCCGTTCGGGCTGTGCAATATGGAGTTCCCTGCTTCTCGCACCTCTCCCGTGCCGGCGCTGCCGGCCGGTTTAATCTGAAATGTAGTTGCTGAAACAGAATCGACAGATGCGGGGAGAAGGAGGGAGTACGGCATTCGCACCGGCCGAGCGCATAAGCACCTATCTTCACGTGAGTGACGTGAGGTCTGATCGAGAACGCCAAACAACGAGAGGAGAGGGGACTCGGAATTCTACCGCCATGCTGCGGCATGATAGAAAATAGTTCGGATTCAATGGCGAATATCTCGGTTTCTACTCGCAAAAATGAGCTAATTTTTTGGCTTTCCCTTAATTATGAACTTTATATCAATCTATTTAAGTTTCATCGACTTTCATCGAGAGCCACTGACCCCATGCTCTGTGCGGGGTTCTTTTCAGTAATTTTCATTGAAATATCATAACTGTTCAAATTTAAGTAGACTCTACATAAAAAATTATGAAATCTATTTTTTACAGATTGCGGGTGTGATATCGGAGGTTCTGTGAGTACAATCTGTAACAAGCAGACAGGACAATGTCAGTGTCAGCCCCGAGTTACTGGAAGAACGTGCCGTGAGCCACTTCAAGCACATTATTTCCCCTCGCTACACCAATACCAATTTGAAGCTGAAGATGCGCGGACGCCAAACCTTGTCCCCCTACGTTATGATTTCAACTCGACAGTTTTTCCTGGCTTTTCATGGAGGGGTTACGCTATTTTCTCCCCAATTCAGGTTGGGTTTTCAATCAAATTGTTTTATTTTATTGATTTTTTTAATTTATTTTTTGACAGCTATTTCGCTGTAATTTCAATCGTTTCCTCGGCTATTACCCGTCATCATAATATTCTATCATTAATCATTATCCAGTTAAAGAAAAGTATTGATTACCTGTGTTACAATTATATATTTGACATGAGGTTGCAAACTTTTATGGAGTTGAAGCCTTTTTTACCTTTTTGAAATTACATTTCAATCCCATCATGAGGAATGTCAAATAAAATACTTAGATTTTCATTGTAATTTACTGCGGGAGATTGTTCATTTCTTTAAAATTATCATAAACTTTTGTCAGATCAAGAAATCAAGAATCTTGTGGTAAAAACGCTTCAAATGATCATAAATTCTAGGAAACTTGAAAAACCTCAAAAATTGTTTAATTCTTTATTCTTTTAAGGATGTTTTGTGAGATCAGAAGCTCATGAAACCGTCCTATATCACTCTAAGCTTGGGAGTCTCCTGAAAGCTTCCTCCCGCGAACTTTGTTAAGAAAGAACTTTTTCATTGAAACTTCCATCATCAAAATGATTGTATTAAATCAAATAATTTATCGATTATTAATTCTATGGTCTTTGTCTTTAGGATACAATCATCAGCCAACTGACGATAGAAAAGCCCTCTGTCTACCACATGATTCTGCGGTACGTCAATCCTTTGGAGGAAACCGTCACAGCAAACATTGCTATAACACCAGAATTTTTCAGTAATATTGCCACAGAGCAGAATTTTAAGGTAGCTTTGCAATTTATTCAATTCAGCCGTCTTTGAGAGAAACGTTAGGCCTAAGCCATAATGATTTTTAAATATATGATTTTTTATCCTCCTTCTTCAAAGGTAGAAATTACGTTGACCACAGTATCAAATGTAAAAAAAGAGAGACTCTACCATGATCTTTAAAGTTAATTCTATTTCCATGGAAGAAATAAATATTTCAATTTGTTTTAATTATGCGTAAGAATAGCCATCTCCGTCCGAGAACCATAAGAGATGAATCCTATGTTTGGAAAAATGAGTTTCTTTATTCTGAATACCCACAGTGTTTGTTTCGCAAACAAAAAAATTTAAATAGTCTTTAAATGCTGTTGAGAAATCAAACTGATAATATTCTTAAGGGCTCAAGCGCCAAAATCCAATGTGCCTTTTGACATGCGTTTAATTTTTTGAACCTATTTTCAATAAGTATTTTTTAAACACATTGAGCATACGCCGAATGGCACCATTTTTCTTGAAATTTGGATTTTGGCCCTTGGGCTCTTAGGAAACATTGCTTCAACTGAGAAGATATTAAGCTTCATAATTGCATTGTAATATTAATGGCAACAACTAGTCCAATCATTCCTCCTGCTTGCTAAAAATAACAAAAATTCATGAAAATTATCTGGTTATAAAGACAAATTTAGGAAGTATCTTGTTTTGTCACCAAGTTGCAAGCACTTTGCTCCATTTTTTTTCTTCAACTATTTTCAGGACTCTAAAGGAAGAGTCTCAAAAAGTTACTCTTTCATTCTCAGCTCATCCATTTAAAAAATGTTCCAATGTGTTTTTATTTTTATTGAAAGTATCATTTCCTAAACTGTTGTATCTGTGATATTTGTTTTTTTAAAAATTAATCGTTATTTTTTCTTAATTTGTCAAGGTTTTATTGAAACCTAGCCGAACTCCAACATTTATGACCGTTTCTGGACCCAGTGAGAGTATACCTGCTCCATTTGTGATGGATCCTGGTTATTGGTCTGTCACCATCAAAAGCCCAAAAATATTTTTCCTCGTAAGTTTTTCATCATTTCATAACAAAGTATTCACCACTCAATTATGTGACACTATAAATAGCTTGTAATGTGTAGTGAAAAATCATCTCTTTCATACGTGGCGCATTGTGTTCAAAATATATGTTGTATTGCAGTAAATCTCACTGCTTTTCTAGAACTTTTTTCTATATTAGAGCTTAGTCATGTTATGAAGTTACCTCTTGAGCTGTTTTCTGTTCAACAACAGTCTATTGGCAGAGAAGTCTTGCTAAAATTTAAGATAAGCCGATTAGTGTACTTACAAACTTTTCAAAGTTAAGGAGGCTTTTCCGCAGAAACTGCATCAAAGAATGTATGAATTAAAGAATACATCTTGCAAGGATTCGCCAAAACATGAATCACAACTTTGCTCTTTTTGTAAATATTCTCAATTTTTAATATTGATTTACTTTTAATTGCTCAGTATAGCTTTAACCGACTTTTTGAACATTTACCCTTTAAAACTTTTTGTTTCGGCATGTGGTGCAGTAAATCTAATTTTGGCTTTCAGGACTATTTTGTATTACTTCCGGCAGAATTCTACGAAGCTGACATTTTGGTCGACAAAGTCGTGTACCCTTGTGTTTCTGGAAACGAGACCATTTGCCGTCACTTCCGATACCTCGATGATAACACGTTTGATGTTGTGAAAACTGACAATGGATTTACATCACCAGATGGCCAGTCTCGTGAACCTATCAGATTTTTCTTCACCGAGACTGAGGTAAGGTTTTGAGAAGTATCTTTTGCCAAAAGTAACCAGAGGTTGTACTGCAATTTAAATATATTGCCACAGTTGTTCAGTTTATAATTTTGACACAATTAACGCAAAAATTGATCGTCAGTGAATTATCTATAACAGTTAGTGAACTAATATATTGTGAAATGTCTGTTAGGGATATTTCATATTCCCATAATTGAAGAGGCAGCTGCAAAAGTAGCCTCTTCGCAACAACTTTTTTTTGTTCAATTACAAATAATTCAATGCAACTCTCCTTTAAAGAGGGTCCCAACTATAAGAATGCAAGAAAACTCATTCATTTTCTCAAATTCGCAACGAGTTATGGACAGTTTTAATTTTCAAATGCATTTTTCTTAAAACAAAATTTTTGCGTATGGGTTGTTTTTGCCACCTCCTCAATTGATTTTAGCTTCTGTAATTTTTTTGGGTTTCATTTTCTTTCTTAACAAAAAATTTTCTCTCGTCTTCGTCTTTAAGATACAGCTGGGAAATTAAGGTTGTAATTTCTGCATAATGTTGGGAGGAGGTCAAACTTTATCTGTTAAAGTGAAGCAAAATTCTTGAAGGTCTTTGAAAAACCTTTAAAATTGACCTAAATTGTGAGAAAACAATGTCAAATTTCCAAGTCGTTGGTCCATTGCTTTTACATTTGATTTGTAAATTTAAATGCATGAAGTTTAAGCTCTAAATTATGAGCAGAACTTATTCGCATCTTGGCAGGAAGTGAGAAAGAAGCAGTCAACATGAATTAACTCTGTGCATTACAGAAAAAGAGAGATGAGAAAGTGTATTAAAGTAGGCCAAAATCAGGAATTTGCCGAGAACAGAATCTTTCTACTGTGTACGTAACCTAAAATACCAATAAAAATCTCGCTTTTTTTATTTTAGGGCGTGGAAAATATGGAAAATAAGCCAATCCCAGCTATAAACAAAGAACAGCCAGAACTTCGTGTGGATTTACGAGTTCAGCGTCCTGGTCCACATGTACTTTTGCTCAACTATGGGACGCCACAAAATAACACCGAAAAACCATCCAAAGTCCTTATCGAAGCTTCCTCTCAAAACAAGCAGTACCGTGGCATTGCATTCCTCAACCAGTGCCGCTACTCTACGCTCTGTCGCCAGGTGGTTGTCGACAAGAATCATACTGTCGCAGTCTTTGATTTTGATACCAATTTCATAAACGTTGTGCTGAAAACAGAAGAACCAGACTCTACTGTTGGCGTGGAGTCTGTGACTGCTATTCCGTATGATAAGTGGTCCTTAGATTACATTCTGCCAAAACCTGCGTGCGTTCGTAAAGATGGCAAGTGCATCCCGTCTTCATTCCGAAATCCACCCGAGTCTGTGAAAGTTGAATTCGAAGCTGGTGCACCGGAGCAGGTTGCCAAAGAACTCCCTGCAGGTATGTTTCTATCTGTCTCTCTATTTTTGCCCGATTCCAAAAGTTTCATGTGAAGGAAAAACCGGTCTCAAAGATAAATAATAACTTAGGGGCTTAAAAACTTTCAGTATTTTTTGACCATGAATCATTTTTATAAGAATCAATTGGATTTTCAAGTTTCATACTATCATATCAAAAATATCCAAAGAAACCTGAATGAAAGTGCAATTTTAGTTAATTGAATGATTAATACCTGAAGGGAAAAAGTTTGCATGCGTCTGTCATTGGTAGTGAACTGAACACTAAAAATATTTCATTTTCAGCTTAATGCACGCAAATTGTCAATGTGAAAAGTTAGGGAATTTTTCTTTTTTTGGTTTGGAAAAACCTAGAGAGGTCAGGGAATTTTTTCCTGCCAAGTGTTCAAACACCTCAAATGCTCTTTGGCTCTAATTTTTTTTTTGTTTTACCTATTTTGATTTTTTTTTGAAGAAGAAGTATTGTTGTTATATGTGATTATATCCAATGAAATAACGGATCGGTCAATTTTCGTAAAAATTGCATTTTTGATACCCTCATTCAAAGTGCATATTTCTTTTTAATCAATCAAGCACCAATCTATTTATAATCTATTTCAATGGTTTCAGGAATCTACGACAACCAGACTGGTCTCATCTTCCTCAACCACGCAGACCCGATGATTGACGTACGAGCTAAAGTCCCAAACCCAGGCTATTACTCATTTGTCGTCCATTATTACCAACCGGATCATCCACAGTTTGACATGGATGTCATCATCCAGAACGGTCAGTTCTACGAGGCAAAACTCCTCGCACCTCATTGTCCAGCCAGTTCAGGCTGTCGATCCGTCGTCAAGCAGGCTAACGGCAACACCCAATTCGCTTTGACGGAAAATGTTGTTTTGACACTGAAGGAGCCCGACCACAAAAGTATCTGGCTGGATTATGTTCTGATTGTCCCAGTGCGCGATTTCACCGACGATATAATTCAGGAAGAACCTGTCGATTTGGCTGGACTTTTCATCTCTCAATGTGGTCAAAATAATTTCTTCATGAGCTCAGATACCTCTGGTGACTATCTCTATTTCATCATTATCACTGTTATCACTTAATTCTTTGCCTTTTATAGCTTAAAATGATCCCAGGAGTTATCAGTTGAAATAAGTGAAGCTAATCATCAGTATGATTTATTGGTTATCATCGGGTAATCATCTCTAGATGAGCTGGCTAACTTCAAAGTTTCAAAGTATGACTCAGGGTTTTTATCCCTGTAAAGCTGCCCTCCAAAGATGCCGTTGAACCACATAGCAGCTACGAGAGACCTCTTGGTTTTTATTGTTAGAAATTTGATTCATTTACTGAGGGTAGACAAAATTGAAATGCAGTTGCTTATGAGAGAAAAATTAATAAATTCCAACTGGATGAGACACTTTTATTTTCATACAAGTTGGCCAAAAATTTACTAAAAATAAAAATATTTAATTTTGTGTGGTTGGCATCATTGCAGTCATTTTTTGAATTCCAGAATCTTTCTTTAATTTTGTTCAAAAGTCTTGTTTAATTTTTTTGAATTATAATCATAAAGCATACCGCAGAAAAATAGATGAAATAGTCAAAAATTTTGCAGCAGAGATCATCGTAAACATCAGAATATTGTTGTAAATAACCTATGTTTTTTGAGAAAAGACAAAATTTCTTCTTTTTGTTAATGATTCCTCTTTCTCCCAACTTCATTAGGTTTCTGTCGAGAAGCTGCATTTTCAGTTGTGACCAATTATAACAGTGCAGCTTTACCTTGCCAATGTAACATCGAAGGTTCCCTAAATTTCGAGTGTAGTCAGTTCGGAGGTCAGTGCAAATGTCGTCCTAATGTTATTGGTAGACGCTGTGAGCTCTGCGAGACAGGATATTATGGTTTCCCCAACTGCAAACCTTGTGATTGTCCTGCCAAACTTTGTGAGCAAAATACTGGTAAGTTTGAGCTTCAACTACATATTCTCTGAAAACAATTTTCTCATAGTAGGATAAGCTACATTGAGACACTATAAAAGTGTACGATGCTTGATAAAACTTAACTCTGTCTTTAATCAACCTACCTGAAAACCTCAATTCTAAAACGGAATCTTTAATTTGTTGGAAAATCTAAACTAATTTGTTGTTTTGACAGATCTTATTATTTCTTGCTTATCTATTTGCTCAAACCATCAAAACGTGGTTCTTCACAGTTGACCCATTTGAACCCTGAGCATAGCAAAAACCTTTAAATAGCCATGCAATACTTCGTTTTTTGACAGCAAACTTGAAATTGTCCTCACCTTTATTTTGTTTTACTTTTTTAAGCACGTCCAAATATTGAATGCAAATATTAGCTACATTTGCATTTTTAAACCCACAAAGAACCCTCTGGTTCTCTCTGACACTTTGTCCTTTGAAATCGCATACATTTTACTTTACTTTGTTATTCATCCTTCCTGACAAATAATATAATTCACTAATCTCTTTTACAGGTGCATGTCTCTGTCCGCAAAATGTTATTGGTGAAAAGTGCACAGAGTGTAAAGAATATACCTACGGATTTGATTTACTGGTTGGATGTACTGATTGTGCGTGTAATGAACAAGGAGTCAAGAATGGAAACCTGCAATGTGATCTGCTAAATGGAACATGCGAGTTAGTACCCACCACTTTAATTTGAATACTAAAATTGGGAAAAATGTAGTCAAGTATAGAAAACTTGAGCAGTAGAGTAACTGATAAGTATAAGAAGTCTTCTTATTGTCAATTTGAATTTGCAAATGAGAGACAATCCTATCATCATCAAACAAGTCTGTAAAAATTTTATGATCTCTAAATTCTACATATCAACCATGAAACTCCCAAACCACATAGCTCGTTTGCGGTGTTTTAAAATCTCTGTTTTCATTTTAGTGTTCGAAAGGAGGACAAATCAACATCATTCCTTGAAGTTTTCAGAGCTTTTTTTACACAGAGAAAATGAATCACGGAAGTTTTTTAAGAATTGATGTTTAGTGGTTTTCCATTTAAAAAATATAGTATGAAAGGAGGTCTGCAACGTCGCAAACCAAGTTTTGTGGTTTGGTAGGTTCACTGTCTGATTAATTTTCTAATCATCAAGAGGGGGCCAGTTTTTGTAGGTCAACATTTACAGCGACTGACTGTCTGGTCTAAGGTTGCATATTGAAATATGTACTGTGCAACTTCGTAAAAAAAGAATGATCTTTTGGAAATACTTACAATCAAAATAATCATATTGAACTCGCTGAGAGGATCCCGAATTATATCTGTTCATCAATGAAGGTTTCAAAATGAATTTTCTTTTTCGTAGCTGCAAGGACCATGTCGTCGGAAGAGCTTGTGACCATTGTATGGACGGAAACTGGGCGTTCCCCCATTGTGTAGCCTGTCAGTGTGACTTGCGTGGTACCATTCCCGAAATCTGTAATCAAGTAAGTTTATCAGGCATTAATGAAAATTGTTATTGAGACTCGGATGTTTTAGAAGAAGCTGATCATGTTTTGTTTATTTATTTTATTACATCTTCTTTATTCATTGTGGAATCCAAAGAAGAACCTCTTACATCTGTTGCATTATTTCAAATTTTGGGGTTTTTTTTTATTTGTTTTTTGTAAGGGGACGTGTTTGTGCTCCTGCATTTAATATTTTCAAAGATTCCTAACAGGAAAAAGGGGTATCACATGCATTTCTGAAAAATAATAATAAGAATGATTGTTTGTACTGTACTGTCAAAATATTAGGTGTCATTAAATTTTTGATATTTCAACCCCAAAAATACCAATATTCTGAACTTAATTCTGTTGCCAAAATTTTCTCTGGTTTATTTTTAAGGCGATCAAAGAAAGAGTAAAATATGTTAGAGAATTTTTCGATCATTTTTTCTTAGCCGCTCTTCATCTAAATTTTTATCTGAAATGAACAAGAACAAAAATCGGATCCTATTGAATCATCTAATGTTCGAAAACTTTGATTCTCTCCTACCATAGAACAATGCTGAATGTTTCTGTAAACTGAACGTGGAGGGTCCAGCTTGTGACATCTGTAAAGAAGGAACCTTCAATATCCAGGCAAAGAACGATGATGGATGTACCAAGTGTTTCTGTTTTGGAAAAACAACCAGGTGTACCAGCTCCAACCTGTACCGAACAACGGTTAGTATTTTGAAACTCTTGTGCAATAGTTTAAATAAAATACAATTTCATCAATTGAAAGTTAAACCTGGTATAGCTGACTCAATATGGCAGTCTGGTTGATTTGATGATGAAATAGTCGGATAACCCAGAGTCTAGCAGAACCTTGAAAGTTTGGCAGATGCTTTTTGCTGTGAACTTCTTTGACACACTACCCTTTTTATTTTTTTGTTAATTTAAAATGTGAAGTACAAATTAAAAAATGGAAGAAATACTTTAAAATTTTGTACGGTCACATGCTTTCTCAAAAGAAACTTTACATTTGCCTCGCAGTAACAATTGTGAAAACAACTTTTATAATTTTAGTTGTAGGAAATCCTTCTTGAGTATTTTCTTGTGCAAAATTTATAAGAGGGTAAATTTAGGGGGGGGGGATGTTTAAAAAACTCTTAAAATATCAACTGTAGTTTTTCAATGACAAAAATGTTCGAAATTTTTCTTCAAAAGGTCTTTAAAATTTTTTTTTTAAAAGCACTGTTAAAGTTAATTTTTCAATTAGTCAAATTTCAAGTTTAAAAAAATAGCCAAAAAGCTTACCTAAAACAACCGTTTTAACAGTTTTTAAAGAGTTCTTGTAAATTGCTTTTTGAAGGTTATTTATTGCTATGAGAGTATGAAATTAAATACATTCTAATGGAACAAACAATACATCATTAATTTTTTTGGGCTAAGCAATATCTCAACAGTTTAATTAAAGTTCAATTGTAATTTTATTTTACTTCCAGATTCAAGGCATGGATGGTTGGAAACTTGTGTCTCTCAATGTATCAAAAACAGTAAATGTAGAATCAATTGGCACCCTGCCGCAGAAAATTGAGTCAGGGCAGGGGCAAGCCATTGGTGTTGATCTCACTGCTCTTGAAGATAAGATCATCTACTTCCAGGCACCAGAGAAATTCCTGGGCAACAAACTCACCTCGCATGGAGGAGATTTGAACTTTACTCTTCTGTACACCAATGGATTATTTGGTAAGAAATAAAAAAATAATGCGGTTACATTTGGCAGAGTCAAATTTGCTCATTAATTTTTATAGAAGTTAGAGTTTAGGTCTAATTTACTTTGCAACGGAGTTTTCAACTCAAAATTAGAGTGCTGTATTTGTATCATGTACCCCTGTTTAAGGCTCTGGCGTGTACAAAATGAAAAAAATGTGAAGAAAAGTCAAAATGGAAAACTGTAATAGCCCACTAGAATTTTGAAATTTCTGAATCATTTCTAAAGTTTCATCGTACTCCTGTATTGCCGTGATGAGGAAAAACCCCGTATGAACATTTGAGTGTTGCCGAATTCCCTCCAAAAATGCTTCTTTTTAAGGAGAGTTTTGATTAATTTCTGTCGAAATTTTCAGATAAAATTGCAGGAAATATTCTCAAATTTTCCTAAAAATTCGCACTTTATGAAAGGAAATGTAGGAATGTCTGGAGACTCATACAGCATTCTCTCTTAGCAAGGTAGTGTAAGCCTATTTACACCCATCCTTTAAAAGTTAAAATTGGTTTGGAAGAGAAGAACATAGTCTTTGAAGTGCAAACAGTTGTTTCTTTGGTTTTATAGACTTTTTAAAAATATTTTTCGAACATTCATACCAATACAAACATCTACTTATAATTTTTCATATCCCTTAAATAGCTGTTTTTCTAATCAAGTCGAATTCTTTTCTCATGGTTCTAATTTATTGTATTTTGTGTTTTATTCTAAGGAAACGCCATAAGTCAAGCTGATATTGTTCTATATGGTGCTGGAATATACTTGCTTCACTTCTCCTTCAGACAACCAGCAGCCTCAATCCCATTCGATGCTTCAGTATCATTGGTCGAAACTAATTTTGTCGTACCATCTGGTATTCAAGCCACACGTGAGCAACTCATGCAGGTCCTTCAAGACTTACAGGCCATCTATATTCGTGCAACTTTCTGGGAGCAAAGTGTTACCACAAGGTGATCATCTTCAGCTCAAACTTACACGGATTTTTTTTTATCATTATACAATGGACCACCAGACAGGATCTGAACTAGAGATTAACGTCACATGAAGGGAGAATTTGCACGCAAATTTTTTATTGCTCCATCTGAAAGTACTTAAAGAGCACTTAAAGAGCTAATTTCATAGTATTTTTAATAGTTTTTTTCTGATATGGGAAATAGTATAGAAATAAATTTAAAAGAGAGAAAATTCACCACCTAGTGATGTCATCTGACGGCATTTCCCATTTAAACACTTGTATTTTAGCAGATCAGATCATTTTGTCCTATCTTCTCCAATAATTGTTCAATTCGTGAAGCAAGGGTATCCTCGTGTTCAGTTCACTCTGTAGTTTCCACTTGGACACGAAATTCGTCAAATTTTAGACACCTGCAAATTCTCTATTCTCTTTAAAATCTTTCGTAGGAAAGGAATCATACAACGGGAATTGCAGAAATCAACTCCTCAACAAGATATTTGCAAATATTTTTAACAAAGATCAAATAGAAGTTACACCATACAAATGGTGTCATTTGATTTTTGCCATTTAACCAATGTTAATTCTACACACTTATATCATGTTTATAAGAGTTGATTTTCAGACTACCCGTTGTGTGATTTGTTTTCGTCCAGAAATTCAGAAGAGGAAACATCATGCATAGTGTTTTAATTCATACCTTGTCTAGAGCCCCATGAAGAGACCAGCTCTGTCTTGCCGGCAAGCTCAAATAATTCTTAAAAGATGCGAACCAGTGGTCTTTATGTATCAGGCAAAATATGGAAATTCAATCAATTCATCATGAAAAACTAGAAAATTGGACTGAATTCAAGATTTATCAGTCAAAATCGGGATACCACAAAAAAACAGTTTCTGATTAAAAAAAGTCTGTATTCTTACAGTAAAGAGACACAAAAATATTTGGGAAGCGTCTGGATTTTTCAGTGTGCAGAAATAATTGTCACATTGTAAGAGTTACATCATTTTAAGTATATTTCATGCTGTTGAATAATAGAAAATTCTCCTGGAAGTCAAATTATGTGAATTTAAGGTTTCCAGAACCTTTAAAATGACTCATCAAATTCAAGCAACCTTCTTTGGCAGTGAAAATTCCAAAATGTTGGCGTTTTTTCGGTCTTAGTGCTGAGTCTTGCTTTTTTCACATGTGCCTACAGAATCATGTTTCCTCCATTAACTTCTTCCAAAAGCAACGCTCATTTTCTCAAGTTCTGGCCAAAAGTTTCGCATTTCAGCTTTTTTTGGAAATAATGTTCTTCCAGAAGTAACATTTTACTTTTAATTCCCCTTTGGAAACATTATAATGAGATACAACTGTAGTTTAATAATTAATTCATTTTGTAAAAATCTTCAATAAAATACTTAAATTAAAAAAAAAAAACAAAAAAAAAAACGCAAGGTTGATATATTATTGTTATTTTCAGACTTCAAGATGTCAGCTTGGACTCCGCAACAGACACATATTTCCCAGACGCAACTTTTGCTCTGGACGTAGAACAGTGCCAGTGTCCATCAAATTACCAAGGTCTCTCATGTGAAGAGTGTGCAGACGGATACTACCGCTCATCCCACTCCTCCTTCAAAGACGTTTGCATCCCATGCCAGTGCAACGGCCACGCGACCACCTGTGACAAGAGTACAGGCATCTGTATCGACTGTCGTCACAATACGGTCGGTGATCACTGTGAGAAGTGCGCAATTGGTTACCATGGCAACGCAACCACTGGAACACCAAATGACTGTCTCATCTGTGCTTGCCCATTACCAATTGAATCAAATAACTTTGCGACAGGCTGTGAGGTGACTGATGATGGAGAACGCATCAGCTGTCAGTGTATTCCTGGCTACTTTGGAGCCCGATGTGAATCGTGCTCTGCCGGGTACAGTTTACACTTTTTATCTAATTTTTTGCCAATTTTTTAACCGACGTTTGTTCTATTTTTGTGCTAGCCCCTCCTATATCCCGAGACTCCATCCCCTGAGCTCTCTTCCTCTTTGTCAAATTTTAGCCAGATTAAGGTGATTCGATGGACGCCTTATTTTGTGTCAGAGCGGCATGTGATATATCGCATCAATTGGTTCCATTTTTTCAGCTACTCGTCATTTTTCTCCAATTTTGAGATCGCAATTCTGCTGTCAGGAGACTAGAGTACTCACTTATCAATTTTAACAAAGAAATTCAACGTAATAAAGGTGTGGTTTTTTTTAGAGAGAAAATATCGCATTCGAGTGCAGTTTCGATATCAGTATCGAATGCGATGTTTTCTCTCTAAAAAACCACGCCTTTATTACGTTGAATTTCTTTGTTAAAATTGGTAAGTGAGTGCTTTAGTCTCCTGACAACAGAATTGCGATCTCAAAATTGGAGAAAAACGATGAGTAGTTGAAAAAATGGAACCAATTGATGTGATATATCGCATGCCGTTCTGACACAAAATATGGCGTCCGTCCATCGAAGCACCTTAAGGTAGCAAAAAAAGGGATAACTTAGAGAAGTGGGGGTCTCTTGGAATTTAAATTGCACCAATTTTTGGTAGTCGTCAGACCCTCATATTTTTGGATTCGTAGCTCTTCAGGAAGAAAAAAGTGAAGAACACCTATAGTTAGAGGTTTCAGTAACTCATGAGGCTCCGTCACACTTATCTGTATTTTAAACTTTTGAGCTCACCTCTGAGCTAGCATACTGACAGTAAAACTGCAATAATGGCTTTCTTGGTTGGGTGCGATGTTTCAAAATCTCCGTTCCTATTTAATTTCAGTAGAGGAGACTGAGCAAACATGGTGGCTTGAAATTTACACCGGTTGTCCTTCACATAAAGAAGGAAAATCGCCTAAGTTTTCAAGAAAAGATGTTCAGTAGTTCTCCACTTAAAAAATAAAGTATGACAGGAAATCTAAAACGCCGCAAACCGAAAAATACATTTCTGCAGTTTCACCATCCATATATCTCCCATCTGTTTAAGAGGAGGTAAAACTATGAACTGTTTTCAGTATAGATTTCATCGTTAATTAAAACTGTGAAAATAAAAACATACCATCTGGGAAACTTATAAATGCCCCAATTTCATTAAAGATACCCAATTTTCATAAAAGCCATGGAAGATGGCGCATCTATGTCAACTTGGGGCTTCAAAGTGTCCCAAAAGAATTTTCCTTTGGCATCTAAAACTTTCTCTTTGACCAACTTCTTCACCTACTGTGCAGTTTTATGCGTCTCTTGGACATTTTCATTTCTCTGAGTTAAAATATTTTCATTCTCACTGATTCAATTACCTGCCCGAGAATACAGAATATTTTTCAAAATTGGTATAGTTCTATAAGATTTCAAGTTCTGCAGAAAGCAAGCTGATTCTATTTAGCACAACGACCTTGATTTCTTTTTCAGATGAATAACTTAATCTAACGAATTGGCATTGGTTCTGTTTCAGGTATTACGGAAACCCCGAACATGAAGGTGACTTCTGTAAACCTTGTTCCTGTTCAGGCAACATTAATCCCAGTGACCCAAGCTCTTGTGACTCTATCACCGGTGAATGCACGCACTGTCTCAATAACACCTTTGGAACTGCTTGCCAATACTGTGCGCCAGGTTACTTCGGAGATGCTGTAAACCTCAAAGACTGTCAAAGCTGTGCTTGCGATAAGTGCGGAACAGAAAAATGCGACGACAAAACAGGAATCTGTCAATGTATGACAAACGTCATCGGTGAGAAGTGCGATCGTTGCGCTGACAAGCATTACGGATTTTCAACTTGCCATGGCTGTAGGGCCTGCGACTGCCAACTCGCATCCGAAAGCCTGCAATGTGATGACCACACAGGCCAGTGCAAGTGCAAACCTGGGGTCACCGGTCGCACTTGTGATCGTTGCATTTCTGGATATTGGGACTACAGTGCATCTGGGTGCGTCTCCTGTGGCTGCAACTCAGAGTTCAGTGTTGGTGTAGGCTGCAACCCTAAAACTGGTCAATGCGAATGTTTGCACGGTGTTATCGGTGAGAAGTGTGACCACTGTCCTCATCGTTGGGTATTGATTCCTGATGATGGATGTTACGAGTGTGATACTTGCACTTGGGCGCTGTTAGACACAACGGATAGTCTTTCAAACCAGTTGGCTCCTATTTTAGATGAGTTTAAAACAGTAGCTAAAGGATATTTCACAACGCAGAGATTAGTGTACCTCAATGAGACTGTGGAAAAGCTTCGAAGCAATGTTAGCCAAAACTCTATTAAGAGCATTGATATCGCTCCAATGACTAAAAGTATCGAAAATCTTGAATTTGAAACGAGGAATTTGCACAGGAAGTCTGAACTCATTATTGAGAAAGGAATTGAGGAAGTAAACAAAAGTGGTATATTATTGTCAAAAACCAATGATGTGGAAACATTGATGAAGAAAGCCATTGATGATTCTAGAATTATTGTTTTTGATGTTAAGACATTGGCGTCAAACCTTGCGGACAGTACTGGCCCTCAGATTGACATCGCAATGGGAGAAGCCAAAAGCATCTTGGATAGAATACAGCGTAATGAAATGGATGAAGAAACCATTGATAGTGTGAATGAAAGTGACACCAAAGCGAAAGAGATTCATAAGCAAATGATGGAGTTTCGAGAACCTGTTGATGGCAATGCAGAGTTGCTAACTCACTTACGTGAGCGTATTGAGTTCTTTAATGAGAAGTTGGATGATCTTAAAAAACATCGGGATGTGACAAAAAGTAAAATACAGGAGACGCAAGTTTTGAACGATTTGAACCGAAGCGCCAGACTAAAAGGCAAAACTGATATCTTAAAGAATTTGACGATTGAAGCAAGCTCTACCCTAGAAAACGTCAAAGAATTGATTGAAAATGCAACCAGCTACAACAACCGTGCAAACAAGGCAATCAGCGACCTCAGCATTGGACTACCTGCTCGCAAAACATTAAATGCCCAATTGAATGAAAGTGTAGAAAACCTAAGGAGAGAATTACTAGAAGCTCGTAATAAAGTGAGAGATGCGGACGCTCATGCGCATCAGCTCATGGAACAAGCGGAAAATTTGGACTTACTATTTGTGGACACGCGATCATTGTCTGACAATGCTTATTCAGCTGCAACGGCGTACCAGAAGATCATTAGTAAGGTGAATGATTCGTTCAACATCGCACGAGATGCCAAGATTGCGGCAGAAAAAGCTGAGCAAATGCTAACAGGCCTCAATGACCGCTCCAGTCTTTCTGATAACAGCTCCACTGTGTTATTGGGTGAGGCGAAATCACTTCTGTTCCAAGCGCAGTCAGAACTTGCTCCGCAGTTAAACATGGCCGAGGAAAAATGTAAAAGAGTTGTCCTCTTAAATAAGAACATAACTGCCGGATTTAATGACATCGACCAAGCTATGAGCCGAATTCCATCCACCTCGCCGGAAAATAATCTCGACAGCATCATTCCAAAGGCAAATGTGGGTGAAATTGCTGCTGCAAATGTTCTGGAATCCCTAAACCCCATCTCAGCAGAACTGTCGGAATGGTCAAATGCTACTAAACAACTGGGCAAAGACATCGTTGATACAAACATTTCAGTCTCCCAAGCAAATAATCAGTTGGACAGTTTTGCTGCAGCTCTACTCAACGTTTCTAGTTTGATGGAGAAGTTGAAAGCACGACCGCAGGAACTAGACGGACGGAGCAATCAGTTGAAGATGAGTATGGACCAACTGAAGAGTAAAATTGCTCTCGCGCGTGACCTGGCTAACAAAATTAAGGTTGGAGTGAGTCTCTACGATAACTCAACTCTGGAACTGCGTAATCCTGAAAATCTAGCTCAGCAGGGAATCAGCACAGATATTTCCCTCTACTTCAAAACGGACAAGAGAAATGGACTCATTCTTTTCGTTGGAAATGAAGCTGGCTCAAGAATGAAAAGACAAACCTCGGTACGTTCTAATGAATCCAAAATTTCAGTTAACTAGGTAACAACTTTAGCGAAGTTGAACGGAAGCTAAACATAATTAAATGTCTGAAAATTATTAAATGAATTTCCAAGTTTTACATCTGTGGTATAGAATAAGAAGATCTTAATGTAAAGTAGGAGTAGATTTGTGTGGTTTTTGTAAACACTTAAGATGGATAAAGCCAGATCAAAATCTGTGGGGATAATTGCCGGTATCAAATATGGTTTCTGGCCATCAGGAATTTAGTGGTTTGGTTCTGAGGTCGAGTCAATTCCTATTTTAACCCAATATTTTTAAAGAATCTTTCTTTACCTTTGAATATGGAGCCAGAAATCATTGAAAAAATATCAGCTTGGATGTTTCTCCAGGTTTCACTTTTAATTTTTGAACGGTCAGCAAATTTAATTTAAAGTAAAAAAAATGAATCTGTCCCGGCATCTGTTCTGACCAATGTCTACCAAAGCTCATAGATTTTAGAATTCTGCTTTTTCTCTTCTTAAATTCTTCCTTCAAATAAAGTAAAATTCTAAAATCCATGAGCCATACCTGATATCATGAACAATGAATATTGAGGCTCATGTGTTTTGTGCATGTCTTGATTCATTTGATTTTTGATCTTGTAGAGTCAGCAGTCGTATTTACTCATTGGAGTCTTATTTTTTCCTAAATTCTAATACTTTATTCTGTTTTCAGGATGACTATTTGATGCTTCAAGTCGAAAATGGTTATCCGAAGTTGACGGTCAATTTGGGATCGGACGAAGGTCCTGGAGTTTTACAGGTCAATAAATATGTTGCTGATGACACGTGGTACAAAGCTGTTATTGAAAGGTGAGCAGTCTTGTATCTTATGCAATAGTTTATTGAAATGATATCTTCTTTACTATCCAAGGTAGAACCAGAAAATCTTGAATTTCGGTTCGAGATATTGTGGATTTTTTGCCATGTTTACTTTTTTTAAGAAACACCAAACATCTTTACCGCACAAACTTTTGTGTAAATTGATATTCTTTTATTTTTTTTAATTTATTTATTAATTACACTTTAATACATAAAATGCACTGCTTTTGCAGCCGAAGGTGCCCGCTTAGTTTATTTTACAACAACTATAATTATTCAATCAGACACTTGATCTACATACAATAATTTACTGCAAATTACAACCGAAATTTTGTATAATATATACAGTATATTTTAAAATTGTGTACAAAATTATTTTTGATCCTCTAAAAATTCATTCTGGATACCGAAAGGCTTTTCTTCGAGATATTCTTTTAATCTCTTCAAAAATTGTGAAGCCGAATTTCCTCCTTTCATGATTACATTCAACTCTTTTGGTAGATTATTAAATAGACAGAATCATTCTGAACTGTAAGTGTATGAAATATACTTTTGCAAGTGTGCTCTAAAAATTGTTTCCGATGTTTCAAAAAGAGTTTCAAAGACTCATCTCGATAACAGCAGGTATGTCTTTTAATTGTGAACAAAATTATCTGTTGAATACAGCTATTTCTAATCAATTTTTTATCCATCACGCACTTCAACGTTTAATATTTAGTATACCCAATTACCCACTGATAAATATTTCGATCAAGTGTTTTTGAATTTTTTCATATGTCTTGATTGTATCTTTTGAACAAATGTACAGGATCTTAAAGAGTTCATTATGTTACTTTTAGCAAGTTTGCTCTCTGCTTTCTTTAATTTTATTAATGACTCACCGCAAAAATATTTTTCAGAACTGGCACAACTGCAAGGCTAAAGATTATTGACGATCAAGGCGACGTGCAGAAAGAGGAAGCTGTCGTGAAAGGCTCAAGGGCAGTGCTAAACTTGGACAAGGACACATCTCACATTTTTGTAGGAAGCCTGCCTGAATCCTTCAAAGGTCCTGAATCAGTACCTGTCATCCCATTCTACGGACAAATCCAAGACTTATCCATAGGCCGCACGCCTATTGGTCTGTGGAATTTCGTTGATGGAGATCACATTGGCGGCTCCCGGGATAGGTGAGGAAGCACTCAACCAATACAGATCCTATGCCTTGTCTACACGCGCAGAGTTCCTGGAACACTGGCAGAATAAGTCGTAGCTAAGTTATATCTTATTTTGTCTGCATACAAAAAAAAGGCGGGAAAAAATGGGCTGCTGAAAGTTCCACAAACCGTTGCTCGTGTGGACAAGGCGAGCCTCAGCTTTTTCATCAAAACCAATGGACTCAGCGCATTCTTCGCTCCCCTGTCAAACGAACCTTGCCAAAAGAAATGCTCTCTTTGAGTTACCTGTGTATCGAACTGTAAGGGCTCAGCTGTTAGATTTTGCTTCTCAATCATTTTTAACTTATTTATCGGGGAGAAGATGATGCAATATGTGCCAACAGGGAAAATTAAAGTTTTGTTCCGCTATCCTGAAAAGTCATCAAAATCAAGGAACAGTTTTTCTTTGAGAGTTGTTGACTATTTTAACAGGGTGTCTAGCATCAGGAAAAACTGGAAAAACCGGAAAATATCAGGAATATTGGCCGATCAGGAAAATATCAGGAAAATCGGAAAAATTGGATGTTTTATCAGGAATTTTTCCTACGTGAATCTCCTCAGCGGAGAAGTCTTACTGCTTTTTGCCTACTGTGCCAAGAGTCGTCGCGCCTTCTTTGTTTCCCATAATTTCTCAAAGAAAAATCAGGAAAATATCAGGAATTTTCAAAATAAAAAAATCAGGAAGTTTTTATAAAATATCTGGAAAAATCAGTCAAATATCAGGATTTTTCAAAATTAAAAAATATAAGATGCCCTGTTCAAACTCTTTACTCTAGTTCAAGAGGCAGGTGTACCAAGAACTGAATTTTTTTTATTTTTAAGGCCTGTTAAGTATCTTCTAATGCAAGCATGGAAATTACAAGAAAAGTCAATCTTCTTCGAAATTGTTTGTCAATAGAACCACTATGAATAAACGAACGTACTTATGTTAAAAGGAACTATGTGAAAATGAATCTAATCAAAAAAGAACTATGTGCATATGGTTTACAAGCTATATAGTTTCCTTTGATATATGTAATTACTTTGAATATAGTTCCGTTTAGCATAATTTCATCCAAATCACCTTTGTTAGGTGTGGATAATTTCAGCACAGATAGGAAGAGAATTATCGCTAGCCTTAGTGGAATAACGGGTTAGATAGTTAAATGAATTTTTTCTTTTTTGACTAAAATTTTGCGGAGATAAGGGTCACTAGAAAATAAAAATTGATGTCATGCCAAGAAGCATGGATCAGGTAAGCGAGAGGAAATCCATCAAGAGATTTCTAGAAAAGTACAAGGCCAATGATTTAATAGAAGTAATAGTACCAGAAACTACAGAGTTAGAATGTTACTGGTAATGAGTGGTGAAATCTCTGAAGCCAGAGGTAAGGTTTAAGATCTCCTTTGTTCACCAAAATATATTCTTCTTCATTTCAGAGATCAGCTAGTTCACGAGATGGTTTCAACTGGTTATCGACTGAATGGGGACGGTTATGTAACTCTGGATGGTAAAGACTACAAGTTACAGGGTCAATCAGAGATATCATTCAAATTCAAAACGAAACAAAAAGAAGGTCTTCTCTTCTTGGCTGCCAAAGATTATTCATATCTCTCTGTTGAGCTTAGAGATGGCAAAGTCCTGTTCCAGGTAAATTTTCACTTTTTCGAGCAAAGCAGCATTAAAGAAGATATATCGACGATGTAAGTCAGCAATCACATAACTTGTTTGTAGTGTCTGAAAATCTCCGCCTCTATGTTATTTTTTTAAAGGAGAAAAAATTGACATCATTCCTTGAAGTTTTTGCAGAATTTTTGTACAGAGAAGAAAAATCACGGCAGTTTTAAAGAATTGCCGTTGAGTAGTTTTCTGTTTAAAAAATAAAGTATGCCAGGAAGTCTGCGACGTCGCAAACTGAGTTATGTGGTTGCCGACTTACACCGTCGATATGTACCCTCAGACTATGATACTCTCAGTCGTGCAGAATTTGACATGCGATCTGAAGGAATTTCATGGATGCTTAAAGCATTTAGTCAAATCTTTGCATGGAAACATGATGCTAATTCTAATTTTTTCTCTTAGGACAAGAAGCAAATTTTTCCTGTAGATTGTGCAGACTTCCCCTTAACATTGATCATAACAAACCATCAATATTTTCAGGTCCCTACTATTACAGTAAAAGCTCGTTAAGACAAAATACGGTTTAGACGAAAATCCGCTTAATACGAAATTTTTTTCAGTCCCTTGACACTTCCATAAGAGTCAATGTAAAAAAAATTCGGATAAGACGAAATTTCGAAATTTTGACCCGTAACCAAAGCCGGTTAAGACGAAGAAAAATTTCCGATTTTTTCCCCTGAAATTGGGTGAAAACAACAAAAAGAGCCAATTCTTAGGGAAAATAGACTTAGTTTTACGTACCTTGACATAAAAAGAGTAGGTTGAGAGTAGATCTTGGGTATCCTCTGTTTTGCTGGATGACTGAGATGCAATCGAAAGTTGACAATAAATCGATTTGCGTATTTTAAAAAAATTCAAAATTTGGATTTCGTATCGTATAAAATTTAAAAATTTAAAACTGAAAGATAATAATCTAAAATTTACGTCTTAAGCGCAGTTGCCGCTTATGCCGAAAAATTTCGTCTTAAGCGGAGAACGGTTAAGACGAAAAGCCGCTTATGACAAAATTTTTTTCGGTCCTTTCATTTTTCGTCTTAACGAGCTTTTACTGTACCATGGGGTGTATGTTTTGCACATCTTTTCATCTTCAGTAAATGGCCCCAAAGGAATATTTTTTGTTTGGTCTTTCATCTTTTTAGTAAAAAATTGCATTTCGCTTCAGTGCTCTGCCAAGTTACCAACGAGAAAAAAAGAATTCAATGCAAGCAACTTATTTTTGACTCGCTCATCTTTCACAAAAATAAGTTCTTCATAATTTCTCATGCGACCACTTTTTAAAACAAGCTTGAACTCTGTAAATTTTGATTATAAAAGAATTGGCAATTAAAAGACTTAAATTTATCGAGGTTAAATTTATCCAAACTATAATTTCACTGGCATTTAATCACCCACATTATGCTTTAAGAAAGAATTTTTCAAATTTTTACGGGTTGATACAGATATCTGTTTTGCTATGGTAATAGTAATCGTTACTTTTAATTCTGTAGCCCAAAATATTAGTATAATACCTGTAGCCTTTTTCATCGGACTTTATTAAACTCAATGGTTTTTTTTCTTTCAATTTACAGTACAACCTTGGTTCTGGCGCAGCACAAATACTCTCACCAAAAACTTACAATGACGATCAATACCATTCCGTGGAAGCTGTCCGTCAGGGCAGAGATGGTGTCCTTAAAGTTGATGGTGTACCCATAGAACAGAAAACTGCGCAAGGTGAACTTCAGGAATTATATGTAAGTGCTCATCTTGGTCTTGTGACATTTCTGCGAGGAGAGGCAAATGAGTGTGCGAGAGGTATTCAGCACCAGTAGGTTCCTCGGGTCAGCTCTCTCGCAATCTGTCCCTCCGAATTTTAGAAAACCTGACACCCGCAAATGTTGAAAGGTTCATGCATGGGTGTGCAGTTTGCTTTTAAAAGCTTCTTCTCTATTTATTATGTGAGCCATTCAATGAGGGCATATTCGATGCGGAAAAATTCTCATATTTTTATTTAGTTGCATTGCACCAAAAGTATTGCTCAAAAATTCTTTGCCATTTATAGTCCATCGTAACTTCTTATGAGTTCAAAACTCAGATTTCCTCCTCTGCTGGTGTGGTGTATGGTATGTAATTGTAAGAATCATCATTTTTTGTAAAGTCCTTTCTCTTTTTTAATAACCCTCTATGTTGTTCTTTGTTTAGGTTTCTGATCGCCTGTATGTAGGCGGTTTTCCAGGTGAACATAAATTACCTGACATCTCCAATACTGGTTTTGATGGGTGTATTGACAATGTGCAGATAAACAGCATAAGTGTAGATCTGAATAAAAACATCAACGCTCATGATGTAGTCCCTGGCTGTCCCGACAAAGTAAGCCTCATCAATTTATCTTTGCTTGCAGCACAGTAACTTGAAAAATTAGAAATGAAAGGAGAAGAGATTGCCAAATGCAAAGTTTTTAAATTTTCTGGAAAAAACTGATTGTTTTGAAATTGTGATGCATTTAAAAATTGAAAAAAATTAAAAAATTAAACACTAAAAGTGGCCCAAAACTGTAACTGTTTTTCCTGAACCCGAACTGTTTTTCTCGGGTTTTCCTTGTTTTGTTATGAGAGTTGTTCAGCAGCGACGGTAGATGGCGCGAGGATCACACTTTTGTGTCATGCCTCGGGTCATATCCATGACGGCGTTTTAATGCCGTCTTGGATATTGCGGCATGTTAAGTTGGGTTCACTGCTGAGTGTGATCTTCTGATGAGGTCTAATAAGGCCCAAACCGGTAAAGATCTCTCGGCGTGACTCCAACTTAATATTCCATCGCAAACTGCCTGAGCTGAACACTCTCCCCCCCTCAGTTTCATACTGGTGCGCATTAGAGTTCTAAAAATTTATTTTTGACTCTAATTTTAATTTTTGGTATTTCTTGGCTTTGTTTCCCCGCGAAATGGTGTGGACCCAGCACCATTTCTCCACCTTGTTTAAAAATTGACTTATATATTTTTTTTTTATCTATTATTTTTAAAATTTTGTACATAATGGTTTGGAGATATTTTTCAATGTATATTTTAGCTCCCATTCTTATCATTGGCTTAAATTTCTGAGAGGCTTCTTATTGTCTCCTAAAATGCAAAGATATTTTTTCTTTATCAGTTGGGAATTGACATTATTGGGACATATTGTCGACTTCTGGCTGAAGTATCACAAGCGTCATACGACATTTGAAGATTTCCACCGCCATTTTATTTTTTTATAGAGAAATTGTTGGTTGATCTGTTTGAAAATTTCACTGAATTTTATCGGCAGTACAAAGAAAATTCAGTGAACTTTTCGGATAGCTTCGTAGAACAATTTCTCTGTAAAAAAATAATATGGCAGCGGAAAATTATGTTGCATGGCGCTTGTGATACTTCGGCTGGAAGGTGACCATGTCAGAATAGACTTCTACAAAGGGGGAAAATAAAAGCACAGTAACAGGGTCTTTCATAAAAATTTCATCCAGAGCTTGTTTGACATTTTAGAAATTTCTGAAAACTACTCTATAAAGAGATATCAGTGTTACTTACTTACATCATAACTAGTTGGGTAAGACTTTCAATATCAAATCCAATAGAAATCAATTGAAGTCAAATCGTTTGCTGGAAACCTATGTATCTATTGGCAGACAGCTGGATTAAGTTTCGATAGCCTTCTCCTCCCTATTCTGATGCACTGTATGTGTTAATTTTGGAGATATTTTCAGAGGTTAAGAAAAGTATTTCCTAGCAAAGTTCACTAAAATTAGTTCCATGTCCAGTTTGACCTTAGTAGATTTTCGTTTTTTATCACGAGAGAGGAGGTTTGATACATGAACACATAAAATGTAAATTTTTCACCCATGAATTAAATTTAGAAATTTTGACACTTTATTTCTAACTTACAATCAGTCCAGTGCCAGCGGTCCTCCACTGAGTAATTCTGTGTAAAATCCATCCAATATAATCAAAGGGCTGTGGAGGATGTGGGCTTTGGTTTCCGGTTATGTAAGACAAAAATGGACTATTGTAATTCTGAAACCATGATGAAGTACTGTCATGTAAACATCTAGAGATCCTGCATTAATTCCTCCTAAAAATCATTAGTTGTATCATTATTTATATTAGTTATTGTATCTTTTAATTAATTGAATTATTCATTGTTTCTTACAGTTTGTAAGCACAGTCTCATTCAACAGTGGGTCCCATGGCTACGTTAAGCTTTCAGGAGTATCAGCAATGGATAACACATTCCAGCTAATCCTGCGTTTGAATACAACTTATCCCAACGGGCTCATTCTCTTTGCAACTGACGGAACAGAGAACTTGATTTCATTGCGCATGGAGAACGGAATCTTAATATTCAAAACAGGCCAATCAGAATTGAAATCCAGTCAATTAAGGCCATATGATGATGGGCAGTGGCACGTCGTTTTTGCTAGCCATAATTCTACCGATAATTCTCTCCAACTAGTTATTGATGATTTTGATGTATTCAACCAAACTGAGTAAGTCACAACCAATAATCAATTTAGAAAAAATCTAGACGCAGCATCTGAACAAATACGTTTGTTATGTAACCACAAGAAACTTTATTAAAAATCTAAACTTTGATCAAATCAGGAAAGAGGTATCCTCAGGCACATTTTACTTACTTCTTGGACGCAGATTTTACGTCCAAATACGGGAAAGTCAATTGTTCTTTCGATTAGCATCAAAGAACAATCACTGGTTGATAAATATGAAGCCTCTGTGATTTCACGAATAGGAAGTATTTAACTCTGACCTTTGGGGCAGAAAGTCTTTTTCTGTGTCATGTATGAACTTTTAAGCTCTTTAATAGAAGTTTATTCAAAGCAATTTTTTATTGCCATCAGATCAGATATCTAGATGAGTTTTTGCCTTTAATAAGTTTTATGATAAACATGTGTCTCTCAGGCGTAAATACACTAAAACTTTCAAAGGTCAAAAAATTTTGTGCGGAGATGCACCAAAGTGTTTTGTACTGGTGCGGTTAATTCCCTTTCAAGCTCCCAAAATTATTATAGTTCTGAGCGTGCTTTGTTTCTTAGCAGCTTTTTACATCTTCCATTCCAGATCAAGTACGTTTTGTACTGTTTGTGTTGTAATGGATTATTTAACATCTAACACATTGCATGCCAACATTTTTTCATGTACGAGAAATGAGTCGCATAAAAAACTCGAACTTTCAAATTACCTTGATATTTACAAAAAAGGGGCAAATTTTTTTGGGGAGCCGAACTACTCATCTTCAGCGGGTGACAACTGAGGCGCTCGCAGCACATCCTCCATCATATTCCGAAACTAGGACATTGAGTAGTGGATCGTCCAGCCCTTCAAGATCCTCATTCATCAATCTAGCTCTCTTCTTGAAAATGAAAATTTTCTCCTGTAAATCTTCTCGTGTAAAAGTCAATAGTCAGTATCTGTCTCTGTGATGTCAAGAAAACTTGTAAAAAAAGGGCAACCCTATGCAAATAAAGAAACACTTGACAATTCACTTAAACAAAATTTCACCCAAAGTTGGCTTGCAGTTTGCCCATAATTGCGGATAGTTTCCTGATAGTTTTCGGACATCAGGTCAGTATCAGTTGACATCGATTCACTGCCAGCCGACATCATTTAAATTCAGATGATAAAAATGTCAGATGTCTGTTGACTTTGGTATCTACCATCAGTTTGTGTTGGCCTCCTGAGCTCAAGAAGACTCGTAGAAGGTAATACCATGACGTCCTTTTCAGCAATGCAGATTTTAACTTCCTCTTTTCTTTTTTCTCATCAGCATCACCCGAAGATCTGAGCCAATCAGGCTTGTGAACGGTAATATATTCTTCGGAGCTGTGCCATCCACCATAGATGCATCAACAATTGGTACAACATATCCTTTCTCTGGGTGTATTAGTGATGTCACCATCAATGGAGAAATAGTCAACTTTGCTAAAGCAAAAGCCAATAATGTTATTGTCGGAAAGTGCATGCATGGAGAAGGCTCACATCTCAGACCACCTCCAAGTAAGTTCTCCGGTTATTACAGCCACAGAAACAATGCATTTGTTAAGTTGAACGCAATATTTCTAGAACTACCTAACTCTTAATTGAGGACACCGCACCAAGAACAGCCTATTACTGGAGACCGCGTTTTGAGAAAAACGCATTTAAAGTTTGTTTTTAATGTACTGCGCAGACTTTTCTATGCAGTTTTGGTGTTTTTGGGTGACCTAACCCTTCTATTGAAGGATGCCGGGTAGATTTTGCGATACATTTTGGGTTTACACTCTAATATATTTAATTTAAAAAAGCGGTTTATAGGCCATTATTACGCCCAACAGTCATTTTGGTGGCAATATGAAGTATAAAAGGCCCTTAAGTTTATAGGCCCGTTTATAGGTCGTTCTTGCACCCATCGATCCAGAGGCCTGACTTAACTCGGAAAAAAAAGGTTTTTCGACCCCAAGCTGTTACTTATCTATATTCTATCGCTACCACAGCATACTCCAGGGTACGTAGAATCCGAATAGCAGATGGGCGTAATAACGACCTAAACGCCTATAGGCTATTCTTGGTGCGGTGTCCTCAATTGGTTTCTTACAACTTTACAATGAAAATTATTTTTCTTTCAAGGAGCTACCTCAAGAAACATTGAAGTGCGCCACTTTATGAAAGTATGATTCTAGGAAAAAAACATCATAATTCTTAAAAATTGTCTCATGACCCAAGATTTGCCTTAGTTTTGCCACTATCCTAGGAGCATAAGATCAAGCATTTTCTTCATTCCTGTGCACTTAAACTATCGCACGTTTTTAATGAACTGAATTTTTTTCAGAGCCAGTAAAGTCTGAGGATGAAGAAGATTTCGATTTCAGCCCAACTTCTCCATCAACACCTGCTGTGCTCCCATCAGTGGCCCCAACACCAGCTGGTTTATGCGTCCTCCCAATTTCTCCTCTGAATGATCCAAATGTTACCGCTGAAAGTGGTCAACGGTTCGGTACAACAAGAGGTAGTCGAGTGGAATATCTACTGGCCTCAAAACTCAAAAGCAAATTTGATATTTCAATACAATTCAAGACTATCTCACAGTTTGGAACCATCCTGTATGCTGCTAATGAGCTGCATACTGAGTATGTGGCTGTGTACCTGGTTGATGGGAAGGTAATGCCACTTATGTAAAATTGTTTCCATTACAAACTATTTTATAGCTGCAATAGAAAACGGACAAATTTTTCCCTTGTACCGTATTTGGATCTACTGTTTATTAAGGACTATTTTTTGCAGAAAGGTCATTGGGAGTTTGAAGAATTGTATCCATCATATGGGGTACGTACTAAAATCAAAGTAATCAGGAACTCTGAAATTTTCCTGTCAATATAAAGACTTACTACTGAGTCCTAAGTATTTTTTTCATCTAAATGGAAAGTATTTGATGTAATCTGTTTTGTTAATAACCGTACTCCTAGGCGAGTTTACCCTTTTGCAAAAAGTCAATTTAATGTGTATAGTCACATCAAATTTCTCATCCCATATTTTAATGAAAATGATAAAAAAAAAAAACTAAAAAATGTGGTCTAAAAATTTTCCACCATATGGATCAAGAATTATATTAATGGTAAAAAATGTGAACCACTAAGACAAACCTTTCCTTCAAAATTTTTGTGAGTCTTACAATTTAAAAAAAAAATCAAAATTTTATCGATCCACGATGAAACTAAGGCCGAAGTTTAGAGACTCACTTCAAAATAGCTCTCATCAAGAATCCTTGCCAACTTTCCTCAAGTTAAGGATTTCAATACTTAAAAGTAAATGAGAAAAAAAAACACCAAGAAGTGGCCTGAACTGTATGTAACAAGGTGGAGATACAGTGTTGAGTCCACATCATTTCATGGGAAAAACAAAGCTAAGAAGTTCCAAAATGTATAATTAGAATCAAAAATAATTGTTTTAATTCTAATGAGTACCAGTACAAAACTGAGGGGAGAGATTGCTCAGCTCAGGCAGTTTGCATTGGAATATTAAGTTGAGGTCACACTGAGAGATCTATACCGATTTGGGTCTTTTTAGACCTCGTCAGTAGATCACACTCGTCAGTGAACCCAACTTAGCGTCCCGCAAAATCCAAGATGGCATTAAAATGCCATCATGAATATGACCCAAGGCATGACACGAAAGTGTGATCCTCGTGCCATCCACCGTCGCTGCTGAAGAACTCTCATAACAAAAAAAGGAAATCCTGAAAAAATTGATTATCAAGATTTTATTATTGATTATTATAGTGTGGACCCAGCACCATTTCTCCACCTTGTCTTATAAGTTAAATAATAGTATAATACTTATAATACATCTCATTATAGTGTAAGGGCAAGTTTTTTTACAGTTTTAAGAAACATCTTAAAATTCCTTTCAAAGTGCGACTCTACCTAAAATGGGGCAGTGGCAAGGAATCTTTGCAGGGTTATAGTATAATTTTTTCCACATAAAATTATGTGATAAAACCAAAGAGTTCATTAAAAGTTCAAAAAATAATTTCTAAGGGGAGAAAAAGTTGATCAAAATTCTTAGAAGCTGGCCCATTCAGAAATCAGAATTGATGATGTGTCTTGTTTTACAGATCTTCTTTCTAAAATATTTTGGAATGTTTGGAAGTGGTAATGTTTTTTCGCAGAGTTTTTCAACAGAGTCTTAGCGCACTTATATTACGTTTATTAAAAGAATTTTTCTGTGTAATCATAAATGAATCACTATTTGTCACACTTTTTGTATGTTTGTTACAGGTTCACTTTGGATTCAGTAGCGGTGGCCAGGCAGGTCTCCTTCAGTCGACAGAAGCATATAATGACGGAGAATGGCACGAGCTTTCATTTAAAAGAGTGGGACTTGTTGGTGAACTGCTTATCGATGACAAATCAGTCGCTGCAGGACAAGCAGGTGGCAATAAATCAAGCATTAGTCTAATTGATCCAGTGTACATTGGAGGGCTTAATCCAGAACTGATCGAAAAACTGGATCCAAAACTACAGGAACAAGTCATGAGAAACATCGGCATCAGTCAAGAGAACATTGAGGTAAAATCATCTTTTGGCTCTTTTTTTGTTTATGAAGCAAATTTATTTCTACGGAGTTTCAAACTTTTTTCCTTTTCAAAAAGTTTTTAGACTGCTTGATGCGAGCAAGTTCTATTCCAATTGAATGTCAGGAGCAAGATTTATTTGAAGTAGACTTTTACGGATTGTGTGTTGGTGCATCTGAGGAAAAACTTAGGAGGTGATGTTACTGTTCACATAAAAAAATTGTCATAAATTTTAAAGGGATTTCTTCGCTCAAATGTGTACCAGAATGTTCCATCTTTTTTTTTTTTTTTTTAAACGAAGTAAATATTTTTAAAACTCTTAATAATGGTCTTTGTTTCTTGTTCAAAACCTTTGAGCCTTTAAAGTTAAATGGACAAAGTTGTTTAAAGGTTTTAAATTATTTTCACAGAATCCCCCAATATTCTTCGAAGGATGTCTCAGGAACCTGCGAAAGGATAGCAGGCCCATCAAGAGTGCCAAGAATCCGTCAACATCCTTCGGAGTCATCCCTTGCTCTGACAGGGTTGAGAGAGGCACATACTTCTCCATGGAGGGTGGATACGTCAAACTTGGTAAGTAAAAGAATAATCTCTCCATAATGGACATGTGAAATCATCAAACATTTTCACTAATTTCTAACTTGATAGCTCCATTCAAATTTTGTCTGAATGAAAAACTGGTCTTAAATTTATTTGTATTTTCGCGGTTCAAGTGGTCTAAAGGACAAAAAGTTCAGCTCTCTTTATGAACCGTTGGAACCTCTTTATGCTTGTACCATTTTCAAGCTTCTACTTCGAAATTTACCTCTGAAAGCACAACGCCCTCCTTGCATCTTGGTTTTCATCCAATTTTGAGGATCCTGTCTAGTTTTTTCTTCTATGATATTTCCTGCATCAAGTTTAATCCATCTTTAACAACAGTTTATGAAAGAAAATAGACCGTGAACAAAGAAGTCTTGTGAAATTTTCAAATTGGTGTTTTTATATCTGGAAAACTCATCCAAGTATACACTCTATGCAGAATTTGAATTTTAAGGTTGTCGCTTTCACTTGAATGATACAACTTAAAAGATATTCAAGCAAAATATAAGCTATTCTACCCGTATTCGATCCTTATGAAACGTATATGAAATTTGAAAGATCTTACTACGTAATTTGTTCTTTTAAAACTTTTGAGCGAGTCAAAAGTTCATTTGGGTCATACATCACCCTATAATTCCTCAACTTTAATCGAAATTTTCTCATGATCACAAAAATGTTGCTCAGTTCTTTCATCCAACGCCTTTTAAATATCAAATGCATAATTATTTTACAATCATGTTTAAATTCTTCTGAAAATCAGTTAGAGGCGAAGTTAAAATACTTCTCATGCACCTCATAATACAAACAGGTATTTTGAAGGCCATGAAATGAAGGTTTCAAAATTGAGCACTCTGCAGTTTTTGAAGTCACCGGAAGAATGAGTTCATTCCTGCCCTCAACCTTTTTTATAGTTTTCTTTTATTTTATCTAACTTTTCTTGTTTCTGCAAAATTTTACATATTTTAGTGCATGCCATAGAGTAAGAAATCCTGCAAGTTGCCTATTTAAATCGATACATCATTTTTTTCCTTTTCATTTCAGCTGATAAGCTCAAAGTTCCGAATGAATTTGATGTGAAACTAGATTTCAAAGCAAGGAACATCTCAGGATTCATGCTTGGAGTGTTCTCTAAACATAAGGACTTCCTATCCCTTCAGATGATAGACGGGAAAATCAAATTTTCAGTGGAGAATGGCAACGGTGTTATATCAGCATCCTTTGAGCCCCCTGAGAAACATTTCTTCTGTAACGGCGAATGGCATTCCCTTCAAGGTAAACATTTCTAATTTCTTTGTTTGATTTGCATTTATTTTATTTTAATCACTTGAAGACTGAATGAAGAGCTGAGATGTTTGTAATGCAGGATTGAAGCAGCCAAAATTAACCACAGGCCAAGTACAGTATGGATCTTTTTTTTTTGTGCAACAGTATGTTGCTCATTAATTCTTCAATCCTAAGAAAGAGCATACGCACCCACGTTTTGGACCGTGTTAAGCAGAAAAGAACCAAGCCAAATCAGCTATTGCCAAATTTTATTGGGCAATTTACTTTTTTACACAAAAACAGTTTTGTGGATTTTTGTGCAAATTTCAGTGAATTTTTTGCATAGTACGAAGCAAATACCTTTAAATTTTCAAAGGAGTTTGCACAAATGTTCTCTTTTAAAAAATTAAATTGCCCAGTTACATTTGGCAATGGCTGATGTGGTTTGGCTCCTTTCTGCTAAATGCGAACCATTTTTAAGATTACTCTGAAAGAGACTGTAACTAGATGAGAATAATTTTTTTTTAAATTTTGAAAAGTATTAAAATCACCAAAATTAGAATGGAGGAGGAATTTTCAATTATCATATTGACCATCTGTCTCCTTTAATTTGCATCATCATCAAGCAACATTTGTCCATGTACCAGACACAGATTTTGCCTTGTCTCATCTCCTGATTCTGCTTACAATTTTGTGTCAGATTTCGTGAGTTTTGGTACCTTTTTGTAAAATTACATCAACCAACTTTATTCCATCAGCACTCGTGTTTAAATCAAAGAGTGTCCCAAAAGTAGACACCTTGACATAGTCATTAAAAATCAGCCGTATTAGGAATCTACATCTTGTGTGTATATAATGTAAATACTTACATGTTAAATAATTTTACTCTTTTTCAACAAGTTCTCGACAGCAAAGTACACAAGAACTCAAATCATTGCAACAGCATCATCACATTTATCTATTTATATTTTTCAGCTGTGAAAGCGAAGAATGTCGTGTCACTAAGTGTCAACAAAGTGTTTGTGGAGCCAGGGATTGGCATTGGAGGCGCATGGCGTACTGACGTCAATAATCCACTCTACGTTGGAGGTCATCCTGAAATTGAAAAACTTTATGGCCAACACCGTCTGGACACAGCCCAAAACTTCATTGGGTGCATCAGGGACATTGAAATCAACAGCAATGGCAAGCCAGAAGACTTCCCAATCACTGTCGATAAAGCATACGGAAATGTTACCGTCGGAATCTGTTCGACCATTTAGGAAAGATGTAGATCTTGAAACAATTATGACTGAAATATCAGGAATCTTAATTTATTTTATTTTCACACAATCCATTTTAACACATGACTTTCAATTGAACTATACTTTGCAATAAGGGACTATCTCGGGACTCTCTCACTATCTCTGGCTCTCCCATAAAAGCACATATCTGTATAGGTGAACCAATGGCATGTATGTTGTTTCTAAAATGGACCAGAAATAGTGGTTCCTTATAGCAAAACGTAATCCAATTACCTCATGGATAAAGAACCCCGCACAGAGCATGAGCTCAGCGGCTCTCTATGAAAGTCGATGAAACTTTGATAGATTGATATATAGTTCATAATTAAGGGAAAGCCAAAAAATTAGCTCACTTTTGCGAGTAGAAGCCGAGATATTCGCGATTGAACCCGGACTATTTTCTGTGCGGCTGAGGTAAATTCTCTGTATCGCCTTACCTTGCTTGAGCACTTCGGCCAGAAAACCCCCTCTCCCCACCAGGTAACTACGATATCGCATTGTTTACACTCACTCCTTTCATTAGGACGCTCCGTTCGGGCTGTGCGATATGGAGTTCCCTTCTCGCACCTTTCCTGTGGCGGCGCCGCCGGCCGGTTTAATCTGAAATGTAGTTGCTGAAACAGAATTGACAGGTGCGGGGAGAGGGAGGGAGTACGGCAGTCGCACCGGCCGAGTTTATACGCACCTATCTTCACGTGAGTGACGTGAGGTTTGATCGAGAACTCCGAACAACGAGAGGAAAGGGGACTCGGAATTCCTCCGTCATGCTACGGCATGATAGAAAATTGTCCGGATTCAATTGCGAATATCTCGGCTTCTACTCGCAAAAATGAGCTAATTTTTTGGCTTTCCCTTAATTATGAACTTCATAACAATCTATTAAAGTTTCATCGACTTTCATAGAGAGCCGCTGAGCCCATGCTCTGTGCGGGGTTCTCTAAACCTTCCCTCCCTCCAACTGTGGAGCAGCTTTTGGCCAACAATTGCATGTTTTATCTGGTTCCTAATTATTTTAAGAGATTTTAAAGTTTAAAATGGATCATAAGAAACTAAATTTTTTGACTTTTCCATAAAAGTATCCGTCAACATGAGAAAACGAACGGCACAACAACCGTGAAACTTCCGAACAACGTATCTCAGTTTATGATGTTGCAGACTTCCTGTCATACTTGATCTTTTAAATGGATAACTTCTCAACAGCAATACTTTAACACTTTCATGATTTTTCTTCTCAATGCAAAGCAAATTCTGATAAAACTTCCAGGAATGATGTGATTTTTTCTCCATTGAAAAAAAAAGTAGGATCCAAAATTGTAGAACCACAAAAGGTAAAAAAAAAAAAAATAGAAATTTGTAGTTACCACAAATGAGATGCGTGTTTCGGGAGTTTCACCCTTGAAATGTAGTTTTTAAAGACAGCCAGGAATAGTGGTTCATTATCGGAAGATATAGTATAATTATAAACGTTTTTTGTAAAGCTATCGAACAAAATATAAAACCAGCATAAAACAGAAATTAGAAAATTAAAAAGAGACAGTCTTGTTTCCTGTCAGTAAACTAAAAGGAACATTGTTTAACATATTCGAACATTTTTAGAAAAGTTCGGAAAATTTTATGATAATATTCGTAAAAATCTCTATGCATTCAGTACCTATTTTATAAAAGAAAATATTCTGTTGCCTCACTTTGATCTCTCTGATACTTTTTAGAAACATTTTGTTAAAATAAATTTTTCTCGTTTTCATCCCTTTTTTTTCTTCTTTTTAATGATGAAAACTCCTTTGTAAAAATGGCATTTAAGGTAACTACCTAGGTTGTAGTATTGATTAACTCTCATTTTGGACCAAAAAGTGAGATTGAATTTAATTGGAAGGAATGAGTACGTGCAAATTTGTGAAAGCATCAACCTATGCAAGTAAATTTATAATTTAGTAGCATGGTATCAAAGGGAGTCTCTCAGGAGTGATTAGATGACTTTTTCAAAAGGAAAATTTTGATCTTTTAAAAGTTCCAAATTGAGTTTTAAACAATGAAAATGAAGCTTGACTTCGAAGATAGAATATATTATTATTTAACTCACGGGACCACACATTACAAAATGCAGAATGTAAGAAAAAAATTTGATAAATTTCTCCACTGACTTTTACTTTTCAGAGATTATGTAAATAAATTCGGAACATTCTCTGTAAGAGGCACATTGAGTGTGGGGGGCCATAAACAAAATGGAACACAGAATAGAATAGAATAGAAATAGAATAGGGCTAATCGGAAATACCAAAGTACATCCAGAGGTTTAGGAGGGTTGAGGAATATGTTCCATTGCATTCAACAATCAACTAAGAATTGTTTCAAATTTTCTGGGCTGGAAATGGATCCATTATTATCTCCTAAAAAAATTATTCCGTTCATCTTTTCATAAAATTTTATCACTGATAGATGATTCTCATAAGAGGTTTGCACCTCCTCCTTGTTTCCTGCAAGATCAATTTCTACTAGGAGTTCTCAAATTACCAATTCCTGGAGTGGGAAATTCCCGCTTTAATTCGTAGTATGTGTATGATTATTTTCAAAATGGATGAAAAGTCAAGTGTGTCTTTCCAGTACCTAATTTATTCTTGCTTTAATTCATAAGATAAGAGTTGTACAAAGATATACAAGTAGTCTTAAATGTACATAGAAACAAACATTGCTATTCCTAAATAAATCTTAAAGCAATATGTATGGCATCATTACAGGTTTTTACTTTCTCGCTCCCCTAGGGTAGAGGAAGTATTGTTTATTATTGTCCTAATCATCATGCCATAACATTTTGTTCAAAACGATTGGCATAAGAGCACGAAATAGTATCCACTAATTTCTCATACCCATATTACAATTTTAACCAATCTACAAGGTTCAAGAAATTATTTACGAATGGGAATATCTACCTATTTAAAGTTCTTTTTTTTTTCTTTTTCTATTTTTTAAATTTGTTGATCAATGAGAAAACCATTTCAATGGCGGAATTTAGAGCCATTTGACGCAAAACAGCAGTTGAAAAATTGAAACTCAACCATCAGGCAATAAAAATATTGCGCAAAACTTTTAAACAATGACTGTAGAAAACACAGATTGAGGGAGCAATGTAGTTTATCCTACAAAATATCAAATCTTGTCTTCATTATGGAACATGATTACAAACAATACAATACAAATATGTATTGGCATCGTAGGATTCGACACTAATCTAAATTTAATTTTTTTTCCCCCTTTTAATCGAAAATCAAGAAAAATCGACAGAGGTGAAACGTACTACATTTTCGGGGTCAAATTTGAAAAAACTCCGATCAGGATGAAACGGAACAGGTTCCCTGTAAAATTACCCGCTGAGTCCGATTTTCGGGTTTAATGTGGTCCACGAGTCCACTGAAGCCCGCAAATCACCAATGAGGACACGGGACTATACCGGAAATGGATCATCAAAGACGGTCAAAAACGAGAGTTTTTGACCGTCGTTGCCATTTCGAGCAAGTTCGAATATCCGCGCTTTTTCGCGATTGTTAAGACGGGTCGACTCGTGGAGCAATTTGGACCTTAAATTCGGACTCATCGACTCATTTTACAGGGGACCCACTTCATTTCGGCCCGATCGGAGAACTTTCGATTTTGACCCTAAAATTTTAGTCCATGTTTACCCCTGTCCATTTTTCTCGATTTTGGACGGGGAAAAAAAATTCGAGATTACAGTCTTATCCTATGTAGTTGAAGGCGCTGAATCGATTGCGCATGGTTCCGAGGCGCAGCGAGGCCTCCTAAGCCGAGAAACTGTCAAAAACGAGTGTTCCTGACCGTGTTGCAAAGTGCATTTTTCATCGGTAACGCGGTCCAGCGGACTCGTGGAGCTTTTCCGACCGGAAAATCGGACTCAGCGGATCATTTCCAAGCGGACTAGCGTGATTTCGGCTTGATCGGAGAACTTTCGATTTTGACCCTAAAAATTTAGTCCATGTAACCCCTGTCCATTTTTCTCAATTTTCGATGGGAAAAAAAATTCCGAGATGAGTGTTGGGTTCTATGTGCTTTGAGGCGTAGAATCGATTGCGCATGGGCCGAAGGCTTCCGGAACCGAGACACGGTCAAAAACGAGTGATATTGGCCATTTCGAGCATGCTCGAATATCCGCGATTTTTCGCGATTGTCAGGAAGGGTCGACTCATAGAGCATTTTGAACCGCAAATTCGGACGTCTCGACTCATTTTACAGGGAACCCACTTCACTCCGGCCAGATCAGATCAGAGAACTTTCGATTTTGACCCTAAAATTTTAGTCCATGTCTATTCTTCTCGATTTTCGATGAAAGAACAATTCCGTAATTAGTGTCGAATCCTACGTAGTTCGAGGCGTAGAATCAATTCCGCGTGGTCCCGAGGCTCGCGGTAGCTTCCTGAGTTGAAAAACGGTCGAAAACGAGCGTTTTTGGCCATCTCGAGCACGCTTGAATATCCGCGAATCTTCGCGATTGTCAGGACAGGCCGTTTCGTGGAGCATTTTGGACCGCAAATTCGGACTTCTCGACTCATTTTGCAGGGGACCCACTTCATTTCAGTCAGATCGTAGAACTTCCGATTTTGACCCTAGAATTTTAGTCCATGTAGGTAACCCCTGTCGATTTTTCTCGATTTTGGACGGGGAAAAAATTCCGAGATTAGCGTCGAATCCTATGTACTTTAAGGCGTAGAACCGATAGCGCATGGTCCCGACGTTTCCGGAACCGAGACACGGTCAAAAACGAGTGTTTTTGACCAATTCGAGCACGCTCGAATATCCGCGATTTTTCGCGATTGTCAGGACTGGTCGACTCGTGGAGCATTTTTGACCGGAAATTCGGACTCCTTGACTAAATATGAGAGAAGTCCTTGAACCATAGACTCCATTTTCGAGGTCAAATCCGAAGACCCTCGGATCAGGCTGAAACGAATCTGATCCCCTTTAAATACCCGCCGAGCCCAATTTTTGGGTCGAGAATGTTCCACAAGTTCATTTGAGCTCACAATCGGCGGATTAGACGGGACCGAAGTGCGCTTAAGCTAGAATTGTATTCAGCAAATGGATGGTTGAAACAAAAGAATATGAACTATGCAAAACGATAATCCGGGTATCGGAACTTGCCTGATTTGAAAATGCCTTCAAATGCTGCGTGATACCTCACGCATTCCGGAGAGTTCGAATAGTTGTATCATTGCGCCGTAAGAAGGTAACGGAAGAATTAAATTGAAATAGTCTCCATGCACGCTGGGCGTGTCGATTTCCTTTGATATTTTTGCAGTGGTGAATGCATAGCTGAAGTGCGCTCCAGCTACAATTGTATTTACAAATGGGTGGTTTTTTTACGAGAATTAAAAATAAACAAGTGGTACGGAATATAACAAAAGAATATGAACTATGCAAAACGATAATCCGGGTATCGGAACTTGGCTGATTTGAAAACGCCTTCAAATGCGGCGTGATACCTCACGCATTCCGGAGAGTTCAAATAGTTGTATCATTGCGCCGTAAGAATGTGACACAATATTTAAAGGAAATAGCCTTCATGCAGGCTCGCCACATCCCATCTCGGGCCCTGATACCAGTTTTAAGGTCCGGGCCCCAAGCACGGAGGGGGGGGGGGTTCCGAGGGGCATCCCCCGAGAAATTTTAGAATTTATACGACTAATCGGACGCATTTTGAAGCTTCCATAAAGAATTTTTCCATCAATTTCTGCGGAATAATTATGTTTTTTCTTTTACTTTCAGCACAAAATACTTTCGAATTGTTGCATTCAAAACATCTGGAAAATTTCTATTTTTTTTTGGGGGGGGGGCATATGATATTATTTTCAGTTCTTGGAGAGCCAGGCCCCCCTGGACTTTCCCTTCGTTTGTCTATGGCAAGGGAGTTGAGCCATGAGCCATTGAAGTCGAAGNCAAAAATGAGCTAATTTTTTGGCTTTCCCTTAATTATGAACTTCATAACAATCTATTAAAGTTTCATCGACTTTCATAGAGAGCCGCTGAGCCCATGCTCTGTGCGGGGTTCTCTAAACCTTCCCTCCCTCCAACTGTGGAGCAGCTTTTGGCCAACAATTGCATGTTTTATCTGGTTCCTAATTATTTTAAGAGATTTTAAAGTTTAAAATGGATCATAAGAAACTAAATTTTTTGACTTTTCCATAAAAGTATCCGTCAACATGAGAAAACGAACGGCACAACAACCGTGAAACTTCCGAACAACGTATCTCAGTTTATGATGTTGCAGACTTCCTGTCATACTTGATCTTTTAAATGGATAACTTCTCAACAGCAATACTTTAACACTTTCATGATTTTTCTTCTCAATGCAAAGCAAATTCTGATAAAACTTCCAGGAATGATGTGATTTTTTCTCCATTGAAAAAAAAAGTAGGATCCAAAATTGTAGAACCACAAAAGGTAAAAAAAAAAAAAATAGAAATTTGTAGTTACCACAAATGAGATGCGTGTTTCGGGAGTTTCACCCTTGAAATGTAGTTTTTAAAGACAGCCAGGAATAGTGGTTCATTATCGGAAGATATAGTATAATTATAAACGTTTTTTGTAAAGCTATCGAACAAAATATAAAACCAGCATAAAACAGAAATTAGAAAATTAAAAAGAGACAGTCTTGTTTCCTGTCAGTAAACTAAAAGGAACATTGTTTAACATATTCGAACATTTTTAGAAAAGTTCGGAAAATTTTATGATAATATTCGTAAAAATCTCTATGCATTCAGTACCTATTTTATAAAAGAAAATATTCTGTTGCCTCACTTTGATCTCTCTGATACTTTTTAGAAACATTTTGTTAAAATAAATTTTTCTCGTTTTCATCCCTTTTTTTTCTTCTTTTTAATGATGAAAACTCCTTTGTAAAAATGGCATTTAAGGTAACTACCTAGGTTGTAGTATTGATTAACTCTCATTTTGGACCAAAAAGTGAGATTGAATTTAATTGGAAGGAATGAGTACGTGCAAATTTGTGAAAGCATCAACCTATGCAAGTAAATTTATAATTTAGTAGCATGGTATCAAAGGGAGTCTCTCAGGAGTGATTAGATGACTTTTTCAAAAGGAAAATTTTGATCTTTTAAAAGTTCCAAATTGAGTTTTAAACAATGAAAATGAAGCTTGACTTCGAAGATAGAATATATTATTATTTAACTCACGGGACCACACATTACAAAATGCAGAATGTAAGAAAAAAATTTGATAAATTTCTCCACTGACTTTTACTTTTCAGAGATTATGTAAATAAATTCGGAACATTCTCTGTAAGAGGCACATTGAGTGTGGGGGGCCATAAACAAAATGGAACACAGAATAGAATAGAATAGAAATAGAATAGGGCTAATCGGAAATACCAAAGTACATCCAGAGGTTTAGGAGGGTTGAGGAATATGTTCCATTGCATTCAACAATCAACTAAGAATTGTTTCAAATTTTCTGGGCTGGAAATGGATCCATTATTATCTCCTAAAAAAATTATTCCGGTCATCTTTTCATAAAATTTTATCACTGATAGATGATTCTCATAAGAGGTTTGCACCTCCTCCTTGTTTCCTGCAAGATCAATTTCTACTAGGAGTTCTCAAATTACCAATTCCTGGAGTGGGAAATTCCCGCTTTAATTCGTAGTATGTGTATGATTATTTTCAAAATGGATGAAAAGTCAAGTGTGTCTTTCCAGTACCTAATT